TCCTGCAAGGACCATGGATCCAAGCACTGTTCTCTTCATCGTGGAGATGCACATGCAGGGCATGGCTCGGGAGAGTAACCTAACCCCACCCAATATCATTTGAGAAACTATATCAAATTTTTGAGTACGGCGTCCATAGTGCTGCATAGTCTCTGTCCATATTAGTTGTGGCACGCGCCAGACACAAACGCCCGGTGGGGGGAGATCACTCTGTGGAGGCGGCGGGAGGCGTAAGTTCCTGTCAAGCATGCGAGATGCCGAGATTCCTCGGGTTCATGTGAGAGAGAGAGGGCAGGGTTAGTTCATGTCGGGAAAACTACGAAAAAAAAAAAGAGGCGCCGGGAGGATTTCTCCAACAAATAACTGGTCGGAAGGAGAGGGGCGTGGCTTGCCCACACATCCCAAAAGAGAAGCTCTCTCCCCCAATCAGGCACGCCACTATCCCACCATTGAAAAAAAGACAGCGCAGGGATCGAGGATACCGGACCCGGGCAACCAGGCGTGGAGCTTGGCTTGCCATAGTCACTAATTTCACTAATGGGGAGTCGTCAATGCTTTTTGGGTTGCAAGGGATTGCGGACCCTGCAGGAGACCCCATTATTTTTTTTTAACCATCATCGGGGCCAGCGAGGGGCATAATAACTGAAAGGAGGAGCAGATATTGGACGCCTTGCCTTTACGGTGTGCGCAGTACTGTTACAGCCCCCAAGGGCAGACCCGGTGACATAGGCCAAGGCGCATTCTTCACTTTTTTCTTTCTTTTTTCATGCAAGCGCGGGCCTGGCCAGGGGAAGCTTGGATGGAGGGTACAGTGACGGCATGCTCAGATCGGGGCCAGTAGGGAAGACTTTCTGGTGTCAGTGGTCGCAGTGCCAGCATTCACCGTAACTGCGGATATGGTAAGCAGTCCAGTAGGATGTCTTCCTCTCAGATGGTGTCAAACCTTCTGATGCGGTGGCGCTACCGGGGAGGGGGGAGGGGGGAGATCACGCTGCAGTGAGGGCTTCGGAGTCTCCCCCCGAGCATGTCCGTCGTCTTGAGGTGTGCGCCGTGTGGCGGCACTTCTGGTGATGTGGTGGCCAGACAGGAACAGTGGGGGACAGGCCGGTGTTCCTGCCGAGCAGTTCAAGGTGTCCCACAACCCCTCGACCCGGGCGTTTCAAGTTCACCACTAGCGCCGCCCTGAGGGTGGCAGTGCTCGACTAGCGGCAATAGTGGGCCCTTCCAGGATCGCAGGCAGGGATCCTAGGGGACCAACGGGCTTTGCGGGGATCTGGAAATCACGTCATTGTATACTCGGGAAGTACAGAAATAAGGAAAAAACGGGGCGGAAAAGGGAGCGAAAAAAAGGGGGAGGGCCATCTCTGATCCCTCATCCGCTCTCCTTCCAAACCAGTCTCCTAATCACCGTGAATAGCCCAGGTCAACAATCCTCGTTCCTCCCAGCACGGGAACCCGGTACGCGTCAGCTCCTGGTGGGGCTTGAATCCTGACTGGTCGATCCGACACTGCCAAGGTCGGCTATCGACTATCTGCCGTGTGTAGTGGAACCGCTAGTCCGAATGCGGGCTGAGCCAAAGGTGAATAAAGTGGGGATCCCGGTATCGCTGGCATTCCAGGGACTACCATGATGGAGGGTACACCTGTCGAGATATTTCTCGCACGATATGTAGGAAGTGGAGAGCGATGTGGGCGGGAAGGAGAAGAGCTCATTTACCCATCCATTTTACCCGCGGATGGAGCCAGTCTTAGGACCTTCCTCTTACTGAACGATTGGATCGGGGTGAACCCAAGGTTACGGGAAATTGCCCGTTCTATCTATAGAACAGGGGCACAAGAACGATTATCTTGCAACCGTGGAATCAGATTTCTCGCCGAGTAATCATTACCCAAGGAATTGCTATATATTGTATACTGTAAATGATGTGCTCCCGACAAACCTTGATTTAGGACAATGACGATCTGCCGTGTGGGGACCGCCAAGATCGGAGCCCCGTGCAGATGACAGACGGGCTGGCGTTGGGTTCAGCTACAGTACAGTAGGTGCCTGGATGATTGACATCCGGATCGTCGGGGATCCAACGTGCTGAAGATGGGACGATCGGACCAATTCTATATTCAAACAGCAGTAGTGAACGAACGTTAGCATGCTATCGTCAGTTCGGGCCCGTTGCCTGCGGAGAGACAGAAAGGAGATCAATGCAACCCCGTCGCGCTCCCACGAGTGCTGTGACTGGCTGTTCCATGCCGGGATTATTGGGGTGATGGTGTGTGGCGGCAGAAGGAAAGAGATTCGCCGATGTTTCTGCGCATCCCCGGAGATGTCTTGTTTTTCCCGGAAACTTGTTTTGGCGTGGATTACTTTAGAGGGGTTGACTACTATTACTTTTGCGACGCGTCACGAACTCGAGCCGGTCACTGTTCCTGACCGAGGCAAGCGCGGTGGAGGAGAGAAAAAGCGGTCTGACGGGGAGGTGGGAGGGACCCAGCGGTCAAGAAGCTTTGGAGGCGCATTCTCTTCGAGATTGTGCAGAACCGGTTGTATGCTTAGTACGCTCCCCTACGGATCTGCGGGCTCAGCATGCTAGGAAGCACGTTGTGAACTGAAACCAACTTGCGCAACCTTCTGGTTGGCACCTTCGTTGGGATCTTGTCCCTCGCAGGCTTCAACATGCTGTTGGCTGGCACGTTGACTGGCTGGAGAGACCGGGCGCAAGCGGTGGGGCTGGTGGCTGGACGATACACTTTGCTCGCTGCCCATCCGGCACGCTCCGTATACTTTGCACAAGCCGGGTGCTGAGAAGCCTTTGCCTTGGCACTCCCACCACGGGCAGCCCCCGCTAGCCCGAGCGTGCTTGTTTCTGATGCATCTATGCGCTCTGATCCTCTTCGCGCGGCTCCAGTGCGTGGGAGGGACACCACTCGGCCGCTAACGGCCCAAGCGTAAGGTGATGCCCACCGGCCCTCTAGATCATCTCCTGTCGGGCAATCATGGCTTGACCCTAAACCCCGAAGTACTAGGGCCACATCGAGTTGTACCAACACACAGAGTCAAATGGGGAGGATTCAGAACTATCACAGCACTATTCCATACTCCAACCAATCCGCTCCTAGACCCACGGTTGCATTTCGAGGGTTGACCCATGGTTGAGCACTCCTCACCTCCCGCATCCGGAATGGCAAATTGCGCATTATTCTGGTTCGCACTCCTTTCCTGATCTGAGTGGCTCTGTACACCACTTGGGTTTTCTGGAAACCCGCGCTACCCATGGTGCACCCTCGGGCAGAGCCCTGGGTCAAGGGAAATGCGGAGAACTCCCGTCGCCAGGCCAAAAGGAACAGGCAGATGATCTGCCAGCCCATGGTTCTCGGAGGCAAGGGTGATTTCCGACGCTCTCCGTCCACGACGAACTATTACCTCCTCAGACCTGATGCTCCGGGATATACTCTTGCGGAATGCTCATGTCCTCCCCGAAGCCCGCGAACCACGGGTTCTTCGTCCCCACCACCATCACCTCTCTATTCTTCAGATGGGGTGTGATGTGTCGACACAGCAGTACAGTAGTTTCCAGAGGACTGCCGCGCTATTTGCAGCAGCCGCGCCGCTAATGCCCCATGGCGGGCTGCGTTGTTCCGTGCTCTGACGTCGGTGTGTCCAGGCCTTTTGGCCGCCAAAGGATTCAGCCTGGTTGCAGCCCCAGCCCGTTATCGCGTCATGGGCCTGTGACGGACGGGGAAGCACCGAAATGATACGAGAGGCATGAACGACTGACTCGGGGGCCATCTCCCGCGTTCTTCCGTCATGAATCGTTTGGTTGTCCGGATAAGTGCCCCCCATACGAAGTCCTCCGGAGCAGCTCCGATGGTTTAATTAGTTTCATGCGTGGGTCGCGGTGAGGTCAGGCTAGGAGGAGGGTTGAAGAATCCCCGGCAATCATCGTCCACCGCCGAGAACTACTCACCACCAATATCCAATAATTGCGTGGGCACAGCGAATGGAATAATTCTTCATCCCGAATTCAATAATATTTCTTTCCTAGCGGGGAAGTAAGGTCGGGCTACGTTCACGCTAAACCATCTCTGTGCCGTGTCAGAACCCCTTCTCTCAGCCCATTCCGCTCGAATTAATAATTTTCTTTTTTGAATTTTAATTTTAATTTTTTTTGGGGGTTTTTTTTCTGGTTTTGCCCCAGGTGACTCGAGAAGGGGTTCCCATCCTTCTCTCCCGCCGGAATGCTGACCCTACGTATAGTTACATGACGGACTCACTCACTCTGCCCCCACGCCCTGGGTTGACGTCGTGGATCAGCCTATTCCCCGCTACCGTGAAACCAGCGCACAGCGAACCTTGGGTCGCAGCATCGTGAGTTTATTTCTTGGCGTCCCTTTTTGTGTTTTTCTTTTCTGGATTTTGCCCGAAAGAGGTATAGTGCCATCCAGACACGGCTCAGCTGGGCCACTTGTCGACAGCCACCACAGGGCGAGGAGGGTTGGGGGTGTTAGTGAGATGACGATGACTCGAGAACCGCTGAAGAAGAGAGGATGATTGTCGAGGAGGAAAGAACAAAACATTCCTCGGCGTCGTTCGTTGCTCTTTTCATAGATCAACTATGCACCGTACCATCCAAACAGACCGATCCACCCAGCACGCTAAGCATTGCCAAATTACGATCCATCGTGAACTGTATGTAATAAATGATACCGTATCGTGTTGATCTGCAACCCGCACCTGGCGTCAGTGGCACTCGCTCATTGTTCTCCCTTCATAAGCTTCGCCGATCCCCTTTCCTTTCCCCAGACTGATTGTTGTTTTTTCTTTCTCAGGTGAAGGGATCTTCCGCTTATCACCGCTGCTCTCCCTTTGAACCTGAACGCTCCGATCAACCCAGTCGATCTCCCCACTGTGTTTGTATCATCAGTCAACACCCTCCCTTCCTTCGGCACTCGCGATCTCCTCCGCGCCCTTCGCGACTCGACTCCCCTCCCCACGGCCACCCTCAATGACGATGGTCATGGAGAACCAGAACCGCCAGTATGGCGGCATGAGCTTCGAGAATGTCTACCACCACACTCCCCCTCAGTTCACCGATCCCTGGGCCGCCGCGCACACCTCGTCGCACTCGACCCCCCCAGTCTACGCGACCTCGATGGGCAACAGCAATAGCATCCCCCTCAACACCGTCAAGCAGGACGAAGTGAGCCGCTCCGCCGGCATGTCGATGCCCTACCCCAACATCCCCGTGTCCGCGCCGTCCATGGTGCCTGGGAGCAACTACCCGTCTGCCAATTATGGGCCGGGCCCCGAGGTGATGGGCATGCAGCATGAGGTGCCGCGGACCACCTTCGAGCAAGGACCAAGCTACACGACTGCGCCGCCGCCCTTGAGCAGCTTTGCGCCTCCCAGCTATGCGCCCGTCAGCTACGCCCCAGTGCACCCATCGCAGCCCCAGGACGCCCGACGCATTTCGCATTCGTAAGTCTCCGAAACACTATTGTATTTGCAGACGCTGACCAGAATTGACACAGTGATGCCCGCGGACAGCCTCCAACAGCCCCGACCTTTGGTGATGCGCTCGACGCCAGCCGTGGTATGGTCGCTCTCAGCCAGGACCTGACGCCGCGCAACATCTACGGGCCCCGTGGCGCCCGCGGCTCAGCCGACTCGTACGGGTTCCCCTCGACTCATTCGTCTGCCTCGTCCATCTCGTCCGGCGGCAACTACCCTTACTACAGCGCCTCCGTGGGCTCTGTCGACTCCTCCGTGACGGACTACAGCTCGACTACGTCGGAGTCGTACGAGTCGCGGACACTGCCGCGGCCCACCAGTCTCTTGGCCGGCAGCGCGCCCCCAGGCCCGCAGTCGATGATGAGCCAGTTCAGCTCGAAGATGCCCTCCAACACCCAGAAGAAGCACAAGTGCAAGGTTTGCGACAAGCGGTTCACGCGCCCGTCCTCGTTGCAGACGCACATGTACAGCCATACGGGCGAGAAGCGTAAGTTGACTCGAGTCGCACAGAAAAACCCGCCGGTTCTAACTTTATTCCAGCATTTGCGTGTGACGTTCCCGGCTGTGGCCGACACTTCTCTGTTGTCTCGAACCTGCGCCGGCACAAGAAGGTGCACAAGGGCGAGAAAGACGCCTCCGGCGACGACGAGGAGTAACTTTGCTTTCTTACCATTGACGACTAATTTCAGCTCGAATTCATTTCGAGCGCTCTCTCTTCCTCCGCCCTACGTTTCAAAATTCTTGCGCCCGATATCCTCTCTGATATGAAGCTTTCTCTCTCCGTCGACTGATCGGCCAACTGTGTTGGCATCAGCCTTGGGGGTTGGGCCCTTGCGACTCCTTGTATAACAATAACTCGGATCTCACCACTTTCAACATTTTCTCCTCTCGATCAGGTCTCGGGAGCATCTTCACACATTTCCTTGTACCCCCCTCTATACGGTCTAGGAGACGGTATGAAGGGCGACAAGGAAGAGAGAGCCTTTTTCTTGATGACGCTTTTCCTATTCTCAACGTTATGACCATAGAGGCACCGGCTGGCTTTGCGTTCTGGTTGATTTTTTCTTCTTTCCTTTCGTTAGACCTGGGAGTCACCTTTTTGTTCTTTTTTTCCTTCTCGATACCAATGGGCTTGTGATTGTTTTGATGTGCTCTATTTCTCTCTGGGACAGTTTATCTTCTCTTTTCGTGTTTGTTTGCGCCTCTTTTTTCCTACCTTCTCGACCTTGCATATTTGCCTTGCATGGTTACGCGATTCTCCGCCTTGCCTCAGAATCTTTTTTACTGGAATTCTCTGTTACCAATTTCCCCCGTTTTCTTTCCATTTTGGCCTCTCTTTCTACCAGGTCTGCTGCGTTTTCCGAGGAGTGCAAGAACGGATGGTATGAAATTGCGATTTATGTTATGGTCTTGCGATGATACCCGTGGCATAGGTTTTCGGTGACGGCGGGTCTATTGTTCATGTCTGGCCTGGCAGATTGTCCTGTACTGCAAAAGAATTTGGCACAGTAGTACAATCGCTACTAGTAACGATATTGTCTAATTCATCTTGCTCCCGTGTCCTTGTATAATTTTGGTCTTGAGATTCCATGCATCTCTACTCTACATTGGACATTTTGTCCCTATCACAGTCGGGCAGACGCAGTAGTCCCTCTTCGGTTCGCAACCTGCGCCGCAGCCTTGCCAGCCCGGCGCCCAAACACAGCTCCAGATGTCAATCCACTTCCGCCGGGGTAGTTGTCATGGAAGATGCCGCCGACCATCTCGCCAGCAGCATAGAGCCCGGGGATCTCAGCGCCAGTGACGTTGGAGATAACGGCTGAGTTCTCCGGGTTTACAGCGAGTCCACCAAAGGTAAAAGTGATACCGGCCGTGACACGCACAGCCAGGAAAGGAGGCTTGTCGATCCGCAGAGCCCAGTTGGACTTGGGCACAACGAGGCCTTTGGTCGCCAGACCGTCCTTGACGGCAGGATCCCAGCGCCGCGTTGCCTCCGCGTCCGAGGGCACAGCGGCGTTAAACTCCTTGATCGTCTGGACAAACCGCTGGCGATCCTGCAAGCCTGCCTCCGCACAGCGATCCGCCAGCTCCTCGATGGTATTCCCGGTGATATGCTTGGTGACCTCGGGCCGATACTCCTCCTCGCGCAACCATGGGGTTGTCCGCGAATCCCACACCTGGAAGGCAACCTGGCCCGGCTGCTGCAGGATGCGCCGCCCAATCATCGCGTAGGTGTAGTTGCGCATATCGAAGCCTTCGTCTGCGAACCGCGCCCCGTCGCGGTTCACCATGATCCCCAGCGGATACCCGGACTTGGTGAACTCGTTCGACACCTCGCGGTCGCCCGCGTGCGCCGGCGCATCGGCATCCCACGCCGTGCAGTGGCACCCGGACCAGTTGCCAACCATCTTGGCTGCGACGTCGCGCTGAGCCAGGGCCAGCACGTCGCCTGTGTTATAGGGGGTTCCGCGCACGCGGGCAGCGTCCCAGCCGGGACCGAGGTACTGCGCGCGCTGCTGGGCATTGGCCTCGAAGCCGCCCGCGGCGAGGATGACTGCACCGGCGCGGATCGTCATTGCCTGACGTTTTTGCGTGGTGCCGCCGGTCACCACCTCCACGCCGAGCACAGCACCGCTCTCAGGACAAGTCACCAGCTTCGTGGCCGCAGTATCAAAGATGACCTGGATGCCGGCGCGCGCCGCAGCACGCCTATGATCCTCGATTAAACCCTTTCCGCCATCCTGCGTCTTGAGCGCCATGCCGCCCCAGAACTTGATGCGGCCGTTCACCTCGTACGCCTGGCGATTGAAGGAGAGCTGGAAGCGCACGCCGTTCTTAGCCAGCCAGCCGACGGCGTCGCGACTCTCGCCGACAAGCGCCTTTGCCAGCGGGGGCTCGGTGCGCCCGCCCGTCATGCGCTGCATGTCGTGCATGAAGTCCGCTTCTGAGTAGACGGGGATATCGATGCGCGCGGCCTGCTCGGGGGTGGTGTTGTTCACCAGCGGGAGAAGGTCTTGCAGGCCCTTGTGCGCGGTGCGGAAGGCGCCCGCTGTGAAGTAGCTGTTCCCTCCCACCCAAGAGGAGGGGCATTTGTCGACGATGACCACGCGGGAGCGCGGTGAGCTTTCAGCGGCGGAGAGCGCGGCGCAGAAGCCTGCGTTGCCACCGCCTACGACGAGAATGTCGCAGGTGCTTGGTGGCGGGGGGGCCATTATATATGATTGCTTAAGATGTGAGAAGAGAATGGAATAAAAGGTGAGATGATGCGTAGAAGTAATTAATTCGATGTGGCTGTCGTGAGTTGATATATGGTTTTTTTTTTTCTTTCTTTTGATGTAGTTAGGGCTCTCTCGGAGACTCAACCTCCGACGTTTCTTCAGTCGGGTTGGGCGGAACGACGTTGGTCGCTCTCCACACGGTGTCTCCGCACGGGGAGTTGATCTCCGAATGGACGGAAGAGACCGCCCGTAGGGGAAACAGTAGCTACAGTACCAGTTATAGCTTAGCTTAATTGCAACCAAGGATAATTATCCCGATGCCGATACGACAGATATGCTAGGGGTGTGGAAACGGAAATTGATTATGAAGCTATTATTCCTGGTCTAAAGTGGTTCGAAAACAAAAATGATTTTTGCCAATGACGCTCTGTGCAGGAACAAAGAAGAGAAAAACTAAAAGACCCAAAACGCCTCAGTTGGTGATGGTTATGATGATTATGATGATGGCGGTGATTATTCGTAGGGATGATGGAGCCGCGCAGCGCCAGGCATATTGCAGCTCCAATCTGTATGACAGAGATGTTTAATGGATGCGGTCCAGCTTGGCCCGGTTCATGGCAATCTGGTCGTCGACGAAGTCGCTCTGGTATGGCCGTTAGTTGGATGAGAGGTATACTTGGGGTGAGATAACTGACCTTGCCCATGATACGATCCAGATGTCTGTTCTGCTCGTCCAGCTCGCGGCCTGTCGCTTTAGCAAGCCCGTTCAACCGGCCCGCGGCTCCTCCCAGAAGGTCCAGGTTTTGCTCAATCTCATCCTCCATCGCCTCGTCCTCGCTGTCCGCCTCGAACTGGTACTTGGCGCGCTCCGTGACGTTGGCCTTGCGTCCCTTCGCCGCCTTCGTCGCCTCCTTGTCAATATCACGGAATGTCCGCTCCATCCGGGCGTTGGTCTGATACGCCTCGGCCCGGGTGTCTTCACGCAGACCACGCTCCGCGCGGTGGGTGTTGAGGATGCGCTCATCGCGATCTCGCCGACGTTGGGAGCTGGTGAACGGGTTGCTGACATGCATGGCAAACATGCTCTTATTGAGTGTCTTGAGCTCCCGCGCTTTCTCCTGGGCAAGCCGGCCCTCAATCGACGCCATGTCAAGGCTCTTCTCGGTGTCGTGGATCGTCTCGCTCTGGCCCCCCAGGCGGGCTAGGGTGGCCCGACCGGTCTCCTCAGCCTGCTGGGCAGCACGAAGGGCGTTCCGGGTGGACGCAACATCTCCCTGCTTAACGAAGCGGATCTCCTGCTTGGTGTCCTGGATACCCGCTTCTTCCTCCTCTTCCGCGGTGAGTTGTCGGTCCTGGAAGGTCGACATGCTGTACTCGTTGCTGCCGCCTCCATAGGTATTCGACTGATTGTCCGTGTACGGAGGTGGTGCCCCAGAGCCCTGCGGACTCTGCTGTGCCCGGTCTCTAGCACTACCAAAAAGTTCGTTCCGTTGGGCTGCGGCCGCCGGGTCGTTGGGGTCAGCGCTGCCCAGTCCTCCATAGCCACCAGCACCGTAGCGAGATGGTGCAGCAGCAGCAGCAGAAGCGCCAGCGCCAGCACTGGGTCCGCCAAACCGATTGCTTCCATATCCGCCCTGGTTGCCGTACTGATTGGGAGCGTAGCCGCCGTGCTTGTTGTCGGCTGGAATCGAATGGGGTCCGGGGGAACCGCTCATGCCGGCATTCTGGTCGGGCTGAGGGGGAGGAGCCACACCGGCACTGATCTTGGCTCTTGTGTACGGGTCCATCGGCACGGGTTGGGCGTAGGGATTCGAAATCGGCGGCGCTGGGCTCTTGTTCTTCGACCGGGAGCTGAACAGGGCGCGGCGGGACGATTCCTCATCGCCATCTGGGGATTTTTTGAAGAGCCCCATCGTAACGAAAGATCAATAGTAAATGCAAAAAGGGGACGGAAAGGAAAGGGGGGGAAATCAAAGTCAGAGGATGTGAAGGAGTTTGAAGAAGAGGATTTATCTTCAGGAGAGGTTAACAAAAGTTGCCTGCCGCATTAAATTAGGTGGTGTATCATCCATACCGCAGTAACGATGGGCACAGGCGGGGAGTGGCGGGGATGTGACAGTTACATTACGGACAATACTGCCCCTGCTGAGTCATGTTCTGGACTACCCGGATATGGAAAGAGCGACGCGGCAACAGCAACCACCGTCTTGAACTACTCCCGCCATGGACGCCGACCACGTCAGGGACAAGGCGCGGCGTGACCTGCTGGGCCTACTGGAAGGTGTGAGTATTGTCTCTGTTATGGTTGCATTCTGGCTAACCACCTCCGACAGGCTCGAGGCAAGAAGAACCTCGTTATCAGCCAAGATCTGGCCGGTCCGGTCGGGCTGTTTATCAAGTTCTCCGTCCTGCAGGAGTACGGCGTGGATCGGGTGTTCCTACTGGAAAACGCCAACATTGACTCGTCCCAGCGCCACGTTGTGTTCCTGGTTCGTGGCGAGAAGGCGCAGCATGTGCGCATCGTTGCCGGTATGTTGATCTCCCTGCTGCCTAGATTATTTTTTTGGTTTTATGGGATCACCATATATTACGCAGAAGGACTATCTACTCCACGTAATGTATCAGGCTCCCTAGATTCGCCTCTGTGATACTATTTTTGTTTCACGAGCTCATTTCATTGGCTTTCTTTCTTGTTGCTGCCTCGATGGAGTGCCATCAGTATGAGCTGACATCTCGACCCAGAACAAATCAAACGACTGCGGAACAATAGCAATGTGGAACATGAGTTTTCCATCTTCTTTGCGCCCAGGCGGACACTCGTCAGCAATGCCGTTTTGGAGGAGGCTGGCATCATCGGGGATGTCAATGTCGCCGAGTTTCCACTCTACTTTATGCCATTGGAGCAGGATGTCTTGTCCCTAGAGCTGAATGATGCTTTCAGCGACCTGTACTTGGTAAGTGAGTCACGAAGCGTGGTCTTCAGACGGTTAACATCACCCCCAACAGCACAAAGACCCGGGCTGCATCTTCTTGGCTGCCAAGGCTTTGATGGGTGTCCAACAGCGGCATGGCTATTTCCCTCGGATTGTGGGTAAGGGCGACAATGCACGCCGTCTGGCAGACCTGTTATTGCGGATGAGGAAAGAGCTCGACGCAGAGGAAAGCTCCGGGTTGGCCGATCCGTCCTCGCGAGGACTTCTCCCTAGCGCGGACACGGAAAACCTGATTATTATTGACCGAGATGTGGACTTCGGGACTCCACTTCTCACACAACTTACCTACGAAGGTCTCATTGATGAATATGTCGGCATCAAACACAACCAAGCCGATGTGGATACAAGTATTGTCGGGCAAGCTCCACAGCCCCAATCCCAGGAATCATCGAAGACACCACAGCAGTCCAAACCGGGACTGAAAAGAAAAATCCAACTTGATGCATCCGATCAGCTGTTCAGCCAACTGCGAGACGCAAATTTTGCCATTGTGGGAGATATTTTGAACAAGGTGGCCCGCCGCCTGGAAACCGAGTACGAGAGCCGACACACGGCGAAAACAACCGGAGAACTTCGCGAGTTCGTTAATAGATTACCGACATACCAGTTGGAGCACCAGAGCTTGAGGATCCATACCAACCTCGCGGAGGAAATCATGAGGCTTACCCGCTCAGAGACTTTCCGCAAGGTGCTGGAAGTCCAACAGAACGATGCTGCGGGCGCAGATCCGACATACCAACATGAGACAATTGAAGAGCTCATTGCTCGCGATGTCCCTCTCAAGAATGTACTCAGGTTGCTGTGCCTTGAGTCATGCATGTCAGGCGGACTCCGTCCACGAGACCTGGAGAACTTCAAACGGCAAGTCATCCAGGCTTACGGCCATCAACATCTCCTCACTTTTTGGGCACTGGAAAAAATGGAGCTCCTCCAGCCGCGCTCCTCCGCGACGACCATGCTCCTACCAACGACCTCCGGTGCCCACGCCGGCACTAAGACCAATTACGGGTACCTGCGGAAAAATCTACGCCTGGTGATCGAGGAAGTCAGCGAAAAGGACCCCAATGATATTTCCTATGTGTACAGCGGCTTCGCGCCACTCAGCGTGCGCCTGGTTCAATGCGTGCTACAGAAACCTTACATGCTCTCGCTCATCAAGGGCGGCTCACCTGCCGCTTCGATGAATGCCGCTAGCACGGCCTCACCGGGCTGGCTGGGCTTCGAGGACGCAGTCAAGAGCGCGCGTGGGGCCACCTTTAGCATTGTCCAGAAAGGTGACGACAAGGCTGTCCGGGCGAGACAAACTCTCAGCGGCAGTCATGGCACCAAGACCGTGTATGTTTTCTTCCTTGGCGGCATCACATTCACGGAGATTGCGGCGTTGCGGTTTATTGCTGCGCAGGAGGCTCCGCGTCGCAAGATCGTTATTTGCACGACTGGGATTATCAGTGGGGATCGGATGATGGAGGCGGCTGTGGAGAAGGACAGCTTCGCTCCAGCTGACTAGCGTCGGGAGATATATGGTTTTGGTAGTAATCATTCACGACATAATACCCTCAAGCAATCAAGTACACTGTATATGCTGTCATTCCCATGAACAATTCTATATTCTGTATTCGTTGACTTGCATAAAGCTCAGTACTTGAACCCTGCGTTAACACCCATCAACCGTCCCTGATACCGCTCCATTACCTCCCCCGTCCGGACCATAACCCCAGCAGCGAGGGTGCGCACCTGCTCCTGCGGATCATCCTTGGCATCAGATTTCGACCCCGGCGGCATCCGATCAAAGACCTGAGAAGCCCATTCGCGCAACTCAATCACCTGCGTCGCGTACTCGGTGACCAGGCGTTCCTCGCCGTTCGACCCGGAGGCGACGTTCAGATCTATCACGGCCAAGAAGAGCGAGAGTAGCGCCGCCGTGATGGTTGGCTCGCTGGATGCATTTGTAGAGTGTAGTGAGAGGAGCAAGGAGAGCGTTTCGTGTGTTAGACCTCCCAGGAAGGGGGTGTGGGGGCCTGCCGTTGTGAGGATGAGGGATAAGGTTTGTAGAAAGAGGGTGAGGAGGTGTGGGATGAAGAAGGGGTTGTATGAGGGAGCGGATGATCTATGACGTGGCCGTTAGTTGATATCCGATATTAAAAAAGAGGTTGAACGAACGTGGAAAACTGTAGCATCATGACCTCAAACCGGCCTTGGAGGGGATAGAAGAACCCTTCAGCCAGCACCTTGTGTAGGTCTTTGATAGTTGACTCCTGGCGCTGCGCATCGCGCTCCTGACGCTTCTTCTCAACTTCCATGCGGGAAGAGAAGGTGCGCACCTTGAGCGCATTGGGTCCCGTGATGGCATCTGCTGCATCAGCGGCGAGCGGTTGAAGGGAAGCCCGAGACATTTCTCTTGTGAGGGTAGCGAGAGGGGACTCGGTAGGTGTGCTTGAGTAGATTGCTTCCAGAGCAGGAGCCAGACGCATGGATGGGAATGATGTATCTTCCTTAGCTGGCAGACCCAGCATTCGAGCATCATCATCTCCATTGCCGGCTATCTCGCGAGCACTCAAACCCAGGGCCGTGAGGACAGCAGAGCGTTGAACCTGAGAGAGATCGCCGTCGAAGTAGATGGCAGTGAACCAACGGCCCATCTTTAGTGGCTGGGACACGATCAATGCAATCATGCTTTGAAGACGGGACTCGTGAAACTGTGGGGCATTGCTGTCGTTTTGCAGACCAACAAGTATGAGCGCTAGCTCTTCTGTTTGTTCGATGAGTTCGGTTCCGAACCCCGTCTTGCGGCGGATCAAGGACGGCGCAGTAGTGATGGCGAGGTGATAGCGCTCGACATTTTCAGTATCTCGCAGGTAGGTGATTAGATCACGGATGTACCTAGAAAACTAGTTAGTGATAGCTTTCAAAGAATCATTGTGAACTACTCACACTGGCGCCGTAGGCTTGTTACGTTGGACCAAAGTAGGATCCTCGTCCGAATCAGAGGCATCGGCGTCGGGTTTTTCATACGGGACCAGGTCCTCGTCCTCATCTGTTTCCTCGTCGCTGTCATCAATTTCCTCGATAGCCACGATCTTGCCTGTTTGTGGGCGTCCCTTTGCCTGTGGCGCACGTTTGGAATGGGTGGCTTTCGCTTTCGGTTGCGGGAGTTGGCTTAGGTCTTGAATTGACTTGATGGACTCCAATGATCCAACCTCATCTTGGATTGTGATTAGGTTCAAGTACCGATATGCCTCTTCTCCTCGCATCTCTTCCAGGTCAAACTCCATCGCCTTGCCCGGTTCTTCGATGAGCCTAGACATCCCTGTCCCAACAACCATGCCCAGGAATCGTGCTCTGTTTGAAGATGCCGCAAGTCGATTGGAGACTGAATTCAGGAAGATCCCTGTTCGCCCTATATCCTTCAGTCGGGTTGGACTTAGGCGATGAAGATGACCCGCAGCCAAAAGGATCAATTGAGCGTTTGCTGGAATTTGTCAGTACGCAGGTAAAACAGAATGACGGATTTCAACCAACCATTCTGTGTTATGATCGGAATATGTTTAATGTGGAACTTATCGCCAAATTGTTCCAGACCACGTGTGAGAAGATATTTGAGCGCATCTTGCTTGACATTAGTGTCTGACTGCCTGCTATTGTTGTGATCATACTCACCCTCCTGGTTAGCAAGAGTAGCTAAGAGAGCTCGTCGCAGCCCTAGTGTTTGTATTGAACCACCTTGGCTTTTCGAGAGCCAATCCAATATCTGATTTCTCAAAAAAGGGCGATTGCCAATGATGATCGCACATAATGCCGCTACCCCTTTGACGACCTCATCTGGAGTAAATGGCTGGGTGATTGTACCCGCCAATTCTTCCGAGAAATGTTTCTTTTGTACATCACGGAAAATAGCTTCAACAACAGCAAGCTGCTCAGACTGCCGGAGACGATCAAGAAGCATGCCAAAATGGTCTGGGATAGGAAATTCGATCAAAAGTCCCGAGTAGATCTTCCTAACTAACTGGTCTGATAGAGGGTCAGTGTTGAAAATTAGATATAAAAGTTGTTTGCAAGGAACTACCTGTGTATCCAAGACTTAATGCCCGTCCAAGGAGAAAAGCGACAAAGTCCCAGGCATTTTCGTCCTCGGTTTTCAGCTTCGAGACCAGATGACAGACATTGCCGCCAAGCCACAATGCATATTGAGAGCCATTTCCAACCCAGGAGATTGATGATAAATGTTTTGAATCATCCAAGAGAGTGAGTGCCTCCGCTACCGTGGACAGAATTCGACCTGCAGCAACGAGCGAGGCGAGCTCTCTCCAGGCTACTTGCTGCCGGGTCTTGTGGTCATAGACGACCGAAATGTCTGCATATAGACGAGACAAGAAGTCTTCAGGCTCCAACAATGCAGCAAGGACGGTAAGAATATCTTGAATGACAAGTTGGCTGCCCGAGCTTTGAGCTTCTTTGGTGCGAGCCGCCGCCACCAGAGACCGTACCTGGGCCACGATGGACCCCAGACCGGCCACACTGCTGAGACATCTCAATAATGCTGCTCGAGTTTTGCTGTCTTTGGTCTTTCTCTCCTTTGAATCCAACGATCCCCAGTGGTCAGGTATCGTGGCGCTGACTAAAACTTGGAGAATCTGGGCTGTGGTCGGACTGGGGATCCTGATGTCGACATCTTTTGCATTGGAAAATTTGTTGAATGGATCAAGGGCTGCTAAAATAGCAGAAAGTTGTTCGCGGTCTGGATTGGATCGCAATAAGTTTATGATCTGGTCTGATGATAGATCATGATGATTGAAATATAAATCTGATGTGCGAACAGGCTTTTGCTGTTGAGGAGACTCTGACGAGGTCACCAAGGGTGTTTCTGCGTCTCTCTTAACCGTATTGACGGCAGTCAACAGACCATCCATTGATTCGTTAACACCGGAAAGTGTGAGAGTGAGAAGTGATGTGGTGGAAGAAAGAATGGCACGACTGTCTGGGGAGAGCATATCACGTGACCGAACGCCTCGTTAAACGCCTGAGCAAGGCAACCTCAACTCTTCCTCCATCGACATCCTTCTTACGATCGAAACTGATCCTGCAATTTCCATTGCAGAGACTGTGGCTAAAGAATTCATTTCCTGAGTCACCGGAGCAGCCGCAACTCTGACAATAAGGTCATCGACACGCGATACGGGACTAGATAGAGAGAGCCGAATGGTGGACATTTGATCTCTTCGCAATGAGCACCATGGATCCACAAGCGCGATGGTGAGACATTTACTGCCAGCGATCTTTAATCATGAACTCACATCACACAGGACATATCTCTACAAGGCCCTGAGCAAGAACGGGCCACTCACCGATGAGGATTGGGAGTTTGGCCCTGAAACGATCGCTACCCTGGAGAGCTCCAAAATCCTGTAAGACGATAAATTGTGAAGCTCGCGAGTTGTGCTGACCTCATTTCAGGGTGATGTTCGTCCATCCGCCAACGTTGTTGCCCCGCATCGAGATGAATGCTGACAACTCTCTAGCGGAGCGGGCGGATTGGGATGTGAAATTCTGAAGAACCTCGCACTGTCGGGTTTCAAAGACATTCATGTCATCGACATGGGTACTTTCCCCCCGCAAGCCACGGCTTTTCAGAATCTAACAGCATGCGACAGACACCATCGACATCTCAAACTTGAATCGACAGTTTCTCTTCCGGCAGGCTGATATCGGCAAGCCTAAAGCCGAGGTGGCGGCAGCTTTCGTAGAGAAGCGGGTGAAGGGAGTCAAGATCACTCCATACGTCGGCAAGATTCAAGACAAGGACGAGGATTACTACATGCAGTTCAAGATTATCATCTGCGGTCTGGACAGCATTGAAGCTCGGCGCTGGATTAACTCCACCCTCATCGCAATGGTGGACTTGGAGAACCCAGAGAGCCTGAAGCCACTGGTAGATGGAGGAACCGAAGGTACGCAGTGGCCGTTACATCCAAAGAGATCATGTGTGCTGATAACCAACAGGCTTCAAGGGCCAATCCCGGGTGATTCTACCTACTCTCTCGTCATGCATCGAGTGTCAACTCGATATGCATGCCCCTCGCCCGGCGGTGCCACTATGTACCATTGCCACTATTCCGCGTCAGCCGCAGCACTGCATCGAATGGGCTTACCAGATTGCATGGCAGGAGAAGCGTAAAGATGAACCTTTCGACAGCGACGACATGGAACACATTTCATGGGTGTACAATGCTGCCCTGAAACGTGGAGAGCAATTCCATATCCACGGAGTGACTTTCCAGATGACGCAAGGCGTAGTGAAGAACATCATCCCAGCCATTGCATCGACCAACGCTGTCATTGCGGCGTCTACGACATCAGAGGTGCTCAAAATCGCAGCCTCGTGCAATCCGTACCTGGACAACTACATGATGTACGCTGGCGAAGAAGGGGTTTACACCTACACCTTCCAGGCGGAAAAGAAGCCTGATTGCCCCGTGTGCGGCAACCTTGCTCGCAAGATGGAGGTGGACCCGAATGTGACTCTGGGAGACTTCATTGAGAGCCTCGGAGAGAGGGCGGAGGCACAGCTTAAGAAACCGAGCATGCGGACAGAGGAGAAGACATTGTACCAGCGCTTCCCGCCTCAGCTGGAGGAGCAGACCCGCCCGAATCTGCAACTCAAGCTGCGTGATTTGATTGCCGATGGACAGGAGATCGCGGTCAGCGACCCGGCCTACACCATTGACTTCCGCTACCGGTTGAACTTCAAATAGCACTCAGTGAGTCCTACATGATGACATGAACGATTTTGTAGCCCAGTTTGTTCTTTAGCAACCAAAGATGGCTGTCTTCTTTATATCAAAGAATCAACAGTGTTGATCGAACTTTTCGCAAAAGATGGTAGTGTACATCACAAATAAAGCAGACTAAAAGAGTAATCCAACGCCAAGGCAATGCATGATATACTGGCAACCCTCTATGCCATGAGATCGGTCAGACCTCGCTTCCACTGGGCACACTTGAGCTTCAGCACCTTTACCGACTCCAGGAACAGGACATCACTGTCAAACTGGCCGGTACTCTCCACGTTGAAGATGAAGTGATCCCGCACCCGTCCCAGCTTGACCTTGCCCTGGAATTCTTCGTGGCGCAGACATTCGCGGCTGACGGTATCCTTGAATGGATCCTTGACAACGGCCTTCTGCTCTCCCGCATGTCCCTCATATCCGCTTCCCCGGCGTGCAGCTTCCTCCCTCGTAACAGACTCGAGGCCGATGACCCCCTTGGGGAAGCAGTTAGCGAACTTTTTAGCATCTTCGCCAATGATCGGCCGCTCGATCTTGATATCTGGTAGGAGACGGTAGGTAGCTGTCGCAACGGGAGAGAACTTGGCGTGGTCGGCCCCAATTCCCTTGACACAGTGCAGCTCCATCTCAATCTTCTGGCCGGGGCGCAGCTTGGCGATCAGGATGTCCGGATTGGTGGGCTGGATGGCGCCATCATCGACGAAGTACTGTTCCTGGCGACCGACGGGAACGAACACAATATCCTTTGCGTAGACATGGGCGTTGTTGTATTTCTTGCGGGGATCCTGCTCATCCTCGGCGGCATCCGGGTTGACGGTACACTCGACCTCCAGGCGCAGGACGACGGTGTTAAAATCGCTGGGAGTATTGGCTTCCGCGCCCTCCTCATCGTCTGACGGCTTCCGGAACCAGTGCATCCAGTTGATTCCCTCGACAGAGCCCTTGAGCGGGATCAGACCCAGTCGCTGTGCGAGAACTTCATCCTGGATGACGGAGGTGTTGTTGTGCACGTAGACGTACTCAATCGCCAGAGTTGGGATCTCGGCCATCAGGATACGACGGAATGCGTTGGCGACTGCGGCGTCGAGTCCGATCAGAGAGAACGAGGCTTCGTATTGGTCATTGCTGTGGAACTCGACTTGGAAATTCTGGAACGCGCAAGCCATTAGAATGCGAAATCTTTGCAGAGCCCTCAATGGATGGTACATACTTCTTTGAACTGATCAATTGCCCAGCCATGCGACTCTCCGGGCCAGTGGCCTGGGAAATCTGTGGAGGGGATGTTGGTGACGGTTTCCGCGTTGATGCCGATGATCTGGGAGTGGTTAGTTTGGTAGAAAGCAAAAAATAAAGGTCAGACGTACTCGGCGACGCTGCAGCTCCTCATGAGAGGGAACAAGAGGCGCCATGGTGGGCAACTTGGGTGAAGGTGAAGTGAAGACGAGAGATTGTTCACGATAAGAACAATTTCTGGCGCAGCTAATTTTTATGGAGGCCTAAGGCAGACACAAGAGGCTATAATGCACCCTATCATCATACAGAGCAGTGCTCCATAGGTGCGCTATAGACAACTACACTGACCAACCACAGCCCGGCTGATGACAGCTCGCTCAACCACGTGACTCCCCAAAATGCCTTTCGTCCTCATCGCTGTCGTCCGTTCCCCAATCCCGCGCCCATCCCCACCCATTGCATGCGCCTGGACTGAGGATCAGCCCTCCCTCCCTCGTCACTCCCTCTCATATCTCTCCCACGACCCTCCAATGGCTGCTTCCTTCACTCGCCTGGCGGGCAATGCGCCCAAAAGGCTCTGCCTCCGCCCCTCCACCATCCTCAACACATCAGTCCCCCGTTCGCGCTCGCTAGCCACCTCTGTCCCGCGCCGGCATGCAGAGGCCACCAGCTACCAGGCCACCAGACTCATTCCGACCGACCCGACCTTCACGTCCCTCGCCAACAAAGGGGGCCCCGAGGACCCGGAAGCTGCTGCTCTGGAGTCCGAGGCCGAGGGATTGGACCGCAAGATCCGTCACTACACCGTCAATTTCGGCCCTCAGCATCCCGCTGCTCACGGTGTGCTTCGTCTGATTCTCGAGCTTAATGGCGAGGAAATCGTTCGCTCTGATCCCCACGTCGGCTTGCTGCACCGTGGCACGGAGAAGTTGATCGAGTACAAGACCTACATGCAGGCCCTGCCTTACTTCGACCGACTGGACTATGTCTCCATGATGACAAACGAGCAGTGTTTCTCGCTGGCTGTCGAGAAGCTGCTGAATGTTGAGATTCCCGAGCGTGCCAAGTGGATTCGCACCCTGTTCGGCGAAATGACTCGTATTCTGAACCACCTCATGTCTGTCCTCTCGCACGCTATGGACGTTGGTGCCCTGACCCCTTTCCTGTGGGGATTCGAGGAACGTGAGAAGCTCATGGTGAGTAAATTGTGGTTTCCGCGGTAAACTCAGCTGGTTGATTTGTGTGTTTTTTATAGGAATTCTACGAGCGTGTCTCCGGTGCCCGTCTCCATGCTGCCTACGTCCGCCCCGGAGGTGTCTCACAGGACTTGCCCCTTGGTCTTTTGGATGATATCTACCAGTGGGCCACGCAATTCGGTGACCGTATCGACGAGACCGAGGAGCTGCTCACGGACAACCGTATCTGGAAGGCAAGAACCCAGGGTGTGGGTGTTGTCCCCGTTGCGGATGCCCTGAGCATGAGTTTCACTGGCGTCATGCTCCGTGGCTCTGGTGTTCCCTGGGATATCCGCAAGTCGCAGCCGTACGACGCCTATGACCAGGTGGAGTTTGACGTTCCCGTCGGTGTGAACGGCGACTGCTACGACCGATACCTGTGCCGTATGGAGGAGTTCCGCCAGTCTCTGCGTATCATTCACCAGTGCCTGAACAAGATGCCCGCCGGTCCCGTCCGTGTCGAGGACTACAAAATCTCGCCGCCGCCCCGTGCCGCCATGAAGGAGAACATGGAGGCTCTGATCCACCACTTCCTGCTCTTCACCAAGGGTTACTCCGTGCCCCCCGGGGAGACATACTCGGCCATTGAGGCGCCCAAGGGTGAGATGGGTGTGTTCCTGGTCAGCGACGGCAGCGAGCGGCCCTACCGCTGCAAGATCCGTGCGCCCGGTTTCGCCCACTTGGGTGGCTTTGACCAGGTGTCTCGTGGCCACTTGCTGGCTGATGCTGTCGCCATTATCGGTAAGTCTTGACCTTTCACGCTCGTATGCTTCATTGCTTCATTGCTAATATCTTCTTAGGTACTATGGATCTGGTGTTCGGTGAAGTCGACCGGTAAATGCGGTCCTGCACCACAAGTATAAAAAAGACGAAACAAAAGACGCTTTCAATCCGCCACCCACGATCCCGGTGTCAATCGCGCCGTCCTCGATGTGACCAATAACAAACCCTTGGACCAAGCCAGTGTACTCATACCTGGGTGCCTTTCCTCCATGTTTCCTTCCCATGGCGTTGTTCTATTATTTCCTTTTTCCTTTTCCTTTGTCACCTCATTGTTTTTCCTATCTGCTTCCCATAAACCATGTGTATAGTGAACTGAATTCTCGAAGAGATGTCTCCCCGGCCATAGATTGTAGTTGTAAGCGCGGATGTAGACCTGAGCAGGATATGGTGATGTCCTACGGGATCACTAGCATTATAGGAAGATGAACCTTGCATTGCCGGTTGAATAAACATAAGAAGAAATCGCTGCAACCCCATCAACGCCATGCTCCAAATCCACCTCATCGGCCATGAAAAAGGCCAGCAGGAACGCCAATGCAGGGAAGACAATAATCAAAAAGAGCGTCTAATCCGGACCTGGACCAATCTCACCTCCTCACCCGAGTGTAGCACAGCATGTACCAAGGGACCTCCCCCTCAACACACCAACCCACCCCCAGCTTATACGTTATCATCCTCATAGACAAAGGGAATATCCCGAATACGGCGACGATTATAATTCACAAACTCTGCGTCCCCCGGCGGGCGTTCGTTCTTCGTGTTCGCAGTGAGCATGCTCTGGATACTCATGCACACACTCTCCACCGTCTGCACGGGCGACCAGCCCGCGCTGCTGAGGAGGTCAAGACAGATAATCCCGTTGCTGTAGATATGTGGGTGCATGGGGATGGAGCGGGGTGTGTTGTGCTCGGTGTTGGGGTTTGGTTCGGAGGGCGCGGTGGGGGTGGAAGTGGTGGTGGCTGTTATGAATTGGACTTCGGGGGGTTCTAACCAGTACAACCAACACTGCGTGAGGAAAATAATAAAAATAAGGGTGAGGGTGGGTGGTTACCGATTGGATATTTCTGTCCGAAGGTGAATTTCAGGCGATAGGTCTGGTTCTGGTAGAGCGGGTTGTCGTCCAGGACTTTGATGTCCATTTGCCATTCTTCGAGGTTGTCGGATTTGGCGATTGAGATTCCCGGTGGGACATGTTCTTTCAGCTAGAGAAAAGGGGTTGGCCGGACTCTTCAGTGTGGGGGGAAGGATGGAGGTGTCGAGGATAGGAAGTGGAGGTGGAGGTGGAGGTGGAAGTGAGAGATCGGTACCTTTTGGAGCTCCTGGATGTCGGGAGATGGACAGACGCGTCAGTTCTGAGGGCGCACTCTTTGACCAGGATAGTACGTACCTTGCTCAGGCGCTTCGTGGCGAACATGGTGGGGTTGTATTTACACTGCCCGCTGAAGTGTTCATGTACGTAGTGAGGAAGGAAGATGGAGAGCCAGATAAGAAATGACGATCCCACGTGATTGATGGACTATAACTAACAGAACTAACTACATGATATGTATGAATGGATATCCAGGAAAACCAACCAAACCGTTAGGAACAAATGACCAGAAGATGAAAAGAAAGAAAAAATTGTTCACCGCGACGCCTTCTCCCGGGCTTCGCGCTCCACCTTCTCCAGTTCCTCGTTCTCCTTCATCTCACGCACCTTGGCCAGCACCACCTCGCGGAAGATGGCCCCCTTGGCAACATCGCCCAGACTGCGCTTCTTCTTGCCATCACCGTTCGAATCATCGGGGGCTACCTCCTCAGCACCGGCCGACTCAGCCATGGCCGCCGGGCTGGGGATATCGTCCCCGTCCGCCTCGTCTTCGTGCATCTTGAGCGCCTCAATGCGGTTGGCGAGCTTGACAATCTCAATGCCACGGCGGAGACGCGCCTTGGCAATGAAGGCACGGATCTCGGGCAGCAGGTCGCGGTCGCTGGCCGACTCGCCCTTGAGCCAGGCGTGTTTGAGGGCCTCTGCCGAAGTGGGACGATCGTTCGGGTCGGGCTGCAGGAGATTCATGATGAAGTCCTTCGCATCCTGCGAGACGCCCTTCCAGTAGCGCTCGTGGAAAATGATGCGACCCGCCCGGCATTCTTCGATCAAGTCGGTCAGGTTCTCGGATCGGAAGGGGGAGTAGCCGCACAGCAGCGTGTACGTAATGACACCGAGCGACCAGATATCGACCGCTTTACCGTGGCCGCGCTTGAGCATGACCTCGGGCGCCGCATATCCGAATGAACCGGCCATGCTGGTGAGCACCTCGGTCGGAGTCTCCAGCGTCTTGGCAATACCGAAATCTGCCAGCACTAATTGGGAGTCCGCGGCGCGCGTCTGATACAGGAGGTTCTCGGGTTTCAGATCTATCGCACCATCAGTAAGTTCTTCTTTGTCGTGCGTGAGCAGGACCAACCTCGGTGAACAATGTTGCGCTCGTGGAGATAGTTGACAGCATCAAACACCTGCCGCATCGTCTGCGAGGCGTCTTTCTCCGTGAACTTGCCATAGTCGCAAATCCGGTCAAACAGCTCGCCGCCCACAGCCAGGTCAGTGACAATGTAGAATTTATCCTGGCTGATTGTCAGATGGGGGGCCTTATCGCATGAGGCGTGGAGCTCACCTTGGATTCAAACCAGTCGACAAAGTGGACGATGTGAGGATGATTGAGTTGCTGCAGCATTTCCAGTTCATCGTAGACCATGCCCTCGTTCCCACGAACATTCTTCTTGAGGATGATCTTGACGGCAACCTTGCCGTAGGGGGAGTCGGCCTCGCGAACAATTCCGTAGGTACCCGCGCCCAGTGTTCGGCCAAATTTGTACTGTGCCCTGTAACCAACCAAGGTCGTGTCTCAACAAACGTAGTATTCAAGAATGAGTGGAACGACCTACTTCCTCTCGTAGCTCTCCGGCTGCCCGGACAGCTTGTTGAACATGGTCGAGACTGGACAGTTGCGAGTTAGCATGCACGTAGAGAAAAGAAAGGCCAGCGAGGTGTGTGAGTCGACGACAGGAACGGGCTCGAGTGCCAGCTGAGCGATCTCCATATGTGTCTAGCGCATTGCCCACCAGAGAGCACAGACACCGTATACGTGCGGCTGAGACTGGGACGAGGCTGAAGTCCAGTCCTTCGGCGAGAAACGTGGCCCAACGGCCCATATCCGTGGGCGTCGCACACACAAAAAGCAAGCAAGAGGTAGCAGTATAGAATGGGCGACTCACAACTCATTGTGTAGGGATCAGGCTGCGCGATAGCTAGCGGGGTCGAATGGAGGGGTGCGATCGCGGGGAACAGAACAGGGAGAAACGGTTGTGGACGGTGTCAATGGATCCAGTAGAGGAAAGGGGGAGGAAGGCGACGAGAAGGTGGAAGCCGAAGTGGGAGGTCGGCAAGAGCAGAACTGTGCAGCGTGTTGGTGTTAGTTCGACGGTCGCAAGAGCTGAAGGGCCGCCCCCACACGCCGCAGTCTGGACGGACCCGATCGGCGATCCAGGGGGAAGAAGTGGGTGACTTACGTGTGCAATGGCGACGACCTACGAATTGCAGAGAATATTCATGAATAAGAAAAGAGAAGAAGAAGGAAAAGACAGGGTTCAAGCTGAGTTCCTCACGATAAGTAATGAGGGGCCGTAGGGTTTAGCGTGCACCGCCACGATACTATAGACTGTCTGTGCATATATGACATGGTGGCTCGAGATCTAGGCTTTGGGGAAAGATGAATCATAATATGGGTGTATAATAAGAAGTATAATAAGAACCATAAACAATGGAGTGGATTTGGTGGATGCTGTGGCTTGGTCTGCCATCAGATCTATATTTCAAACACCTGCATTGCTTGCTCTAATTGCCCAACCCCTGCAGAAAGCGCCGCCGGTTATCCTTGCAAACCTCGACATTACTGCGCGTTCGCTCCTGAGAGTCCTGCACCCTCCGCGCCAGCCACTCATTGCGGTCCTTGACAGGCGCCTCCATCCGCTCATCCCGCGGCCGAACCATCGCCTGCTTCTCCGCACTCATGCTGCTCACCTCCGACTGCGGCACATCTTCCGAAGCGGGAACTGAGGCTTGTGCGGAATGCGTTTCCCCCCAGGCAAAATGTTGAGCTTGGGGCCGGGAAGAGTTTGGTACCGGTACGCGGTCGTACTCCAGTCATCGCGCAGATGGTTCGCATGCCCAGACTCGAGGGTGACCTTGACCTTCTTGTTGAAGCGCACGGGATCTGGAAGGTGCCAGCGATAGCTGACCTGGTAGTTTGGAACGTCTTCTTCGTGGATAATCGTGCCGCAGAATGGGTACGCGTTCTTCTGCATGCCCCAGCCCTGCGCGGAATAGTGCAATTGGAGAATGATTCTTGTACCCGGTAACAAGGCAAGACCATTTTATTAACTTCTTCACCGGAGTTTACTAAACAATGGCACTAGGGAATCTCGTTTGAGAAACTCGATGAACTATATGTGCGAAGGTGGCACCTCGACATTTTACGCGGATGGCAAATCAGACGGGCCAGGTTGAGGAGAGCCAAAACGGGGAGAGCTTTCATGTTGAATAACCAGTTTGTAACGAGACTGGTTGGTTTCAACATCAGGCTTGTTGATAAATGCCATGGGAGTGTGAATGGTAAAACCTATAAAAGAACCTACCTTACGGCTTACCATCTCATCACTGAATGGATTGTAAAAGGCATGTAGCTCGCATTTAAAATTTTAGACTACGCACCAGGTTTGAATTCACCCCGCTCGCTCGTTACTTGCTTACGCAAGTAACCGGCGAGACCTTGGCCGGGATACAACTTTGAACTTCGACGTAGAGCTTTGTAGGAAATCCATTCAAGGATAGAAGATGATTTATTCTCTTCATTGAGGCGTTTCTTAATGGATCCGCCCAATTTGTACTGGAGGGCAGCTTGAATAAATATGCTACGAGCAGATGTTAAGATGGCAATTTGCTCAGATCCACCTTGAGCGGGGATGCAACGAATTCGGGCCCTTTAGGCGTCTCACCAATGACCGTCCATGCCGAGCCGGCGAATTACTTAGTAGTCTGCCTTGGGAGAAGAGGAAGCCTTGAGTTTGCTAAGCCGAGGTGAAACAAGGCATGCTTTTTAACCCAATCTGCCTAGACATGTACTTATTCTTAAGCGAGTGCTTACCCAGAACTCATCTTAGTACCCTTCGTTCAAAATCCCATCGTATCTTGCCACACTGCCAAACATGGGATCAGCCGAGAATAACTGGCGCCAGAAGGTAGCCAATAAACGAGAGGCATGCTGGGAAGCCATACCCAAAGAATGGAGACTCTCGGATGAGTTGAAGTCCACCTTCGAACATCCACTGTCAGAGAACAAGAACGACTTTGTTGGCAACGAGACAATTCGCAAATCTGGTATCTTGACTGAACAAGAGTTGACCATCACTGAAGATTACACGGTGTCTCAACTTCTTTCTGCACTCAGTCAAGGCACACTGTCCGCTTTGGAAGTGACACTCGCGTTTTCTAAACGCGCTGCTGTTGCTCAGCAATTGGTATGCCCATGCATTCGTTTGTATCCGACCATTATTTAACAATTCACACATGGCTAGGTGTCATGCCTTACGGAGACGATGTTCACCCAAGCCAGAGAAAGAGCCCAATGGCTCGATGAGCAAAAGGCCCAGGGCAAGACAGTTGGACCGCTCCACGGTCTTCCGGTGAGTATCAAAGACCTTTTCCATGTCAACGGCACACAGGCAACCATCGGAATGGTTGCTTTTATTGATGAGACCTCGACGACCAATTCCCCTTTGGTTGATCTTCTCTTGAAACTGGGAGCTGTGATTTATGTGAAAACAAACGTACCTCAGACGATGATGGTATGTTTCTCCGATACCATTCCTGAAAACCCTAAATAATTTGGAATGACTGGGGTGTCTAGACCTGCGAGTGTGAAAACAATGTTTTCGGGCGTACTCTAAACCCACGAAACACGTTGCTTGGCCCAGGAGGATCCAGTGGCGGCGAGGGTGCTTTGGTGGCTCTTCGAGGCTCACCCCTGGGTGTGGGAACTGATGTTGGCGGTTGGATATTTCCAGGAATTATTTGCAGACCTGCGGTTCTAACCTGCTTCTAGGCTCAATCAGAATCCCTGCTTTGTGCTGTGGAACATACGGCTTCCGCCCAAGTTCCAGCCGAATTCCCAACGGGGGTACGAGAATCTGCGCAACCAGCGGACTGAAGTTCATACTGGCCTGTGCTGGGCCGCTCGCCATGGATATGGATGCTCTGGAGATCTTCTGCCGAGAGGTTATTGATGGACAGCCTGCGCTATATGACTCCACGATAATTGATGTGCCCTGGCGGCGAATTGCGCCCAAACCGATCCTTCGAATTGGAGTTTTACCCGAGAGTCTGGTGTACCCTCTCCATCCACCTGTCAAGCGAGTGTTGGGTGAAGCAGCCCGCATCTTGGAAGCTCAGGGTCATGAGATAATCACCCTGGATGCAGCCGAGTGTCACTTCGAAGAGATCAACGAGGTAGCTTGGAACATATTTAGCCTGGACCCTAATGCTGCTCAGCTGATCGCGGCAGCGGGTGAGCCTTTCTCGCCTGCAATCTTGTCTCTAAAGCAGCAGGCAGAAGAACTGCAACAGTTCCACAAAAGCACTTTGGGAAACACTGAAGGCCTAGACCGCATGGGCAAGCTAGCGCTTTTGAACACCCGACGGGCAGAGTACCGGGAGATTTGGAGGAAGTTGTGGCAGCGACTTAACCTGGACATTTGTTTGGCACCAGGAGCGCAGGGGACGGCTGTTCCTCATGACAAGTATGGCTTAGCATCATACACCTGTTTTTTGAATTGCCTTGATGTGAGTAGAAAGGTGATTTCCTTTAGAGCAAAAGACTGACTACGATGTTTTGCAGTATCCCTCGTGCATTATTCCTTACGGGAAGGTAGGAGAGGCTGATGCGAACGCTACTTTCGAACTTCATCCGGGCCAGACAGGACCACCATGTAAGATCCATTTATATATCTTGCCTTCAACATTATGATACTGACTACTATAGATGATTTTGATACTCTTCAAGGTGCGCCGTGTGCAATTCAGGTCTTTACTCCGACCATGCGGGATGAAGAGTGTCTTGAAATGGCCAAGGGAATCGACAGATGCCTTAAATACTAAGCGTGATGCCATTTTGACTCAATTTGGGAGAGACGATCCATTAAGCGTACGTCGAAGACTGGAGTTCTCTGTCTAGTTTGACGATATCTACAGCGGAACCAGAATTTACAAATCAACTTGACATAAATTCCGCCAAATACTGTAACGAAATAGCCATAGGCTAAATAGCTAGACTGCACTTATTGAGAAGAGGCCAACTCTTAGAATTAGAATCAACTAAGGTCGAGTGGCGATTTGCAGGAAAACGAGGTCAGCTGTGGGTTTTTGAAAACCTCGATCATCCCTAAGACGGAGGTTAGATGGTGAACAAGAGATCAAGGAGAAATACTAACCAGTGACAGCCCCATACATCCCCAGTCCGCACATGGACAATGAAGCCAAAGCGTAGATGACGTGCCAAATGTTTATTGAGACTTGAAATAGACCGCCAGCGAAAAACCCGCGGATCCATCTCTTGACACCAGTTGCACTTCTGGTGACTTGCCCTGTAATTGGGTTAAATCCATCCCCCTGTTCTGCTTTGATTGCATTTTTCTGAATATCGAAGCCCAGCGCAAACAACGGAGGCAGCGTGTAGGACAGGTTCAGGAGCAGCGAGGCAGACATCACACTAACAAAGCCAAAGTAATCGGGAATAGCAGCGGCAACGATAAACGCGATGATCCACCAGATCGGAACCATGATCCCGTAGATGATCTTGCCACGCCGGGTTGTAAGCGGTGGTGCTTTGAAGATATCCAGAAAGATATTATTGTAGACAACTTTGATACCAATGTTGCCATAGAGACCACCGGCGATGAGAGCACCGATCAACGTAACCATGTTTCCGACGGTTTGCCATGAATAGACACTGACACCTTGGTAAGCTGGAGCGTAGGAATACTGTCCTTGATAATGATAGATGACACAACCGTAGATGAGATAAACGCTGTAGATGAAGAGCTGCGCAAGCCACATGGCTTTAATAAAGTCGCGAGGGCGCTTCATCTCAGCCATAAACTCCACAAACAGTTGGGCACCCGCATAAGCTAGCACACCATTCAGCATGCCGTTGATTGAGCCAACAAGGCCGTTGGCGGGGATGTTGGTGTAGTGCATAATAGGAGGGTATTTCCCGTTCACTTTGGTGATGGTCGCTGGATCGATCAAGGCACCCGCTGACCCTAGTTCCGCGACAGAGTAGTTTGGCTCCGAGTTTGCAAAGACACCCATAGTCATACAAATGACGAAGATGTTCAGCCACACGGAAAGGTTTGCGACCCATCCATAGGCTCTGAGAGTCCGGATCTGCGTGATGAAAAAGCCTGCAATGGCGAAGAGTGCGGGGCAGACAGCATAGCACAGCTTGAACTTCGAGACCTGAGAGATGTTTTGGCCAAACTGGAGTGTGACCTGGCCCACCAGCAGGAGCAATGAAATACCTTGACAGACGTTGGTGACGTAGCGTCCGCCCCGGCCCAGCGTCCTGAAACCAATATCGCCATAGTTCTTGGCCGGGAATTGGTGGCTGTCGACACCGCAGTACACGCGCCAGATGAGATATCCAGAGTAACCGACCATCAAGCCAAAAACCGTATAGAACGCAACGCCTATCATCCGATCAATAAACTGTCATATACAGAAGGTATATAAGTATATTGTCTCACCTGGTCCCCAACCCAATGACCCCATTGCAAAACCAGATCCATACGGACCCAATATGTCGGTCGTAATCAGATAAAAGCCTGTTGCTACCGTCAGTTCCGAAGCAGTTTCGCATATTTTGTTCTGCACTCACAAGCACCCCATCCAGCGGATCTGGCCGCGCGGCTTGCATTGAGCCACTCTTCATCCGTGATTAGAATTCTCCTCTCGGGGTTGGTAAAATCTTCCTCCGTCAGGTGCGTGGTTGGCACATCATCTTCTTCACCCTCGCGCTTCTTTCTAAACAGCCGGCGTATATCCATGACGGGAGCCTCCAGAGTCTCCTCCTCTTCTCTGGTCTTCTGCGCATAGTAGTTGTACTCCTCGAACGTAACATTCGAATCATATGGGATGCGGGCTTGCGGTTTGATGAGCGTGCTCACCGGCACCTCAGAAGCGCTATACAGAGGAGGGTCGAAGGACCCTGGCTTTTCGTCCAGCTTTTCGTCCATGACTTCTGGATTTCGGTAGCAATCAAATTATTATGCGCAAAAGGTCACGAACGCCTCTGTATTTTTTTTCCAAAAAAAAGGAGGCGATGAGGGGGATCTTATGTGGAGAACAACTCGGTTCCAGTAATGGTCCGAGCCTGAAAAACCCGGGGCTAAGCGTCCCAACTGGGCCGTTCAGGAGGATGGATTTTGTGCCAATGAGAGGGCCCATAAAACAAGCTTCGGTCGGAGCCTGGTCGGCCAGCGACAAGCAATGATAAGCTCTGCGCCTGTCACTTGCTACATACATGCCTGTTCTCGCTTTCTTCAAAGGACTGCTTAGTTTTTCTTAAAAAAATTCTCGCACTTCGACTACTAGAAGGGTGGAACGCCTGATTATCGGCTAGTCGCTGTCGTATCGGCTAGGTAACTCTGTGATAAGGTCGGAGTGCAAGGAATCAGGACAGGGGGTCATGGTGGGGAAGAGGCCCGAGCGGAGGCAAGATTTGTCACTGTAGCACCAGCTGTGCGAAGCCACATGGTTTCTTAACCATGGGGCATTATTAGCACTTGAATTCAGACTGAGGCTTTTCGCCAATTTCCGGCGATATCTTCCCAAGGTTCTCTGCCCACTTTGATCAATTTAAGAAGGTGCTTAACTATAGTACCAGACTTTAATCACAAAGATCGCGTGTTCCCCGAATTATTTTCCAAAGTTTAACCGGTAATAAATCCATTGGTTGAGCTGCACTATTAAGAATCACCAACGCTGTTCTAAGCCAGGCCGCTGGTTTCATTCTTATTTCAGAAACCGCTCAGCGCCCCAATAGTCATCGCCGAAGCGAACAGATGTGAACCTCACTGGCGTACCAGCATCGTAAGCCTCCGCCATCTCTCCATTGCCTGCATACATCGCGACATGGTAGATGGTACTTGGATCGCTTTGGTTGCTCGCGTAGAAGATAAGGTCGCCCGCTTCCAGCTGCGCCTTGGAAACTCGTACGCCATGACCAGTAAAATCCGCCTGAGCATCGGCGTCCCTTGGAATTGTGATGCCATGTGCATGGTAGAGGGTGTGGGTGAACCCGGAGCAGTCAAAGGCGAAGCCCGATGTGCCGCCCCATAGGTATGGTCGACCGACGAACAGCTTTGCCGCATTCACCAGATCCAGCTTGGATGGATATGGAATTTCAGACTCAGAGTTGTACACAGTTGCCTCGTGAGCTGACAGGTAAGCTGAGCCACCGCTAGGAACTGCAACCTGAATGGCTTCTCCAGTATGACCGAGAACTGGCAGCCTGGTGTCGTAGCTGATTTCGATGAACTTTGATTTCAGTTGGGCATCTCGATAGATGGCAGCAGTCGCGACCTTATCAACCAGTGCAAATGATTTACTCGATTGCAGCCTACCATAGCCGGCATCGAAGGACACCTGAGTAGAAGGGACCCAGCCGGGGTAGCCAAGTGTGTTCTTTGGGGTGGCCTGTCCAGGGACAGCAACTTCGTACCAGCCATTCTTCTCGTCGAGGATATCAACTCGAGCACCATACAATGCCTGGGTTTGGGTGCGGCTGTCAGTGGTAAGATCGCGGTACTGTGAAACATTCATGGAATTCAGCCATTGTTCGATGCGTGCCGGGTTCGTCAGGGCAGGCTGGTCTATGGCGCGAGGTTTGCTAGAATCGGTCCATAATGTTGCAACAGATACATCGATGTAGGCATCCTGGACGACTGTGCGATAGCGGGGGAGCTCAACTCGGGGCTAGGGAGTGCACTGGCGGCACCTAGAGCAAGTGCGAACGTAATATGCGTGGTCAAAAATGATGATAACATCGTGTCTTGGACGCTGTCTTGGCAACTTGTTTCAATCTGGAGCTCGCCATTCTGGGATCCTTATGTACTGCAAAGCACCTGACGCACTCGTATAGCTTTGACGCTAACAACTCAAGGTGACCCTGTTTCGGAGTAACATCCTTGCTAGTGGATGTATCCGCACGGCTTAGCTATCATTTTGTCCGATCTCTCTCCGAGATCCACTTTTATTCCTCGGCAAGAAGCTCTCCACTAACTAAAAGAGAGCGGAGAAAGTGGATTCCGACCGAATGCTTGAACTTGAGCCAGTGGCTCATATTTTATTCCAGTTTTTCATTGGTGAAAGAGAGAAGTCCTATCTCCGGCTAAGTGCAACACCCCGATCTCTGTCCGAAGAGGGGTGCAACTAGTGTACAGTTTGGCTGATTATGATCTTAAGATTCGGATGTATTAGGCAAATTTAGTCAAGAGAATTTTTCTTATCGAAGGCAGATGCGTAAGAATTCCATTTTCGCGAGCAGTAGACCTTGAACTCCGGATAGCACAAGAGGATATATTTTCAGGGCGGCTACACTTGTTGAATGACCAGAATAAACTATATACGTGGGCCATCTGTTAGAGCCAAACAATACCTGTATGAAATACTAGACTAGAAATGCTATATTTTTACCGGTCCTAAAAGAGCGTGCCCATGCGAGTGGAGCGATCATTTTTTTCAAACACCAAGGCATACGCAGTCCGGACCCTCTTGGCATCTTTTCACTTCCTTTTTGTATACACAGCTTATCTTGAGCATTCTCCTGGCTATCGATGGATCGCACCAGCACAATAGAGCCACAACGGCCACCGGGCTCAGTATTGGCGGAGAGGACAACATGCGAGAATGAGGGACAGGTGGTTGTTTTAAACCGACAGAGACCAAAAACGTGGAATCCTCTCAGAATTGTCGCTATCGTCTCTGTATCTATAACGATATGGCTGGCAATGAGAACAAAAGATATGTTACATGGAGAAAGGTTTGATCCACTCGACTATCAAGCCAGAGCAGCTCGGGTTCTTTCAGAGACGCCTCTCATAGACGGACATAACGACCTGCCATTTCTTGTCCGGCTGCAGTTGAACAATCAAATTTACGGAAATAACCTTCCATTCCGCCAGGGTGAGAACTAATCCATTTGAATAACTAACAGTTTTGGGGGCTGACTCTAACGGCTCCTTAGGTCTTGCATCTCACACGGATCTTAAGCGAATGAAGCAAGGCAAAGTAGGTGGACAATTCTGGTCTGTCTTTGTTGAGGTAGGGTCCCAACTATAACCACTTAGACATTGACGAGTTCTAACAGATGACCTAGTGTCCACGTATCGTTCACCTTGACGACCCAAATGTAAGGTCTTCCTTAGGCCACACAGTTAGATAGTTATTGATTCTTAATTTTCAGCATAGCGTCCGCGATACGCTTGAGCAAGTGGATGTGGCAAAGCGATTGATCGCCGAATACGACGAACTGCGATACTGCGAGACAGCAGAATGTGCCCGACGGGCTTTCAAGTCCAAGAAAATCCCCTCGATGCTCGGTGCGGAAGGACTGCATCAGGTGGGATCTTCAATTGCTGTTATCCGACAGTTGTATGATATCGGAGTTCGCTATATCACTATCACTCATAACTGTGACAATGCCTTCGCTACAGCGGCTTCAACGGTTACCGAGACTGGCAAGGACGGCGGACTGAGCGATTTTGGAAAGGCTGCCATTCAAGAAATGAACCGTCTAGGGATGATGGTGGACCTCTCCCACACATCCCACCGAACAATGCGAGATGTCCTGGCCATGACGCGAGCTCCAGTCATTTTCTCCCACTCTGGGTGCTACTCAATTGGAAAGAGTCTTCGAAATGTACCTGATGATGTGCTTCAAACACTCAAGCACAATGGTGGTTTGATCATGATCTTTTTCGCAAAAAAGTTCGTTCGACCTGATAACCCAGACAAGGCAACTCTGGAAGATGTGGTGGACCATATTTATCATGCGGCATCTGTTGCAGGGTGGGATCATGTTGGAATTGGTAAGAAATTTCTTCGCAGTTACGACTCAATATTGACATCTCGAAGGAAGCGATTTTGACGGAACGGGTAGCGTCGCTACTGGGATTGAAGATGTTTCCGCATATCCGAGGCTCATCGAAGCAGTCATGCGGCGTGGTGCAACGGATGATCAGGTTCATAAGTTAGTGGGAAGGAATATCCTTCGAGTTTGGCGAGAGAATGAGAAGGTGGCAGCGCAGGTACAGAAAAGGGCTGATTCGCGACCTATTGAGAGCTATTGGGAGGGAAGAGCACCGCCGACTTTTGAGGGATCGTTGCCAACATTAAAGCCATCCAAGTAGTTGGTTACCTCGGTCGGCCAGGTTGGGATGTAACGCGGCATCTTCGTTCTATGCAATGGGCTGGTTGGGTACTCGAGGTTGAAATAAAAGCATTCCGCAATCAACAGCTCTGCCATGGCTGCTAAATCAAAAACCAATTAGCCAACAAAATAATTTTCTCTGTCCCCCTTTGTTATGTAGCGGAACTCCAATTGGCTCGATTTACCCCAGATAACGGAGGACCCCCGCTTATCGCTCATTCTGAACACGCCGAACAGATTTGGCCGTCATCATGTACCTTTCTCCGAGACCGTCAATTCACAATGTCTAATCGCTCGAACGGGGCCAGGGCACAGCGTCCGCCGAGGATTGCATCGTGCGAGGCCTGTCGGCTGTCCAAACTGGCCTGCGACCATCAACACCCTTGCTCTCGCTGCGTTAGCAAAGACATCCCCGATGAATGTGTTTACAGAAAGAATGCGTTCAAGCGCAGTCGGTCCTCCATGATATCCCGGCTATCAGGTTTGCGGTGAGTGACTTTTGCTCTATGATATACCACAAGATGAATTACCTTCTAATCTCTGTTCAGACGTCTTCGAGATTTCGAGACTGCGCCGATGCTGGGAACTGTCGAGCCAGGTGTGCCAGTCAGCCTATATCCCAATCCGGGGTTCCAGGGCTCATCCTCTCTGAATTCTGTACTGGATAATTTGCGAGAGCAAACCACATTGTTTAGGGAGCCGGAGCCTAGCTTATCAGTTTGCCGGGATGCCGAAGGCTCGAACGCTTTTGCGGACCACTCGATGAATAGCACATCCACAATTGAGGGAGCGCAGCTGTTAGAATTACTTCTCAACTCCGCCATTGACAACACCCTCAGGCAAATTTTCTCGGAGTGGACAGGAAATGGGCTGGAGTCGCATGTCGGCGCATTCCTTGTCCAGCCATTTGTTGACTCAATCACGGAAGAGATTGCACGCCTACGGCGTTCTGAAAACCGGCAATCCGACCTCCTTACTTTGTCGCGTCATTTATTTGAGAATAGCAGCCGAGACGTGAATATCCATCGTTCGATGACATTGCAGGAGTTTGTCGGTCGGTATACGGGTTCGAATTTACGCTGGGAGACAGTGGGAGTAGTCCTGACGCTTGCTGGGTATGTACTGAAAGATGTACTCGGCATGTCTGTTTTAACAGGTTGATACAATTGGCTGACACTAGATATAGAATTGCTGCTACAGAGTTACGCGCACCGCACGCTCTGTACAACACCGAGCAGGACCGACAAACGCTGCGGATGAATTTTGTTCATTTCGGAAACAAATGTGCAGTCTTTTGCGAGTCATTGGATGTACTCAACGACGTTCATATAATCTTTCTATACCAAACATTTCAATTTCAGTCGGTTTTCTACGGAGATCAAAGTATGCTACAAATAACCTCTGCATACCAAGAGTATAATGGACTGACTGTGCTGCAGGCCTCAAGACATGGCGTCGATTGAATGATGCAGCAGGGGCTCTGCTTGCCGCTGGACTCCACGAAAATGCCCAACAGGGATACAATGCTGCTTTCTTCCTGTGTGAAGTGCGCAAGCGCATTTTCTCTCGCTTATACGGAATTGACGTTAGCCTAGCAACATTTCTCGGGCGACCGCCTCGAATGAGTAAAAGATTCTGTTGCATCAACTTTCCCCTTGACATTGATGAAAACATGTATTCCATCACAGGCGATGATCTCAATAGAGAACTGGGAAAGCTGGACCAAGATGGTTGGAACACGCAGGGCCATATTCGGATGGGTGCAGTCTTGCGATGGTCCACAACCACTGCGATGATCCGGGAAGATACCCTCGAATTACTCCTTGGCCAGAATGTATCCGACGTACAACAGCGGATATTGTACGTCGCTCCCGCCGCTTTACTAAATTATTTGACTGACTAGATCTAGTGAATTGCGCCGCGACATCAGTGATGCATGGGCCAAGCTTCCTCGCTTCCTCATAGTATCGTCGCATGAACTTTGGCACAGGCCAAGATCCCGGCGTGAAGCCGAGTGCCTGCATCAGATTCGGCTGTTTTATCTTCAATCGGTCTTTTTGATTGAATGGGCAGCTTGGCGGCACGGTATCGAACAGTCAGCCCTATTTGAGTCTGCGAGCGAACTCCTGTCCTGGGTCAACGAGGCCTTGGTACGCCGAGAACAGTTACCGAGTTTAGGCTTTATATCTTTAGCTTGGAGAGTGTGTGATTTCGGCTCCATGTCTGTGCCGTCTCACTTTGCTAATTCTATGCAGGTTGCCTCGTGCGCTCTACCTGCAGCAGGTGCTCTTGCTCTTTATCTTTTGCAACCATCATCTCGGTTCCGATTGAAGCACATAGATGCCCCTCTTCGGCGGCAAACAATCGAAAGCCTCTCTGTGTTAACCGCGCACATGGATATATTGCATAGTCCGAACGACGGAAATTTTAAATTATTTGCTCAGGCCAAACGTTCTCTGCAATCGGTTGTCGACTTGCTCCTACAACCTCTGGATGCACCAGAAATCAATACACCGTCTACCGACGCAGCGGCGGACCTGTCTGCAATTGATTGGATGGCCTCCGATTATTGTGGCTTTAACGGTGGTTTTTGGTATGTCTGCACTCTCTCTAGTCATGGAATTTCTATTAACCCAGTATGCCACAGGGTCAATTTTCCAGATTGCCTCTATATGGGAGACAACGGGGACTCTATCCTTCATTAAATCGCTTTAAAGCCATATCCCTTCATGTGTTGCTGTAAATAGATTAAACAGGACTCAGGCCATGATTAATATATACGCGCCCTATGATTCGTGGGCCGAGCCACACAAATGAGGTGGAGCCTCAGGATATCGTCATGTTGGACGTCATAGGCGCGTAGGTCAGATGAACACGTTAATAAATAGATAAACCTCAAGAATCATTTCCAAGCCCCAATTTCAATCAAAAGTATATATTGACAATGTTCTACTTCATCCTTTACGTTGTCTCCCAACTCGTCCTCCTCGGCGCATGGGTCTCCGGCATGTTGGACCAACACCAGAAAAAGCTACAGGAAATACTCTTGGGCTACATGGGAGAGACGAAAGTGTCATATGGAATGAAGAGTGTGTTCTCAATTTGCCTGTGCCCTTCTAAACTACATATCGCTAACTAGCGACGCTCTGTAGAAAGCTTGGCGAGTAAGAAATTTTGCGAGAATAAGGATCTCAGCAAGCTTCAAGACCAGCTCGGGAATCAGCTTGGCGCAACATTTGGGAAAGGAGGAGTTGGAGAGGAACTTGGTTCGACACTGAGCAAGGCGCTGTGACTCTCCTATGGGTCGAGGGGATAATACAAAGGCCTTGGATTGGCTAACTATGGACGTTCAAAATCAACATTTGGCATTGCTGTATTCTTCACACTTTAAACGAGATTTCACTTTCGTCAAATTGCACCATCAGATTTGTGACATCCAACATAAATCCCATAATAATCTCATTAGATTCCATCACCTGGTATTAGCGGGTAGCGCCTCAAAATATGCTCAACTCCATCACGAATCCAGGTAAAGCTCATCCAAAACAGCATTGCAGTACTCCTGATAATACTCGGCACCCTTCCAAGTACTACGATAAGAGCGTAATCCAACCGTACGCCAGCCTTCGGCCCGGAGGCGGGTGATGCGCTGTTCTTTGCTCTCCTTCCGCAGCGGCTGCCCAAAGTAGTCCACTATCTTTTCACAGCCATCATCCTCCATTTGGTCAGATAAATCATGCTGAGTCACAGGGCTGAATGTCCAGAACGATGCACAGCGTTGCATGTTTCGGGCACGACGGGTCTGCTGCAGCTCCGTGATGTGATCGACTTGGGATTGCAGTGAAGTAATACTTGAAGTAATCTGAGACCGCAGGAACTCGATGTTATTGTTGAACCGGGAGATCACTGGCGCACCAGCAAAAGATATTGGTTCACAATGCTTGCTTGTAATCTTCTGCGCCTTTGTGGTATTTGTGTTGGTGTGTTTAGAAAGAAAAGGCTTTGGCAGAAAAGCATTATTTGGCCGCTGGTTATCGGTGTTTAGACGACTGGCGGAAACAATCCTGAGCGGCAGCGGAGGTGGAAGGGATCTATTTGAGAATTCTGACCGAAGGATTGACTTGCTTGTGTGATCTTTGGTTGTTGCAGCAGCGTTGCTGGAGGTTGTGATATCAACAGAGGGCTTTCTGATTCTGAGAGGCGAGGGAAAGAGACGCCCATTTTTGTTCTCTTTGGTGTCTGGGGGGAACTTGTATAGAGAAAGCGTCGCAGGAAGCTCAGAGCTAGGTCCGGGGTCTGAAATGAAGGGATCATCCCCAGCACTGAGCAGGGAACTGTCGATCATGCGTGTGATGCTGCTGATGAGGGACTTGCGGACTGGAGATGGGAAGAGACCATACTCACAAGAGTCTTTAGCGTAGACAGACATATTATGTTTCTCTTGGAGACTCGGCAGAGGCATGAAGTCTGGTAAAGCGGCATTGCACGAAATGAAGTGATCGAGGGACAGACGCAAAAGTGATATTTTGTTGCTGGAGTAAACATGGGCTGCTCGACCCTGGAACTCGTAAGAGATTGCGGTGTAGAAATGGAGGTAAGTCTTGTGGATAGGGTTAATCTGGAGAGCAAGGTATGTCAGACAAGCGACGGGTAGTATTTAACTCGAAGGCACGGACAGGTTCCTTTGCAGCAGCAAGAAGCTCCATAGAGCGCATCTGGCATTGCTTGTATTGGCGCTGGACGTAAAGCTGCTTCACGCCGTTGAGCGCGTCCTTCCACTCGTTGAGAGTGTGAGGGCGCGGCGTGGACGGAAAAGAAATTGACAGAAGGGAGTAGTTGCTTGAGGTATCCACGTTCATGATGGGAATATGGACAGAATGAAGCAAGAAGGGAGTGTATGAGGCTTATGATGGGTGATGGAAGAAAAGGAAAGAAAAAGCTAGAAGAACGGCTGGGGGGTAGTTTCTTAGAGGAAGCACGACGTCGAGGTGGGAGGAACACAACACGTCCACGCCCAAATGGGAAGTAGGGCAAGGCAACGCCACACCTTATTTGGGAATCTGCGAAGAATAATTACGAGGAATAACCGGCTCAAGACCACGATCGTGTTTGATTAAATCTAGACAACTTCAACTCACCACCCTCATTGAGCCTGCTCAGAGGTGTCATCTGTTTTATTCTCATCATTCCCAAGTCTTGCCTTGGACAGCGCCTCGCCCGTAGCTGATAGGGAATCCAGAAAGTCGCCAAGCAAGCGATCTAGCTCCAGTGTCAACACGCCATCATCAACGCCCTCCATCAAGCTCTCCGCACTGGGAGGAACAAGGGCCGGGAATGAGATAGCGCCCAGGTCATCTGATCCCACGATAGTAGTCGCTCGCGACTCAGGTTCACGACGGGCAGTCGGCAAGGCCTCAAAGATCGGAGATCCCGGCTCCGATGTTGATGAGGCCGAGGGCCCGAGCGAAGACTCGCGCTGCGGGATGGCGGTTGGCAATGGCACGTAACTGGGCGTCATCACCTCCTGATCGTCTTCCCAAAGAGGCTGAGACTCCTCATCTGGTCCCGGTCCATCGAGGAGTCCTGACGCTTCGAATTCGTTATACCCCATCGTTTCCATCATCGCAGGGAACTCTTCCTTGAAAACGTGGGTATGCTGAACGGAAGATGTTCCTTCCGGGGTTCCCGGTCGATCGAACCTGAACGGATCGTAGTCTGAGTCCGACATCGTGGACTTGTTCGATGCGGATGTTGATGGACGGGAAATTGCCGAATCATCTGTGGCTTGCCGCTGGAGACTCGGAACAGGACCCTTGACAGTATCGTGGCGATCCGTCTCTACAGCTGTCTCCTGTTCCTCAGGCGGAGGGGCCATGATAGGGAATGTCCATTCCATGGTCGCACGTTTCTCTGCCAGGGCCGGGTCTAGGGCCGGGTCCTCTTGGATAGGTTCTGGGACTGAAACTTCTTTGGTCGTCTGAGAAGATTCTTCTTCTTCTTCTGGAGGATTAAATGTTGGAAACTTCCAATCCATCGTCGGAGGCCGTGGCCCTGACTGGGGTTTGAAAGTCTCATGCAGAGAATCGCTCTCCGAAGCCGATTCATTGGAGTTGCGTTGCAAGTTTCGGTTGGCGCGAATGGTATCAGCATCCGCTAGCTGGAAAGGCTGCGTGGCTGCAGCGCCGGCCGCATAGTGTGAGGAGTCAAATGAGCCAATGTCGATATCGATGAAAGTAGAGGTGACAGAAGAGCGGTCGGTTTCGGTGCGAAGGGGAAGGTCTGTAGATGGTGGAGACGGGTCGATCGGCACAAAGTCATTCTTAGTTTCGTATGTGTAACTCGGTAACTCTTCGTTAAAAAGTCCCTCCATTGCCGCGGCACCTCGACGCACTCGTTCGTCAAAGTTTGCCTTATCTTCTGGGTTCATTTCCCCATCGGATGAGACATCATCGCTGACATCAACGTCAACGGTCGGGGTGTTGGGACTGATCTCTTCTTCCATCTGGGCCAAGGATGCTGCAATTTGGTCGAGATCGATGACTGAGAATCGCCTTTCAAAGCCATCTGTGGTGCTGAAGCTCCAATCCTCCTCCGATTCTTCGGTACCAGGAAGCTCTGCAGCCGCAGCGCCTCCAGGATGAAACAGGGAAATGCGCTGGCCTCCTCTTTGAGACCATTGATAATAATTTCGGACCAGCTCGCTGACCGAGGATGTGGGATATTCTTCATCGGTATCTGCAAGGTAGGGATGCGCAAGAATCTCGGCCATTGTGGGTCGAGCGGAAGGATTTGATTCGAGTGCAAATGAGATGAGATCCTTTAGTCCCTGGCTGTACCTGTCGCTCTCCAGTTTAGGAGTATTGCGGTTCAATTGACGGCCGATTTGCATGCGCTCCCGTAGGCCCGAGTTAGGTGGGTTCCCTGTCGCGAACTCGTATAGTGTGCATCCATATGCCCATACATCGATCTGAACAGTTAGCGTGAATTTTTCTTCAAAGACAGTCGAGATACTTACTTCACTGCTGTACTGATGCGCCTCACCTCGTGCTGCAAACATTTCTGGGGGCATCCAATGTGGCGTCCCAATCCATGTGGACCGTTTGTCTCGTTGAGATTGAAGAATACCTGCGACTCCAAAATCACAGATTTCTAGTCTCCCCTCCTCATGAATTAGAATGTTCGCAGCTTTGACGTCGCGATGAATGATTCCAGCATCGTGTATAGCGCGGAGTCCAACAGCGAGTTCACGGGCAATGGGAATAATGTATTTTTCATCCAGTTTGTCGTTAGTCGCACGCATCTGACGAGGTCAACATTCAATCCCAGAGACGGAAAGCAGGACACCATACCAAAGTCCGAACACTACCACCGGGGCAGTACTCGCAAACCAGCCACAGTTGCGAGTGAATAGATATAGCCTCAATGAGCTCGTTAATATTCTTGGCCCCGGAGTCCTTCACTTGCTTCATGACTTTAGTCTCATGGATGAAATCCTTGATGGATTCATCCCTGAAATCACGAAGAGACTTGTAATCCAAAGAGTCGATATCCAAAACCTTGATGGCCACCAGCCGATCCGAAGAAGTCTGTCGACCTTTGTAGACGCGACCATATGCGCCTTTGCCAATCAGCTCCTCGAACTCATACGGCGGAACTTCGGTCTTGGCGCGACGGCACATTTCTCGGACGGCCTGCCCCTGCTCGCGCGCAAGCTTGATGGCCTCGGCTTTGTGTTTCGTAATAGCCGCCATCGCGGATGCGGACGACGGGTCCAACAAATGTGACCCCCGTGACTCCATTTTGATTAGAAAGTAGCGGATGGCAACTGCAAGATGTGTGCAATGTGTAGTTAACGCACAGCAGTGCGCTGTTGCGTAATTGAAGAATTATTCTGGGTACGAGTTAGGAAACGCGACACCGAAAAGACAATTGCGGAACCAGAAATCGGGCATACTCACTGATGGCGCTGTCATCAGCAGACAGGAAGCTGACTTCCGGTCGCAGACCGGTTAGCGCCAACGAATGAGCAGAATGTGATATCCAATGATTAAATCTGTCATATTGTTATACACACATTAGCCAATCAAATCAAACCCGGGCAGGTGCAGGACCCAGGCAAGAATGTGGCACATCTTTGGCGACAGGGTGGAAAGTCCCAGTGGTGCCCAAGAAGGCACGGGGAATGGAAGCCACAAGCGGAAAGTATATGAATGAATGGACTTACTAGAAGTGGCAGTCAGGCGCCATCAGCCCAACGCAGAGCATCCAGAACTGGAAATCGGCCGAACTGCGTCATGCGCTAGGCCGCGCTCCAGACTCCCTAAGGGGACCTCAGTGGCGCGAGTGGTGCTGGACAACAATGAAGGGGACAACCAGGACTGGTGAGTGGGAGTGGAGAAATCGTTCACTGTATTCACGAGAGATGTACTGGACAGAAGGAAGGGCTGGGATGTTGTTGATGTTTGCCAATAACATTATGTGTCTGGCGACAAATGGAATGGATCACGTGATACTTCCCCCCTTTGGGTATAGCGTCAATCGTACTGTCCGTTGGAAGAGAGGATTCAATGCTGCGATTCTCTGAGACTGTTTGAAAAGGAGACCGAAATAAGTGGAATCATCATTGATAAAAGCATAATTATCAATAGACTGCCCCGTATCAAAGAAATGACCTCGCCAGATCTATTTAAATTCTCAACGAGCCTTTATATGTTCAACTAAATACACTTGAGCCTGCCTATAGAGCATCCAAGCAAGCGAACAAGTCTGCATTCTACAGACCAAACTGCGCCCGCAGAGACTCAGCAAACCGACTAATGGCCTCGGAGATCTTTTCTGACGACGCCGCAGCAAAGGTAGCACGGAAGAACATCTTATCCTCTGCAACCGACTGGTCGGCCAAGAACCAGCTCCCGCGCGAAATAAGGACGCCCTTGTTGACTGCCGACATGAAGATTTCCTCTTCAATTTGGTCACGGGTCTTGCCGGAGGCGATGCCGGGGTGCTTGCGCCAGTCGATTCCAATCCAGTGCTGTACAATTTGTTAGCATTGATCAAAGATTAGAGGGCGGACTATTAGACTTACGAACATGCCTGCTGCCGGAGGAACCCAGTGAGCAATCTCTTTAGGCAGGTGCTTCTCACAGGCGTGAATCATCGAGTCCCGACGGCTGGTATACTGCATGCGCAGATTAATCAGCCAGTCCAGATACCCAGTGTGGCCCCAGTGTTCGTCCAGAAGCTTATACAGCACAATCTGGGAGATGCCGCTGGGGTTCTGCGAAGAGACCTCAAAGGTGCGCACGAAGCGCTCAAGCATCTGCTCCGAGGCAACAATCCAGCCGACACGGGTGCCAGGCGCAACGACCTTGGAGAAGGACTCGAGACGCAGCACGCGGCCATCAACGTCCAGGCTCAGGAAAGACGGAACCAGAGACTTGATGAACTCATCGTGGGTGGCAGGCGGGGGAAGAGGCTTGGCGCCCTCGCCGCCGGACGGCTGCATCTGCAGGAAATAGTAGGGCTCGTCTTCGACGATGTAGATATCGTGCTTTTGTGCAACCTTGTACACAGCCCGACGGCGCTCGGCGGACTGGGTCGCTCCCGTGGGGTTCTGGCCCGTTGGAATGGTGTACATCACGTAGGGCTTGCGCGCACCGCGGGCTTTTGTATCCCAGTTGCTGAGAAGGTCATCCAAGGCCTCGGGGATCATGCCTTGCTCATCCATGGGCACGCCCAGCGCTTTGAGACCTAGGGGGAAAGCGGTCTCCGCAGCGCTGGCAAACGTGTACTCTTCCATGATGATGTAGTCGCCTCGCTCGCATAGCACCCGCAGTGCCGTATCCCAAGCATAGGTGCTACCGGCAGTCAGAGAGCATTGCCAGTCCGAGTAAGGGGGGTTGTGGATGATCTGTTTCTATCAGACACGGTCCGGAATTTGAAGGTCTGGAAATGCTCACCTCTGTGTGCTCGGTCACAAATCGGAGCAATTGGGCAGCTCCCGTAGCTTGGCCATAGTTCATTGCAATTTCAAGATCTGCAAATGACACTCAATTAGTGGCTGTTTCACTTCGACTTTGCCGTATCACATACCGTAGAGGCTTTTTCCTTCTTGGATGTCATGCTTGCCAGCCCGCAACACTTCACCCGTCTTCTGGGTGGCCTCGGGAGAGAAACCGGGGGGTGTGGGCACCTTGATGTCGAGATGTTCGAAGGGAAAGTACTCGGGAGAGGGCAGACCGCCGCCAAGGGAGATGATGCCTGGGTTCTTCAAGAAACGAGCCGCGCCCTTCAACGTGGACGACTGTGAAGGGCAGAACGATCAGCTTTCGTGAACTTGAAATTTGTATAATTCGGTATGCGAACCTTGCGCGACTTGGCCTCGAGAGACAGGAGATCTGTGGAAACAACATTGGTTAGAACAATGCACAAAAGTATAGATGGCTCTCGGTGTAGCAACGTACGGTCAAACCGCTTCGCCTTGGGCTTGTTATAGCAACTCTAGCCCAACATAACCCCCTATCAGCATTTCTTCTCTGGCATATCTAATCCATCAAGTCATACCGGGCTCTTGAACATATCGCTGCTGCTCGCCGCCGCGACGCCAGTGGGCATCTGCGCCATCTTCTCCCGCCACGCCGGGACGCCATTGACGGTCAACGGGTCCGGAACAGGAATCGCAGTGGTGTCCGTAACCCCCATCAGGTCGACTTCGAGTGGTGCGGGTGGGCTCATCGTGACTGGAGCGGGAAATGGTGCGAAGCGGGAGTGTAATTCCGCAGCTTTGTGTGTGCGGGCAAATCCGCTTTAGGTGAGTGGGCAGAGAACTGATTTGCTAGAAAGGCGCAGTAGCTGGTCGCGACACAGAGTATAGCAGTTCACGCAGCAACTTCGAGATCCAAAGGGTAGTTGCGAAAGAAGAGAGTGGACGGAGGCGAGGAGGCAAGAGGCGGAATGGAATGGGCAAGAGTTTACTAGAAGCCCGCCCTCGGCGGTTTCGGCAGCCAATAATAGGGACTCACCGCATTGGGTGCTTTCTTATTACGAGATTCGGATTCCCCCTCACCACCAATTTCTGTTATCTAATGCATGCCTGTGCGAGGGCAACAACGCCGTGGTTGTGCGCCCTGCCATTGACAAGGTGCGGGGCACGCTGCAACTACACTCGGGTACACAGATTGGAGGCCGAATGGGCCGCCGATCATGTATTTTTCTGCCATCCCGCCTAGATAAGGCTACCCCCGGCATCGGACAGCTTATCGGAACAGAGTCCGCGACAGGGGAGTGGGCCGTGGAACTATACTCAGAATGGGTTGAGTTCAACATTGAATTGGCTGCTATGCACTCTTGTTTGGAGGACACATTATGAGCTGTATGGGGTAGAACGTGAATGGAGTTGCCAGGTTTCATCGACTGACCTAACTGAATACTCAGTTCTAGAGATTCGCACGCTCCACATACTTGCCAACCGTGCCATCCATCTGTGCCTCCAACACAGCACTCTTCCCGCTCAGCACACTCTGAATCGCCTCAGGCAGTTTCTGCGCCAGCTCCGCCACAGTGGCAGCGCGGCCAGCCCAGATCTCGCCGCCAGCGGCCGCCTTAGCAATGCCGGGGTAGTCCGGCGAGGGCGCGAAGGAGATATTGAGATCCTCATTTGTAGCGCGGGAGGCATCGCCGTCCGGATGAACAAGCAACATGCTCCGTCGCGGCGCATTCCAGCCCTTATTGTTGAGGACAATGGTCAGCACGGGGATCCCGTAGCGCCGCGAGATCCAGTACACTGATCCCGGCACGGAGAACAGGTAGGTCCCGTCGCCGACGACCTGGCAGACGAATTTGCCCTTGTTGCGCCCACCGTGCTGCACATCCGTCGCCAGCTTGATGCCCAGTGCTCCGCCGCCTGACCAGCCAAGACCACCGCCGCCACAATTGATCCATGATTGTGGCAGAGTGGCCCCGATTTGATCGCTGACCATATGGGTCAGAGTCACGGCTTCGATGGCCCAAATCGTGTCTTGCGGGCAGCCTTGGCGAACCTGGCCCATGAGATAGTGAATGTTCAGTGCTGCGTTTTTGCCGCCTGCGGGCGTGACGGCGAGATCGGAGATGGCCTTCCGTCGCTGCAAATACTCCTCATCCCGACGCTTGCCCATGCTGAGATTTTGCTGGGAGGCCACAAACTGCTGAAGGGAGTTATTAATCGAAATATGGACATTGAGCTGCTTGAGCGCTGTAGTAGCGTCGGCACGGAAGGTAGCCATGGCATTAATGTAGAAGACGGGGATCTGCTGCTTCAGTGGATCCACGTCGATGTGAATAATCTTGGCCGATGGCGACGGCTTGAACTGGGTAGGAACCCAGGGGACATCGCAGTCAATCACAAGGATCACGTCGGCTGTCTTAATGGCCTCATGGCCGGGATATCTCAGCCCGAGCCAAGCAGGATGATTGGCAGGGAAGCACATATCACTTCCGCCGGTGTCCAGGACTCGGATACCCTTAAAGTGATTTGCCAAGTTGACCAACTCCACCACAGCCTGTGCCTTCCGGCCGGTGTAACCAGCAATAACCAATGGATTCTGAGCAGCTGCGAGCTCTGATGCGATCATGTTCACTGCCTCATTGTGTAGAGCAGCCGGGGAAACGGGACCCCAGAGACTCTGATCCAGCTGATAAGGCTCAATGTCCTCCTCCATAACTTCTCGGGCACCGACAAGGTATACGGGGCCTTGAGGGTCACTGGTAGCGAATTTTAAAGCCCGGTTGACAATCTGCTTAACATTCTTGCCGGTCTTGATCTCCCCAGAGTACCGGCAGTATTGCGAGACGATTTGCTTCTGGTCTGGCACATCCTGGATCCAGTGGATATACTCGGTGCGAGAGCCGCGGCTCTCTCCTTCGATTGTATACGGCGACAAGCCAGCGAAGATCAGAACGGGTGCGCGGCCGCACGAGGCATTGTGGACCGCGGCACCCAGTCCCTGCGTTCCGACATCGACGTGAACGATCACCGCTTGGGGCTTGCCTGTCAAGCGGGCGTAGCCGTCAGCCATTGACAGTGCGACCATCTAGTGCGGGTTAGCTCTACTGCAAACAACAAGACTCTTTTATAAACAACCGACCTCATTGGGACAGGTGATGATGGTAGGGAACCGATCTTTCCTCTCCTTTTGGCCCTTCACCATAGCCTCCAGGATGGAGGGGTGGTCGGACCCCAGATTGACGAAGACATGAGTGACGCCGCCCTAGTAGTCAGTCAGTATTGCAAGAATGAATGAAGTTTATTTGTGGGAACCGACCTCCCAGAGAGCTTCGAAAAAAGCAAAGGATGCAGTGTAACCCCTAGCTTCAGGTGAGCTATCGACTCGCAATGCTATCACGGTCCCTTTGCACATACATAATTCCTTCTTATGCAAGTCTATGATAAAAGGCCGAGTTTGAAGAGCAATAAATTAAGTGACAAGACAAAGTCCGAGGGTGAGCTGCGAAGATAGATGCTCAAGATGAGGGGAACCTTGATAGTGAGGGGGAACGCTGATTAAAGACTCGGCGACAATCCCGAGACTCAGAATAGCGTGGGGGTCTTACCTAAAGCGAGCAGAACGACGAAAATCTTTTTTAAAACAAAACAAAAATAATAAACAAACCTGTTTGGTTCTTGTTCATATTTGTTCATGTTGTTGAGTCGTGGTCATAGTCTTCCATCTTCGCTCGCAAATATTTTTATATTACGACAATGCACTAACAAAACAGACATCATGTTTAGGCATAGGTGAAGATATTAACTTGGGAAAAACTCATCTTTTGAAGCTGAAGATAGAGTTTCGAACCATGACTTCGTAAACCGAGACAGTAAATTGTCAATCGATGCTGAGAAACCCCGTTTGGTTAGTCGATAAACAGCCTACTTACCAACTGGTGGATAGTGCCTGTTGATACTATGGACGTTGTCCTGTTGATGCTACCTATTGGCACAGAATTCCACTTTTGTCTTTCTAAAGCTGTGAGTTCCTCAGTTCATGTCACCCTTCGCATTCTACTCTATTAATTTTAGCCTTTGTAGTTTTTAACCTTTGAGTATGGCCAATCTTGCTTTCAACCGGAAATCTTCAGGTCAAAATGAAAGCGTTCTTGACTTACTACGAGCTTGCTTGGAAGCAGAAATAAATGCGAGGCCAGCAGCTGTAATAGGACATGGCTGTACGAGGACAGTAGCTGTAACAGGACCATCTTGAAATCGCGTCGACTCACGCGTCTGATCATCAGCTTTCGACACTGAACCAGGGATATACGTCCCCAGATCAACTAGCTCTTAGACGTCGATACTCAATACAGTAGCAGTAGAATATCACTATATTCTACTAACTGAGGACAGTGTACCTTCTCTACTTGACAGGTATCCTATTTACTAGCAGCAGCCGCAGCCGCAGCCGCAGCCGCAGCCTCCTTATCAGCGGCCAACAACTTCTGTATGGCTGGCCGGTTCACGCAGCGATCCCACCACGCACGAACAGCTCCGCGACTGATGATGACATCTCCGTAGCCGCACGCGAAAAGTCGTTGGATCAGCGGAATGTAGTAGATATCAACGAGAGTGAAGACATTTCCAGCCATGTACTCTTTGTTCTGCAACAGACGTTCTGCCACGTCGAAAAACGCCTCCACCGACTTCAGTGCGGCTTCGACGACGGCGTCGTCGGCGGGTAGCCCCATGAAGCGTTTGGCAAATTTCTCGAAGGCGATTCTGCCGGCTGGATCCGCGAAGTAGAGCATTTCGACGGACTGTGCCTGGTCGAACAGCGCCGCGGCTTCGACGTCGGAGGCGGAGGGCAGAAGGGGAAATGAATACTTTGTTGCAAGGTATTTGCAGATTGCGCGACTTTCATAAAGAGTGAAGCCATCGGCGGAAGTTAGTGCGGGTATTTTACCCCATGGATGTCGTTGCACGTGTTCTTTGGACTGGTAACGACGGCGTCAGCTTGGGAACAAATGATTATGAGTGAGAAGAAATTTGAGGCTCGATACGATATGCAATTCGCATCGTCTTCCAAGAGAAACGGGTCACCCACCTTTTGCTCCCCTTTCTGAAGGTTGAGAAGAACGAGGTCGTAGTCGGTAAAGCCACCTTCGGCGAGAGTCAGGCGGACACGATCGGTGTTGGTCGATCCGCGAGAGCCATAGAGAGTAAACGCCGGCATTTTCGATTTCGGGCTGTACAGCAGTTTCGACGCGAATCTGGGGCTATTTGTGAGCTTCGATATTGTGGAAGTTCTCATCAAGAGAGCCACTCAGTATTTAAGGCGAAGACATCTCACTGGGAGCAGAAGCTAGCGGTATTTATAGAGCCTCTTCCACTTCCATCGAGACCCTTTGGGATTCACAAGCAGCGACACTGGCCTGGGATATGGTTGGTCGGTTCGCTTTCGCTACCCGATCGGGCTAGCGCTGACGTCTGCTAGAGACATGACATTCCTTACAAACGTATGGTTGCGGTGCGGAATCACGCCGCATCATTTGATTCGTCTGGTCGGATTTCTTGCTTGCTATGGAAATTTGCTACTTGCTAAACGCTGATCCTGCTCGATGCCAAGCGTGGAGAGCCGCCAGAAGGCCAGGGATACGAAGTTATTTGAAGGGCAGTCTCGGCAGTGTGCTTGCTAAAGAAAGCGAGGAACTCTACGGGCTTTCTAAAAATTCTGGTGATGACCCTGGCACGGATGGAGGCTTGTTTGGGAGGGTAATGTCACAGACCTGGTTCCCAGTCATGTGCTTCTCATGTGACTTAGCTTCTACCTGTGCTTCCCCACTTTCTTCCGGACTTCGTAGTATTCTAAGAATAACGATTCTTCCTCTCGTCTAAAGAGTGTTCCGCGCAAGCGTGAAAGTCCCACCCCCCGCCCAATGATGGTCGGAAGCGTCGTTGCCCGCAAACGGAGCACTAAATGTAGAACAAAGGTGAAAACTGGTTGTACAACCTGCAGGTCAGTCATATCCCGTCACCGGTCTACACCCCAAGACTTAGACGGCCAATCAGCTCGGCAGTGAGTGTGCTCAACAAGCAATAGAATTAGGAAGGTCAAATGCGATGAGAATAAGCCGTTTTGCCAAAAATGTGTCAGCACTGGTCGTACTTGCGACGGCTACGAGTCCCCCTTTAGATTTTCTACCAGTCAACCCATCAACAATGCTCATGCTGGTGGCATCAAGTCAGACGTTGGTTTAGAACCAATCCGGTCACCCTTCATTGACATCACTCCTCAGGACATCGACCTTCTTAATCGTTACTTCTCCACCAAAACCATGTTCGACGTGAATCTGGGCTGTCACGAAGAAGCCAGACAAGTCCTTCAAGCCAGCTTGACAGATCCGCTCGTACGACACTCACTATTGTCTCTCAGAGCTCTTCGGGAAGATCTCGAGACGTCCGGAGACGGTCCAGTGTCTGTCGCGCAGCAGATCCCGAGCTATCAGTATGGCCTCCAGCAATACAGTATGGCTTTGGAGGGTCTTGCGTCTAACTTGTCATCTCTGGGCTCCAATGGGTTGAAGTCGGCATTACTTTGCTGTCAGATGTTCATCAGCATTGAGCAAGTGCGAAAGAATTACGCTGCCATGGCCCAGCATATCATTCACGGACTCAAGATCATGCACGAGTACCGGGCAAGGCCAGGGTTTGTTGCCGCGAACAAATTGCTGCCAGCACACCATGACCAACTACCCTTCGTGGATGTCTTCATTATCAAGCTGTTTGCTGCACCTTGTAAATTTGCAGATCCTCCAGCAACAGCCGAGGGAAGTGGGACGGCGTCGTCTGTGTCTTTGATTTCGCCTAATCAACAACCTGTTGAATCTTGCGATCTTCGCACGATTGCACCCGACATGCGGACAGAGCTTACAAGGATTGCCGCGTCGACGCTTGAATTCCTCTCCAAAGTCTCGCAAGTCGAATCCGTAGGAATCGCTCTCCGACTACTATCCGAGAAAGCAGCTCTGCTAGACTCTCTAGAATCATGGCTCATTGATCTTGACCTGGTTCAGATGGAGATCGGACCTCCCGGCCCTGAGCCTATTTCAGTGTCTTTCTTGCGCCTCTTCCATCTAATACTGAAAATCGTTCTGTGCGGGGCACTAGACTCCTCACCAGATCTTTATGCCCGGTTGACAACTGAGAACGACCGATTACAAGGCCTAGCCAACAACCTGGGTGAAAGACTTAGGGCTTATAGAACGTGCAGTGGGACTGGTAGTGGTCGAGGGAAGCTCTCCGTAGTGTGATGATAGTTATGGCAAAGCGGCGTGTTCTTTTCTAGCCACGCATCTGATTCCTGTGTTTCCACAATCAATGGAATCCGCATACTCCGTTGCTAGCAAGTTCTGTAATTTTGGCTGAAATCTACGCAGGGAGCCAGACCCTAAGCTTCCTCACTAAAGGCACGGCCGCCCAGATAGGTAAGCCCCATATGGCAGAGAAAGTCCGGAACGTACAGGCACATACACACAGGATAATGTCTGGCGCCCCGTGACTAGCTCTTTCCGTTTTAGTGCTCGATGTTCAAATCAGCCGGCGCATCGCTCCGGCAGCACCCTTCCGATGGCCTCCTGGTCTTATAGGTGCCTCCCGGGTGACACTGGGATATCCCGAATCGCCTAGCGATCCAGAAATGTGAACTAACCCTCTCGGAATATGTCCTATCACTTCTTTCATTTCATGCGCTGCCTGCGTTTTCCCGCTATTTCGGTGTTCGAGTCCCGTCTATGGCGGTTGGATGAGAAGTCGCCGTATTGGGTAAAATATAAATCACGCAACGGGAGGCTGATGTGCATCATGTTGCTGGATAAACTTGGAGGCGATATACAACTGTGACTCGGAGTGTTACATAGGAGCGTTTGAATCGATCACGCTTCCACCGGAGGGGCCTCGGAGCAAGGGCAAGCTTGGTACGACCAGAAGCTTTAGGTCTCGGACAACGAGGTATCCACTGGCCCTCACTTACCATATAGGTAATCATGAGTGTGGCTGCCGTTACTCAACACAGCAGAATTAACTCCGCAAGATATAGCCGATGATTAGGAGGGCAGAGGATACCTCGGCACGGGCGTGATAATGATATGCTACGGGGAAGAGTCGCTGTTCAAAAGGGCTCGATTATTTATTGGCTACCCATATAATCATGAACGGCAGATAGGACTTTCAATGGGCAGACAGTGAGACATCACGAGACGCAGAGAAAATTGATCATTAGGCGTTCAGGTTCAGCGGTGATACGCAAGAGAACGAGTTCAATTGTGGAATTTTGAATGCAATGATCATACCTGGGAGGGGTTAGTATATTACTGAAATCATGGAGCCGAAAAGGACGAACTCACCTTCGAGAGCAGCCCAAATACCCAGGCCGCACATAGATAGAGACGCCAGGAAGTAAATGACATGCCAGGTATTGATGGCGACCTGGAACCTCCCCCCGCTGAAGAAGCCACGGATCCATCGCTGAACGGTAGATCCCTCCCTGCGCACTTGTCCGGTTGCAGGGTCGAAGCCTTCTCCGCGCTCGGGTCGGATGGCATTCTTTTGAATATCGAAACCGAGCGCGAAAATCGGGGGAAGGGTATAAGTCAGGTTGAGAAGCATGGAGGCAGAGATGAGGCTGTTCAGGCCAAAAAAGTCGGGTATAGCTGCGGCGATTATGAAGGCGATGGCCCAGTACATCGGAACGATACATGCGTAGAAGATCTTGCCGCGCTTGGTGGTCAGTGGTGGTGCGCCCAAGATATCCAAGAAGATATTGTTGTAGATGACCTTGATACCGATGTTCCCGTACAGACCACCGCTGATTAGGGAGGCGCAAAGTGAAACCATATTTCCCACTGTTTGCCAGCCGTATATGCTGACGCCCTGGTAGCTGGGATTGAAGGAGTATTGACCTTGGAGGTAGTAGACGACACATCCGTAGGTCAAGTACAAGCCATAGATAAAGAACTGCGCTCCCCACATCGCCTTGATGAAGTCCATAGGCCGGCGCATCTCAGCCATAAATTCGACGAATAGCTGCGCTCCAGCGTAGGCCAGTACGCCAGATAGCATGCCATTTACTGTACCGATTAAGCCATTGGGAGGGATATTGTTGTAGTGTATAATCGGTGGATAGTTCCCATCCTTGTCGGGCGTGATAGTAGATGAGTCTACCGCACTCCCTGCTGATCCCAATCTCGAGATCGCGTAGTTAGGGGGTGTATTAGCCATGACGCCCATCGTCATGATTATCACAAACACGTTCATCCATACCCCAGCGTTGGCTACCCATCCATAGGCTTTGAGACTGCGAATTTGCGAAAAGAAGAGGCCAACGAAAGCGAAGATCAACGGGCAGGCCGCATAGCACAATTTGAACCTAGACACTTGAGAGATGTTCTCACCGAATACCAAAGTGACCGAAGAAACCAGGAACAACAGGGACACTCCCTGGAGAATATTCGTCACATGGCGGCCATATTTGCCCCAGGTCCGGTATCCAAGATCGCCGTAGTTCTTGACCGGAAACTGGTAGCTGTCAACACCCAAGAAGACGCGCCAGATCAAGTAGCCGGAATATCCGGCCATGAAGCCAAATACAGTGTAGAATACGACGCCTGCGTCCAGTCAGTGATGTCCTGGGGCAAGAGTGAGCATGTCCGCGAACCCGGGCCCCATCCCAACGTTCCCATAGTGAATCCAGCGCCATATGGACCCATGATGTCTGTTACGCGGTGAGTCTCCTATTTTGTGGATATCTTGGTCGTTTTGGATTTCCATACCTTCGGCAATGAGATACCAGCCTTGAAAGCGTATATCAGCTATCATGGTTAAAGCGGCAGTATTATCGAGTACTTACAAGCCCCCCATGACGCCGACCTGAACGAACGACTGGCATTAGCCCATTCTTCGTCAGAGATATGAAGCCGATTCTCGTCGGCGAAATCCGTTGCTGTCAGGTGAGATTCCTCCACCCCATCTGGCTTCTTCGAAACGAGGTCGCGCCAGCTGAATTCCGGAGGTGCGTAAGTTGACTCCTCCTCCCTTGTTTTGTTCGCATAGTAGTGGTACTCCTCAAACGTCACATCCGGATCATACGGTTTGCGAGCCTGGGGCTTACTATAGGTGCCCTGCACCACCTCTTGGGAGACGCCCGTGCTGAGCTTCTCGTCCATGCTGTTCAAAGGTGGTCACGTGAAACTATGCCTGCGGAAGAATCGCAAGCGCGATTGAAAGACGGAAGAATTGAAACAGAAAATAACTAACAATATGTTTGAAGTGATCCACAATCGCGCTTTGACTACATATATATATTAAATATACAGCTCGAGACGGACCCCAGCCGACCTCTTATCTTTCCGGAGTCACGCGGGGTGAAAAGCATTAATCGATGCGTTCGGAGTGTCTTCGGAGTGTGTTCGGACAAGGATCATGGCGTCGGGTTGCTGTAGGGGGTGTGTGCTAACCGCCGCTTATCCGGTCCCGTGAGATTGCAACTTACCTTCGACTCGGCCTGGCCTATAGGAGTATTCCTGAGTGACGGACTTGAACTATCCGGAGTAAAGAGGCAAAGTAAGGATTCCTTAAGTATGCTTGGACAAAACTTACGGTGGGGGTCTGATTTGATTTGATTTATTCCTCATGCTTTTCACGACCTTAGGTCGTATGCAGCCCCCTAGTCGATGTAGCCTGGACAGTAGTGATTCAGAACTTACAAGATCCCACATAGGGTATTCCAAAAGACGACAGTGTTCCCGGACGAGCAAATGCGACAGGTCGAAGATATGCCATATCGAACCACACAAGCAAGGACAGGCACTCTCACATATGATGATGTGTTGACTCTAAACTCAAAAGCGATCGCTTCATTCGCATCCCCACAATTGGAGAATACAATAGCGATTGCTAAAGTGAATGCTCTCCGTCACGTCATAAATCGCTCTCAGATTGAGCCCTTCGCCCAAGCTAAGGGTCAGAAGATTTTCATCTTCCCCGCTCTCCATACACGCACAAGATCTTCCGGCCAACCGATCTAAGGCTTCGTGCAAATGACCTACTCGGCCGTACTAAACAAGAGACAAAAATCCTCTCTCCGGCACTCCTTCTCTACACCCCTCGATGCCGACAATGGTATTGACTAACATATGCACCCCCGCATTGTCAGTCAATGGAGCGCTGGACAAGCAGTAAGCATTGTTGCGGATGCAACAGGTGAGTTCTCACTTCAGATATTCCTCGGCGAGATATCTTATATCGTCGATGAACAGACGATTTTTATGAGCTTGAAGATCTATACATTTTCTGTACCAAGCCACCAGCTGTCTTTTGTTCAAATTAAATCGCTCCAAACCAATCTAACTTCAAACGCTTGCAAAGGGCGTCCTGCTAGTCTTTTCATTCGGGACATCTGTAACACTGCGAGGATATTCAGTGCCAGACTTCATTAGGTGACGCATATGTATTAACTTGAAGCTACTTCTAAGATCATTTTCTTGTTTTACACCTCAAATTTTTCAAGGTAGAACTCTATGCCACGCGGCTGGGAAATGCGGGGCGTCTCAACCCGAAACCTTGCTTGCTAGGTTAGAACAGCACCCTAGATGGGCACGGTCTTACCGAATAAAAACTCCGTCTGAGATATAAATGCCGTCGCAATTCCAAGTGGAGCCCCGGAGAACTTGCTTTCCATTAACCACTGCCATACCCATCAAGCCATCACAATGCGTTTGCCAGTGCGATGGCTCGTCCTTTCGTCTGCTTTCCTGGCAAATGGCCAGACATTTAATCCCAACGAGGGAGCCACGCCAGGCCAGTTTGACGCAGCAAAAGTAGGCACCAACAAAACAACAAACGCGACATACTCGAATCCCATTATGACAATCAACGCTGGCGACCCGTAAGTAATGCCGATGGAGAAAGGCAATCTTTCCAGGTATAATGTGGCTTAATTTTCTTTTCAGATTTATGACGCGCTACAATGGTTGGTATTTTTTCACATATTCTACGAACGATAATGTCACCTTGAAACGTTCTCGTGCTATGACGGATAATTGGGACAATGCGGAAGAAAAACTTCTCTTCAATCCTGATCCCTCTAGTGGTGAACCCTGGGCCACAGATGTAAGCTGGATGCAGTGCCAACTGACTATATTAATTCATTTTTATTTTTCAACTGTTTTTGGCTGACGCTTTTTACAGCTATGGGCCCCAGAGATCCACCACATTGGAGACCGCTGGTACATCATTTTCAGCGCAACACCCGACGCAGATGCACCTCACCCACTCCAGGATGCCATGTGCCCTTTTGAGTGCCCCGCTATCAACCACCGGATGTTCGTACTAGAAAGTGACGGACCCGACCCCTGGGCTTCGAATTATAGCATGAAGGGAATGCTCAATACATTCGACCAATTCGCTATCGATGGAACCTATTTTCAATACAAAGATCAGCTTTACCATATCTACAGTTGCTGGGAGAATACATACAGCGCCTGGCCTGCAAATCTCTGCATCACACACTTGAACAGCCCTTGGAACGTTTCCTCCAGTCTCATTGACAGAAGGATGATTTCTGTTCCCAATGAGCCCTGGGAACAAGTTCCGTACGGGCGACCTGGCCGGCTAGCGACGAATGAAGGCCCGCAACAGCTCACCAACCCCAAAACCGGTCAGAACTTCGTCATATACTCGGCGGCACGGGTGAATACGCCTTTCTATTGTCTGGGTATGTTGGAGCTTGTGGGTGACAATCCGATGAACTATCAAAGTTGGCGAAAGCACCAAGAGGGCTGCGTCTTCCACCAGAATCCTGATGCTGGTATCTACGGAACGGGTCATGCGAGCTACACGACTAGCCCCGATGGGACGGAGAATTATATCGTCTATCATGCGCAGACGACGGATAATCCTTCAAGTAAGTGTGCTGGATTTCATCCTCAAAGTGGCTTTCATGTCCCGCTGGCCAATGTTGATTGTGCTGACTTGTTCCGAATAGCGAATCTCTATCGTACGGTTCGTACGCAGAAGTTTACCTGGAATGAAGATGGAACGCCGAACTTCCCAAAGGCTTTGAATGGCCCATTTCCAGTGCCCAAAGGCCAAAGCTAGTGCCGAAGAGATGTTGACTCGGGTTAATAGCTGCCTTTAAATTATGTCTCCTGTGACTTATTCTTCAGTAATGGAGATGAATACGAGATGAGTGACTATCCGCAAACCAGATACGGCGTCCTAGAATGAGCTTAAGACAATGGAAGTAATACCAACCCAAAAGAAAATAAATGTAGTCGATGAGGTGAAAAGATGCGGCCTCAATGAGGGATTTCCGCGGGTCTGAGGTCGGTGGAAGTCCGCGAGAGAAGGTCGCACAATCGGAGTTTTGGAGCGTCGAGGGAATCCTGCTCCTCTCTCGTCTTCTGCGTATAGTAGAGATACTCCTCGAAGGAAACATGTGGGTCATACAGCTTGCGTACCTGCGGCCTTATGTACTCTCCGTGTCCCACCGGCTCGTCTGGCCGGCTAAGTTCTGTGGCATCGCATTTCTCGTCCATCTTGATGCTTGGGTGGACAGCGTGCAAGAGTCAAAACTTACTCGGAGGCAATTTCAACGAAAGTAATAGGTACTCGAGGACAGATACCTGCATCTACTTTCGCAACATAAGCTGGGCCCCGCGACGAAGGTGGCGTGATAAGCAGGTCGTATATAGCAGCGCCCGACCCTTCCTCAGGAAGCGCCTTCGGCCGAGTGGCTTCCTTTCAGTCCAAAGCCCGGCATCGCCATAATGCCAACTGATAGCTGGAGACTATCACTCAGTGGGTCGTGCCACAGTAATGATTCTGGGGTGTTTTGCGAGGCTACCGGGGAGAAAAGGGTTTGTTCCGCCGAGCGGGGAATGCACAGACGTGTTGGGATGGTGCGCTAACCCAGTGGCCCTTACGCCGAAATTGACTGCGCCAGGTCTTTCCTGTTAATTTCTCAGCGTGGCTTTTCCGCTAAAGACCGAACCCCGCACGGACATGCCGGAAGAACTCAATGGCAACTAGCACAGATTCTGTCGTGGTATAACCTATCCAATAGAACTGGATTGAACGTGAACTACTCCTTCAAAACGCAGAGAGGAAGTACACAGATTGGGCAATATGGAGAGCGCAAGTGAGCCCCCATTGAACAAAGAGTTTGAAAAGCTCGTACATGAGACGTTGGCTCGCTGGCATGTTCCTGGCGTATCGATTGCTGTGGTTGATGGTGAAAAATCTTGGGCAGAGGTTTGTGTCTAATTTGCACAAAGACAATAGTCATTAATGACGCCGACAGGGTTACGGCATCGCCACTTTTCCATCAACCCCAGCGACAGCATCGACACTTTATTGCGTGGGCAGCATTACTAAAGCATTCACCGCTGCGGCAGCTTCTCTACTGGTTGATCAAGGAAAGCTTTCATGGCACACGCGACTCTCCGACGTAATTGGAGATGATTTCATCCTACCGGGGGAATACGCTACAACTCGCATCACTCTCGAGGATGCGCTCAGCCATCGCACTGGCATGGCAGGACACGATCTCTCCTACGGGAACGAGGGTGGACGGTCAGCAAAAGAAGTCACTCGAAGCCTGCGTTACCTCCCTTGTACTGCACCGCTCCGTACGAAATGGATATACAACAACATTATGTACGTCGCTGCTGCTCATGCGATCGAAACAGTGAGCGGTTCGACCATTTCCGATCTCTTCAAGGCGCAAATCATGAACCCTCTTGGTATGCAGTCGACATACTTTACAATATCCGCTGCGCAGAAAGCAAAAGACCATTTTTCACGGGGATATTACTACAACAACGATGTCGGCGAATATCAAGAAGTTCGTCTACCAGTTGGCGATATAACTATAGGTGCTGGAGGCCTTATCTCCAATGTGCTGGATTTTGCAAAGTGGGTACGGACAATGATCAAGGAACTTGGCCCAATGACCAAAGAAGGTCATAAGCAGATACGGACCCCTCGAATGTTGAAACCCGCAGATCTGGAACCCTTGCCCTTCACTGGCGCAACGTCGTATTGCCTGGGTTGGGAGACTGCTGTTTACCGTGGCGTCCAGATATACATGCACGCAGGTGAAGTGGAGGCATATGGAGCATACGTTGTTTGGATTCCCTGTCTGGAGTTTGGCGTAGTTGCTTTTGCGAACACTGCAGTAACTTCAAACTTTGTCCAGCAGGTACTGATATGGACTTTGATTGACAATAAAATGAAGACCCCAATCGAAGAGCGATTTGACTGGAATAAAAGGTTTGTGCTTTGCTACCCCAATACTTTCGATTGATAGCTTACCTTGACAGAAACACAATGTTGTCCCAGAGGCTGTTTGGTGATTATGATAGGGCCCTTCAACGACACTTCCCTCGACTGCCAGATAGCCGAACCTCCCCGAGCCTACCACTGGCAAGCTACTTGGGATCGTATAAACATCCAGCTTACGGTAACATGAACATCACGTTGAAAGACGGCAATCTGTACATTCTTCGTGCAGGATTTCGCTGGGAAGTTGATATCGTGCTCGAGCATGTAAATGGTGAGCATTTTTTGGGGAGAATGAACTCTGTTGTCAACCGTGGCGGATATTTTTTTAAGGATGCCTTCCCCTGTGAATTCAGGGTTGGCGGTGCTGAATGCGTTCCTGCTGCATTCGGAGCAAGGCTGGAAGAGGAGATGGGAGAAGAAAAGATATGGTTTAACAGAGGTTCCTAGACGAAGATAGGACTCTCGCCTTGAGGCATGTTTACCTAGTCAAATTCTATAGTTAACCAAACTCGACTTCCATAGTCTGCCACCACTGGAGGCCATCGACCTGCAGCCAAATCCAAGAATAGCAGCTTGCACTCTATTGAATATAGCAGCCACCCAAACTTTCGGAAAGGACAGTCTGAACAAGAACAGCGAATAGATATTAGGCTGAACCCCTTACGAAATATCATGCCTCCAAAAACTATATTCACGACTATCCTAGGATAGTTCTGCTTCTGCTGTATAGGTCAAGGACGTACTAGTCCACCGGGTACATATACACGGCCAAAGGACCTTGCAACCACACCAGTGCTAGCACCTCATGCGGAGCCCGCTCCAGCTAATGGTGTTGACGATGCCATATTTGAATACTTTCTGGATGACAACTAAGGAGTAGCGGATATAGTTATAGACTTAGTCTAGCGCTAGATCCTATTACGACAATGGTAAATGGCCAATTTCTACTTAGAAGACCCATAACCCGACCTCTGGTGAAGCCGTTAAGAAAACCAAGCGCTACTTCCAACGGTTGTAGGGAGACCCGATCGGCAAAAAAGAAGTCCTGAATGAATTCAAGTCACCCTTTCGCTCTCACAGCTCGGGTATGTGGCCTCTATGGCACGTGCGGATCATGGTAGGATGTAGAAAATAATAAGTTAAAATCTGGATGCCAAAATAGACTATATTTTAATTCTACTTCGAAATTTTGGCTTTAAATAGATCTATGGGGGTTGAGCGACTCCTCAAAAACAGCATTTTCTTTTCGTATGAGAATCTCATACAAAAATCAAAACGTTAATTGTGAGATGGAAAGCCCTCACCCGCGAGAGCCTTACATTTAGAACCAGGCATTATAATATACTATTAGATTTTAGTCCTGATTGAATGCGGGGTTGTTACTTCCAAAACAAAAAGTAGTAAGTACCGTTTGTACGGCGGTACCATACAAAAGGTACATTATCTATTATGATTAAAGTTCGTAACATGATGTCGGGGAGGACGAGTAATTAGACTGAGGAGAACCCCAGCGGTTGGAAGTCCTCCAAGGGACGAGTATTCAACCAAGGAGTATGGCTGAATTCGGCTTAGGGTTGACCAAGTTAGGCTTAACTGGCTGAATTAGGCTTAACACGTATACTTACGTATTAACCTTATAAGTCACTTCTACTCTCGAGCTTGCTTGCACATTTTTCGACTCGCGACTACTTACTGATCACCACAATGACCGACATTCCTCCCTTCCCGATCCCTGAGAGGATCTCATCTCTGATGCCACTAAGCCGTCGTCAAGCATTGCGCCACCATCAAGAGCGATCTGTGAGCGTAGCATCTAAGATTTCGCAAATCTGCCAGACTTCAGTTGATTCAACAACGACGGACTTTCTTGAGGCCAAGATAGCAGCATTAGAAGACGAAAAAGCCTACCTTTGCTGCATCAGAGAGGGACTTGATGACGCGAAACTCGCAGGGCTTTTCACAAATGCTTCTTTCCAAGGGCAAATCGGCCCTTGCCTCACCAGATTCAGATCTACGGCATCTGTGCTTCATATCCTCAAACGCCAAAGAAAGATGCTAGAGGAGGATTTGGAGGAGGAAGTGGCATTGAAGCGACAAAGACTGTGTGACCCACCCGACGAAGGGCTCCTTGAAAGAGCGTACAGGGATACGATAATCCCACGAGTCATGGGCGCTTCTGCTAAGCAGGGCGCTAGGCCCTTCAAACAAAGCCAATTCAAGGTGGCGGTCAATGAGCACTATGACATTGCAACCAAGTGCCAGAAAGGCACGTCTTACTGCCACGTTCTGGGGTTGTTTTTGCCAGCCTCCACAGTCAAGGCGGCCCATTTAGTGCCCAAGAGCATGACCCAGGAAGAACTGGCACCTCTTTTCGGAGGCGAACATGATGTTCTCGCTGATCCCAGAAACGGTAAGGAAATTCCTTCCTCTTGGTTAAAATTAGCTAACGAATTCTACTTCTATAAAGCACTCTCGCTGGCTAGCCCCATTGAAGCGCTCCTCGACCTAGGGGTCATTGCAGTGGTCCCAATCCCTGGGGTAATGACAACACCAACAATCTGGAGATGTGTAGTTCTGGACGAGTCCAAGAACCAGAACATTGTACATGTGAGGGAGGAAGGGGAAATTGTCAGGGTAAATGTTAGCTTCACTAATAAACTACTGATACAAAGGATTTTGCTGACAATTTAATGGGATCTTGATGGCCGAGTTTTGAGGTTCTTGTCTGACAACCGTCCCCGTCGCCGCTATCTCTATTTCCGGTTTCTCATCTCATACCTGAACGCTAAGCGACTAGAGCTCGGCGATGTGACCAAGAAGGTAGAGGCAAGACGGTTCTGGCCATCTGGAGGAGACTATCTGCATAGATCAACCTTGAGGAGCCTTGCGCGCTGCATCTCGGGTTCCGATATTCCCGATGATCTCACAGATGACCAGACTTTTGAGACCCCAATCAATGTTACTCGGGATACCGAGGCAGCCATGATACTAGGAGCAGATATCCGAGCTGCCCAGCATGACGCAGAGGATAGCAGTGATGGCCCTGATGTCCGAGATGCACTGGTTAAGAGCACTGAGCAACTTTAGGAAGCTTGTGAGCTGAATAGCCAGACTGGTACTATTTGTATTATTATTGCTTTATATGCCTACCAAAACTATGGTGCTCAAATAAACCCACCGTTCAGCACCAACAGACGCCCTTCCATTGATAGCGTAGGCAAAATGACGAAGACACCGAATCGATTATACATTAGCAACGCTATGGTGGTAGCTAGCGCGTACATAACTTCGAAAGTATCATGTTGCCTAGTCAAATTGAGAAGATGCTTTTGCGATTCTTCTCAAAGTGGGAGTTTGAGAACTAAAATGGAAGTTGGCAAGTCTCTGTGATGTAATATTCCGAAAGAACTGCTGTCTAAATGGTATTCCCACGGCGGGAAGAAAGTTCCATGCCCTCGAGCAAGTGATGCCTGCCAGCCAGGCATAACAAAATGCATTTTTGCTGGGTTAGCCGTTTGTGGCGTCTTCGAAGCCGAAAAAGACACCTCCGGCACAGTCCAGCTCACGGTGTTACCATTATACCGCTACCACCAATCAGAAAACAAAAGAGGAATTCAATCTCGAATTTTTAAAATTTCTATGAAGGCATTCTCCCCTTGTTTTGTTCCGCACTGGATTTGAGGACGGCGGATCCTCACTTGATCGGCCTAAATCGGCAATGGGCAGGGCAGTGGAGCGAACACCCGAATACAAAGGAGGCTGCAAAGCGCCATATTTGAGAGCTAAGAGACTAGTAACTCTTTCGCACCCCATTGCCATGCTGGGATTGGCTCTGGCCATGGTGTTAGCTCCAAAGTCACTCTCGCCTTCTCAGCCTCAGCGGCGAGTTTAGTACACTGCTCCTTGTATGAATCGTCCGCACTTCGAGGGCAGGTCAGGTAAATTATTTTGAGAGCAGGTGCCTGAGAGTCTCTCTTGATAGAAAATTGACGAACTATGGCATCGAGAGCTTTCGCGCAATGATTGGTTCCTCGTGCGATCAAAGAAAGATGAGAGACGGAGGCAGGTACAAGGTCCTCGAGGTGTGACCCAGAATCACCAAATTCCTCGGTGACAATTTCTAGTGGAAGTTCGAGCTTCTGTAGCTGCTGAAATCCGCGCATTGACAGCTTGCCAGGAGGAATCGAGCCGCGTAGTTCGTCTATATTGATGGAAACAGAAAGTTCTTTAAGGTGGTCCCCGACTGCATGCGCGATTGCTGTACCAAATTGAGAGAGATTCCAGTACTGAGGGGCATGACCTATTGTCGAATGGGAGTATCTCAATTTTTTTAGGCCCGGCGCATGTTTTAGGAGGCCCGCAATGGCCAATTCATCGATAGATGCGCGTGTCATCTCAACCACTTCCAGAGAAGATTTGAAATCATTGCGTAGGTATCTAGACGAGCTGCTTTCGTGGCCGTTACCTTCACCTACGCATGTGGGACACTGGAAAGATCGGATGCACGGTAGCGCGAGGAAAGGAATCGCCCAATATAGATCAAACCTAGTTCCAAGGATGGGAACTGTGAGCTTGATAACACGGTGAAGACTGCAATTTGGCCGTCTAGCTCTGTGAATAACAGCATCGATGAGTTTGTCGGCTGCAGCGACTGGTTTCCACCATTTTGGTAGCCTGAGCACTTTGAGGTTGGGCAGAAGGGTCAAAATAAAAGCTGCCGCGTACTGCGAGTAGCGACGGGCTTCGAGATCCCCTTTAATGAGGGCCCAATAATCCTTCCAGTCAATACCTGCTTCTTTTAGGTATGGAGAATCAGCAAGCAGTCTGACAACACCTTCGGCCGGGAAGGAAGAATCGTATGTCCGAGTATATCGACTGTCGTGCGTGAAATCCGCCTCTTGAATATAACGGGCTATACTCGGCTCGACGGCGATGTGTTCGATCAGATTGAACGCCGAGTTAACAGAATAAGGAATTAAAAGCGTGTGTAATCCACTTCTGACCAAGTGCTTTGTCTTGTAATATTTAAACTGCCGGAAATACCAGCGCAATTCTTTGTGGTGAGCGGCGAGCGGGGCACAGAGGTCATAGATATGTTTGCAGGTCAATGCGAGGCTCTCAAACCCCTCTGGGAGGGCGTGGGTGATAATGATTTCCAAGATCTCGTTTGGTAAACGCGTGAAACCCATGGTGGTTCTTGGCGAAGGATACCCCTGACACGCAGTTCGATCTGTGTCAAATCGCTCTATTGGTATGTGCAAGGAGTGTTGAATGTTGTGGGCAGAGAATTTTAGGACAGGCGACCGAAGGGCGAGGAGAGGTACAGATGGCCCTTCACTTAGGTTTTGAATGCAGAACTCAAAACAAGGTGTAGCTAAATCTTAGTAAGGCCTTTATTGACCAATTGAGTCCGCAGAACCAATGCGTCGAGCTACCTAGAAAAGAGTCCCGCCGTGGGTCTCAAACAAAAAGCTTGACCCAACACAACGCGGATTGGGTTTGTCACTCTGCTTACAATGCCCGTTATTATAAACCGTTGCTCCGTTCGCGACAAACCCATGCATGACAATGGTCAGTCTGTCCCGGGATACTGTAGACTCAAAGAAGTACATAATTGGGTTAGAAACAGACAACACGTCATAATTGTTAATCGAAAGTAACGAGACTTTCGGATCTTCGGCATTTGGAGACCAAAAGTAACGATCTATTCTAGACCACGGTTGTTTATGCGGGGCTGATTGTCACACGCATGTCCTAAGGGTGACATCATCGATCATGGATGGTAGCTTATATAGCCTTATAGTTGAGCCCGTCTGATGGCCTTTCGGATTCAATCCTCGTTTGGCGCAATTTCGAGAACATTCACTTCCTATCTACAACTTAATCTGCTATTCGTCATAACATCTGCTCTCTGCACTTCCCCTCCGTCATGTCTAGCACCAAGATCGTACGCGTCCCCCACCTTGGTGGTATCGAGGCATCTTACCACATGCCTCGACCTTACGATCCGAAAAAGCCAACTTTGGTTCTCGTCAATTCATTTACCACGTCGTCAGAGCTATACCGTCAGCAGTACGCAGACAAGGAGCTGACCGACACCATGAATCTACTTGCCATCGAGCTTCTTGGTCATGGCCAGACACGCACTAAGCGCGAAAATTGGACGTATTGGGATACGGCCGAGATGAATCTGCAAGTCCTTGATGCTCTAGACATCAAGAAAGCTTTTGTACTCGGTACAAGTCAAGGTGGTTGGATCACAGTGCGGATGGCGTTGATGCGGCCGGACAAGGTGGATAAAACCCTCCCAACCTTGGATCATTCTAGAAAACTATTATGCTAACACATGGGTATTGAGATCTCTGGCATCATTCCCTTAGGCACATCAATGGATTCTGAAACCGACATAACCCGCAGCCTTAATTGCTGGGACGCGCCTAGCCTGCTAACTCCCTATATTGAGAAATGGACTTCTCAACAGCCCACGCCTCAGTTTGAAACCGACCAAGAATACAGCGATTTCTTGATCGACATCGGTTTCGGTAAAGATGAATGTCCTGCTGATGTTCGCGATTTCTGGCGCAAGACCATCCGCCAGAATTACTTAGGCGACGATGGCCGGCGTCGCATTCGCATGGCAGCTATAAACTTGAGGGATCGGGATGGGTTGCACCCGAGGCTGTTTGATGTGCGATGTCCCGTGATATGGTTGCATGTAAGTTGTTGCATCTGATTTTCCCATTTGCCGAAGTCTCGCTTTGGTATCCGAGTATAGAAACTCATATAGATTCATCACTCACTTACCATTCATGCAGGGAACCAAAGATGTAGTCTACTCCGTCACCAACGCCGAGCGCGAAATCAAGCTATTCGTGAACTCTCCTGACGCGCGCCTTGTGACTGTTCAGGATGGTGCTCATTTCCTGAGTGCTTCACACCCCAAGGAAGTGCACCAGGCGTTGATTGAGTTTGTGAAAAAGTACAGCGCATGAGATTTGATTATTGACGCGTGCCCTGTTGAATATCGACCAATGGATATCTCTATACCTGATTTTTGGCTTCCTCCATCATCTTCCCACTGCCGAATTTTCACCCTTGAGCTACCTACTTGTTGTAGGCGGCATTTATCGAGCGGACGAGCAATCAGCATGACGGAATATTGGTGGTGGTGGGTAAGCCTAATAATGGCACAGTAAATATATGGTTGTCAGTTTCATCGATTGTTCTAAATGAAGAAGTATGGATCACCAGATCAGCAGGAGCCCTGGGGCCATGTGGTGATATAGTCTTGACCCCCGGGTCCTTTCGCCCCCAGCTCCACTTGCGGGAGAACGGTTAGTCGTAAAAATACTCTAGATCTATGTCATGTCTTCCTAGACGAGGACTTGCTGGGTTCTTTTAGGTCGCTAGGTTTCTCCTTCTTAGTATTGAATGTCTAGAATATTTAGAAGTCCGTCTACATACGTTGTGCCTTAGTGAAATAGCGCACCCAATGGACACGTTTTGCATGGCCTTTTAGTAATTTGTGTCTATTGTAAGGACACTGTTGAGGCTGAAAATAGTGCGGGTTTGTATGAGCTTTAGGTTAGGCGGTTCAATGTAAATGCCGGATATTCCGGGCAGCGGCCTGGTCATCCCTGGATGAGCTGTGATTCGAAGGCTTATGTGACTGTGGCGTCTGACCCCACTTCAACCGAGAGCATCTTCCTTGCTCCCACGCTCCCACCCCCTGTTTTTCGTTTTCGTCTGGCGATAGCCAGCAGAAGTCGGATCCCTTCGTCCTCGTCTTTTTGTTCCCTGATATTGTTAATCCAGGCTTTTCGAAGATTTTCTCTTTCAACCATACCAAACAGAAGCTTCCTTTCAGAGGACTACTAAAGCAAGCTCTATGCAATGCAAATGTGAAAATGTCGTTCGAACTCTCCGACGTCGACATCTCTGATGCAGAAGTCATTGCGCGGGATATTGAAGTTCCGGCAATGCAAAATGTCCCATTATACCGAATAATGTTTCCTAGTTCAGACTCAATGCAAGCTACACAACTGGATCAAATAATTCGTTGGTACACTGACATGTTAGAGGATGCTCTACGAGGTCGGTGGGAAAGCTTTCTCAAGGCCTGCACTGTTGACGACAAACCTGTTGGGTTCTGCGCATGGACCCTCGAAGCCCAAACGAATGAGAGGCAGCCTGTTATGAATGCAAATGCGAAAGAAAATTTGCGAAAGCGGGAGAAGAGGGGAAAGAAAAACTGGTTACCAGAGATTCTGGACGTGGAACAATGGTTGTCTGTATCAGCCCGGTTAAGGAAGGAGCGTGAGCGGGTCTTTGGGGATCTCAACAGTATATGCCGTAAGTTAATGTATTTGAGACCATCTAACTCACTGACATCTCGGCTCCAGGTCTGACGTTTATGTCGGTAAATCCAGACTATCAACGACAAGGGATCGGCTCTATGTTGATGCAGCGGATTTGTGAAGAGGCCAATCTACATGGTCGGCAAGCGTATGTGCTCGCTTCACCAGAAGGAGTTCGACTGTATGCAAAATTCGGATTTCAAGTTGTCGGTGGTGTGGATACACCTCAAGGCACAATAACAAGTATGCTTCGACAGCCTCAACAGAGGGAGGGTATGTCCTGAGGCATTTCCGTGACGAAAACATGAATCTAGTCATTGAGACCAGTTGATTAGCTGAATGTTGCCTCATATGCCCACAACTTTAATGCATCTGCTTATGAGATATTTGAAAATTGACTACATCTCAAGTGGGAACCCCGTAAACAGCTCATCCAAAATCGAAGCATCCAAATCCAGGTACTCCGAAAAGTAGGGAAAACCAGGACTCCAAGAATCTCCCCCGGAAGCTTCAACAGAACTGATCTTTTCGATCAAATCCCCACAGTTTGCCAGACAATGATCTGCAAGATCCCAAGAAGAGCGCTGCTGATAAATATGAAGTGTATCGACCATATGCTTGGCCATCCTGAGAGAGGAATTGCGATCATGCGAAGTTTTCATCCGCAAAGCACTTCGTAACAGAAACGTCGTAGAGGACGTGAGCGAGAAAGCATTAACGGGAATCCAGAACCCATTTAAATGCGATTCATCCAACTCTTGTATTAAGTGCACGATGTCTTCTGCAGCACGCTGTGCTTGCATATAGAAAGGGGAAACTGTCTCTTCGTCAAATTGATTGGAGCCTTTGTCGAGGTCTAGTTGGATACGTCGTAGGAGAAGCTTGGCTGAGAGGTATGCCAGCCGGAAGTTTGCTGCACCTTGGGCGTGGAGATGCACTCCTCGCAGAAGGAGGCGAATATCGTCGCTTAGTGACTCTTCCCATTTGCTAAAGCGCTGCTCCAGCTCAGCAGCCGACTTTTCCAGCGTGAAGTCTTTGGATACGCTGTACACGTGCTCCAGGTAGCAGCTCAGTACTTCGGTCAAACTAGTCAATGCGACAAAGACTGAAGCGGCTGCAATCTGGAATGGCGATGCGTCCGAGGAGCCGAGGTCGTCTATTGTTGGGAAGGGCACATCATATTGCGCACGGTGAATCTGCAACGGTGTTCCATATGCCAAACTGCACCTGTAGGGATATGATTCAGTAAAACGTAAGACACAAGATCAACCTCTAGAGATAAAGCCTACCATCTATCATGTATAACAACCAACCACCAAATCCGAATGCGAAACTTCTTCTCGATTGGGGGGATATTCCAATGAGACGGGTCCCGGTTCAGCCCCATGGCATTGCACAAGGCCACAGCAGTGCCCACCTTCCCCCCATTCCCAAAGATAGACGTACTTGGTCTCCCGCCGACTGTGAGAATGATACTGATTACTGATGATATTCCTGGCGATAGGAATAATTCCGAGTGAAGCGCCTCACTTGCAAGATTCCAGATAAATCGTATATCAGGACAGCGAATGCGGGACAATTTAGGTGAGGAATCCCAATATATCAAAGCATTGGCGTATAAATTGCATAGTAGAGCCGGAGAAAGCTTGTCTTTATGTGTGGAAAAGGCGGTTTGGAAGGAAGCTTTATCGAATATCGGAAAGCAGGGGTTGGCTTTCTCGAAGAATCTAATATGCCATTCATTAGTACTAGGGAATAAAGGGAAATAAAAGAAATAGAGCACCTACAAATCAATAACTTCTTCAATATATGGCTCGAGATATTTCTCAATAATCTCGCACTTCATGGCCGCGAGCGATTGGTTGGCTGTCACACCGAGCGGCCGCCTGGGGACAGTATTAAATAGCACCGGTCTGAGCGGCCTGTTGGAGCTTGGATTCGTGTGAATAATACATCTTCGCCGTATATCTGGAAGTGTTGACAAATAACTTTCCAAGACATGGTTGTCATCTGCGATTGCCGGGCTGACGATGTGGGAGGTATCGTCTCCGGTCTCGGAAACAATTCCCATCAGGTTGGAGAGTTCTTGCTGTTTATTTCCACGGGAATAAAATGCTTCCGTTCGATCATTATTAGACGCTCTGTATGCTCTGGGGGCCTCCGAAACGGTTGCAAGAGGACTCTGCGTATTTCGATGCTCCAGCGACTGTCTACTCTGAGAGAGTCTCGCCTGCTTCCTTCTGGATGGTGCTTTTCGTGGAGAATATGCCGATCTTCTCGCAGAGTCTGCTTCTGGAAAGTTACACTCCGTGTCATGGACCTGACACATTATGCACTTGTCCGAAGAATCTCGGGTTTTGCATCGTGATTTGCGTTTCTTGCACGGGAGACAGGCTGGATGTAAGTGAGAGCGATATGGCCGCCCTTTGTCGTCGGCATTCTGGACTACTTCCATGCCCTTTTCGCTTGGTTGCATATGAGCTGAAAGAGTCGTAAAATTATGTAGAGGCGAGCCCTGAGCCCCGCGGGGAACCAATTTACCTGGACCCACGACTTGGCCGCGGCAAAGTCATTCCAACCGTTTGATCTAGCAATGGCCTAGGAATTCCTGCCGTTCCTCCAAAGATCACCTCACGATCAGATTACATGGCCTGTTCTAGAGCGAGTATCATGTTGAAGTTCGTTGGTCAACGGAGAATTTAAAAAGAATGGCCCGACGTCACACATTAGGACCGCAGGAGTATGAGTATATAAAGCAACACTCGCAATGGCAAGAAATACGGTATTCAAGAAATTATTTCAAGCCAAGAATACTACACTCAAATTCATACATTCAAAATGCCTCAACCATATGACCAACCCATCGTCGACGTGGCACACTACGTCTTCCATTACCAAATACCAGACACAGAACAAGCAGTATGGAAATGTGCACGAGTAGCTCTCCTCGATGCAATCGGGTGTGCAATCGAGACAGCCGCCACAAGTCACGAGTGCAGAGCTTTACTCGGCCCTGTCGTGCCAGGCACAGTCGTCCCAAATGGATTCAGGGTTCCTGGCACAGACATGCAGATAGATCCCATTAAGGGGGCGTTTGACTTGGGTGTTTTGATCCGGTACTTGGATCATAATGATGCGTTGGGGGGCGCGGAATGGGGCCATCCTTCGGGTATAAGCCATGAGTCAACGGCGAGTACATTGGTATAGGTCTCGCGCTAACTAGGTGGCAGACAACCTTGCGGCGATCCTGGCCACGATGGATTGGCTGTCTCGCGCATCTGTTTCCAGGAAGGATTTCAACGGACCGCCGCTGACAATTAAAAATCTTCTAACCGCTTTGATAAAAGCATACGAGATCCAGGGTTGTTATCAGATGCGCAATGCTTTCAATGTCTATGGGATTGACCATGTAGTTCTCGTTAAGCTAGCCGCCGCTGCGATTGTCCCGTGGTTGCTAGGACTGACCGAAGACCAAACCAGAGCAGCCATCTCCCATGTCTGGATGGACGGCCATCCAACTCGAGTGTACCGTTCTGGTACAAATACCATTCCGCGAAAAGGATGGGCAGCGGGCGATGCAGCGAGGAGAGCCGTGCAACTGGCTCTCCTAGTGCAAGCCGGGCAGCCCGGTTCCCCAGGAGCCTTGACCTCACCACGATGGGGGTTTCTGAAACGAACGTTCGGCAAGGCCGGATTCGAGCTGCCGCGGCCTTTCGAGACATGGACAATTCAGAATGTGCTGTTCAAGGTCATGCCGGTAGAAGGACATGGAATCGCAGCAGTGGAGGCGGCATTGGTTCAGCATCGTGCACTCCAGCAAAGAGGATGGCCCGACCCAACAAACCACATACAGCGAATTGTCCTGCGTACCACCGCCGCGGCCGACCTAATAATCAACAAAACGGGTCCACTTCAGAATGCTGCAGACCGCGACCATTGTATTCAGTATGCGGTCGCTCTGGCTTTCTTAAAAGGCAGTGCACTAGAGGCCGCAGACTATGCAAACGACAGCCAGTGGGCATCCAGCAAGGAGTTGGAATATTTGCGTTCACGAATCGAAGTCCACCCCGACGCCAAGCTTACTCAGGACTATCTTGACTTGGAAAAATCAAGCATCGGATCGGGGGTGACAGTTCACCTCGATGACGGCTCTTCCTTGTCCGAGGCTCTGATTGAATACCCCATTGGGCATGTGCGGAATCCCAAAACTTCGGCTGCGATTCAGGCAAAATTTGCAAAGAATATGAGACATATGTTTTCCGAGGAGGAGGTTGCGCGCATCTCAAAAGCGGCTGAAGATGACGATATGCGGATCATGGATTTTGTAGATCTGCTTGTCCGACCCCCTCCCTCGAGTCCTCAGCCAAGGCTGTGAGATCTCAGGTCCGGCAAGACGTTCATGCTCAATCGATCTTCCCCACTCCCTGCAAGGTCAGATAAACATCCGTACCCCATCCCCAAAGGCTTTGCACGGCGATGCTGCCACCAAAGTATTCGGCGTATGCACGGCTCAGCGGCAATCCATAACCCAGACCAGCAATACTGCTCAAGTGACCGCCACTGGCCGCAATCGTGTTCAGCGCATCCACGTTACCGTTGGCCGAGTTCTGGAAGTCCATGTCCGAAAAGGTGGTAAAACTGTACGACCAGATATGAGGCAAAACCTCAGGTGGGATGCCGCCACCACGATCGCGGATGCGAATTGTGATACTTTGTGATGCTGGGTTCGGGAATTGGATCGCGTCATGTGTAGTGGCTTCATCAGCCAGCCTCTCGAGCTGGAATCCCTCGTCGGCGTCTCCCTGCGTAGGACGCACATGGCCAGGAACATCTGGGGCGGAAGCGATTGTCACTTCAATGGGTTCACGCTCGTTACCAGACTCAATGGTAGCCCGGAAAGCGTTTTTCAATAACTCAGTAATGATATACTCCACATGCACTGGCACGTGGGCAAAGGAGGCATCTGGTTCTCCGCCGATCTTTAGACGAGGCCGTACTCCGTATTTAAGCTCGCAAATTTCTCCCACGAAGTCTTCACACAAGCGAATAATACGCGCAGGTTGAAGGGCGGTGTCAATGACGCCAATGTAATTCGATGGCACCGATTCCTTGGTCGACGTGCCTGTAGTTGGCTCATCGCCGATAGGTTGTGAGGCAAAATGGAGAGCCAAGTGTTGCTCAGCAATCAATCGCGTTCCAATGCGCGCGCGGAGGTGCGTGTCCAGGAAGTGCGTCACATCTCCCGGGCTGATATACTTCCGACACTCGAGAAACCCGCGAGCCAGGACCGGAATTGTGTTGGTGTGGGTCTGTACCAGATCTGCGAGGACGTCTCCGAACTGTTTTTCCTCTTCCAGGGTACTGATCTGTCGTTGCTGGTACGGAAGCAGGGTCGAGAGGGAGTGGAGGTAATTGTGGTAGATTTTCGATACATGGGGGTTCGAGACCACGATAAAGGGGAGGTTGCGCAGGGCCTGGATTCGGGAGGCCAGTCGAGCCGGAAGAAGGGAGAGAGTGAAGTTGGCTGAGGCCAGCAGGGCGTCCTTGGACAATGGCGGGCGGCCATGTCTGGGGATTAATCTCTGGTCAGTACGGCCTTTTTGTTGCTCATTCAATCCTGTTGGCAACCCACCTCAATAAATCTGCCAGCGTCAACGCTCGGCGAGGACTCGCCGCCAGCTGGGCGACCTGGTCCTTAGCTACATCAGCATTGGCGGAATGGATGGTCCAGCCGCAAGTGGACTGCGACACTGTGGAAGATTGACGGAGCAGAGGCACCGCTTGGATCCCCGAGCTCAGGTGAGCTCTGCCTCTCCACATCATGATCGATCGATAGAAAGTGGAAGGCGTTACTTGCGGGGGTCAGCCATGTTGCAAAAGGGAAGAAGGGTGAAAGTGGAAAGCAGCAGGAGGCGGTGACGGGATCCGCGCTCGGGTATGGGAGGGTATTCGCGGGGCCTTTTTTGTTTACCGATAAGAATGGAGAACATTATTGACTGGAAGAAGAACATTTAAGTTTATTTACATCGTCAAGCACATTGTAGACCTCTCAGCCAGGTATAACAAGGATCTAGAGCAAACCCCTCCTCTGGCGCGTCGCCTAAAGTCCCCCAGACAGACTACTGAGTCTTTACTTCCGCGTCCTGCTCGACATGGATGTGGTCGTCGGACTCGAGGGTTCCGACGTGGTCCTCCGGGAACTCCGCACTGTTAATTGAGTGGGTTAGCACGGGCGGGATCCGGCCGGGGCACCGATTGATGGATTGCGTACGTAAAGCCCTTAATGAGACTGTATTCGTGCTTGATGACTCCTCCCTTCTTCTGAACGTCTTGCTTGGCGCTGCGAAAGATAATTAGCATCGTTTCTATCGATCGATGGCCGGAAACCCTACCGCTCAAGCTCCTCGGGCGGCGAGTTCTCCTTCAGGGTTACCTGAACATGACATTAACTCGATTCTGTCAAAAGCAAAGCGAGACGTGGTGACTCACGTTATATAGAGGCATCTTGGCAGGTGTGATGGTGTATTACGGAGGACGTGGATGAGACGACGGTTTGCAGGGATGGTGAGTGAGGAAGTGTAGAAGGCAAGAAGAGGGGGAGGGGAAGTGAGATTATATACCGATAAGCAGTACTGTTTACGCCATTGACATACAGGATTATACTACGGATGATGTGTCCAATCTCGGATTTCTCCCATTTCCTCTACAACCCGTAGTCTGACTGGTGGCGTCCTGCACACTCCTTGCTTCGTAGCCCAGCATGGAATCTTTCAGCCTGGTCAGACACGATGACGCTATCCTCCACGATGAGGTAATGGCGGTGGTCACGTGCCGATGAACCGGGGAAGTATAAGGAGTACTATCGACCAATTCGAGTAAAAGGTCAACCGGTATTCTCTACAACCCCACATAGCCGTCTGCCTCCCGCGTAGGCATCTTCATCCCATGCATGCCTCGGTACTGGGGGCTAGAGGGCTCCCTCCACCCGGCCAGCACCTTGTCATCCGCCAATTGATACACCTCCACGCCCAGAGGACGGCAGGTTGCCCCCATGCCACCCTCCTTGTCATCCCAGCCCCAGTTGGAAAGGTCGCCTGCATTAATCCAAGTTAGCTGTGAGGTATACCTCAGAACACATTTAATGGGACACGCACCACCAGGACAGGCCGACAACGCGCAGAGGACATCCACCTCTGCGAAAAACTCAAAGTACTCCCCCTGCTTTGCCGGAGATGTCTCCATAAAGTACTTGCCCTGTTCATCCAGTCCCGTCACCTGAAACACATTCAACACGTCATGCACATCCAGCTCCGTCAATCCATACGGCACCACCGAGCGGGTCAGATTCGAATGACAATGAAAATCAAACGTCTCCCCGCCCATCAGCAAATTGACGTAAGGATCGCACCGCGTGCCCAGCAGATCATGCACCCGGCCCCCGAACTGCGTCGTCCCAAACTCAACCTCAGGTTTCCGCTTGCCTTCTGCGTCGAGCACCTCATGCAGCTGTCCACCGCCGAGGGAGTCGCCCGTGATGGTGACCAGAGGTCGTAAATACGGCAGGTTGGACCACAGGCGATCACCGACCGAGACGTGGGAGGCATGGATCTGTCGCGTCCGCGCCGCCCACATGCGCTCTCGCGGGTTCTTTGCGTTCCAGATGTTCAGGTCGCCGACCTGCGGTCCCTTGGGTGTCGTCAGACGGCAGATGTGACCGGCAGGCACCACCCACGCTTGGCCGGAGCATGGTCGAATGGTAAATGAGTTCTGGGGCACCCGCGCTGAGGGGCTGCTGGCGGTTTCGGAGATGGCCCGGTACAGCGGCGAGGTGGCATGGACTCCCGAGTCGGGCGGTGCGGTGTAGGCGGGAGGAGGGCGACGAGCGGACATTTTGCGATTGAGGAGTTCTTTCCCCATCCGGGGAGGGTGGCTCCATTTATAACGGAGTCCTGGTCGGAACACCCCGATCTTTCGGTTCCAGAGTTGGTCCATACTGCCCCACATACAGTACGTGGACAAGTATAGACCTCTGCTCTCACATCAGTTCCCTGCTGAATAGACCATTAGTAGTACTAAATACGATATCGGTAGATAGTTCCGGGTACGGTCATTTTATATTAAAAGCCAGAGACTGGGAGAAGATGTAGGGGTTCTGGTATCCCCAGACAAGTCCATCGGCCCGATACAAGTAGGGCCAGCCCTTAAAAATCGACCAACCGGCCCGGAGGGTGATGGCTATCTAGTCTGCCTCAGGCACCAAATTGCCAAAAGAAACTTTCCTCGGAGCTCAAGTAATTCCGGCCCGACAAAATAATTTCGCAGCAGCAGCAACGGATCCGCAGCTCTTCGCTGTTCTCTTCGTCTTCACGCTGCAAGAAAATCCCGGAGGTTCTGAACCTCCTCGGTTGCATAATGGAGCAACAGTCAAACCGGGCGCACCGCCCGGCCAAGGAAAAGAAGAAATATGAGGGTATGATCTACGCGAAACTTACTTGCGATCAAGCTGGCGCAAAATGTTTTTAGCCGGGGCCATGCTGACCATCTCTTTTTCTTTTAGGGCAAAATCCAAAGGCGTTTGCCTTTTCGGCCCCAGGGAAACTCAAGAAGGCCGCAGCGCGCTCGCATGATGTATGGACATCGCATTGAAATTTTTGCCGGACGATCAACAGCTGACAGATGCTTGCTACAGGTCAAGGAAAAACGACTACATGTGCCGCTGGTGGATCGCATGCCGGAAGAGGCACCGCCAATCGTTGTTGCAGTTGTTGGACCCCCGGGTGTGAGTGCTGTCGACCGGGTTTGACGATGTGCAGAGCGCAATGCTAACAATATACACTCCCAGGTCGGCAAGACTACCTTGATCAAATCTCTGATCCGCCGCTACACAAAACAAACCCTCAGCTCACCTCAAGGTCCACTCACTGTCGTCACATCCAAGAAGAAGCGCCTCACCTTCCTCGAATGTCCCTCAGACTCGCTCGCATCCATGATTGATGTTTCCAAGATCGCCGACATTGTGTTGCTCATGATTGATGGAAACTATGGCTTTGAAATGGAGACCATGGAGTTTTTGAACGCCTTGTCGACGAGTGGTATGCCGGGTAACGTCTTCGGCATCCTCACTCACCTCGATCTGTTCAAGAGTCACAGCACCTTGCGAACGGCCAAGAAGCGTCTCAAGCACCGCTTCTGGAGCGAGCTTTACCAAGGTGCAAAACTATTCTATCTCTCCGGTGTGATCAACGGCCGATACCCGGATCGGGAAGTGCACAACCTCTCCCGATTCTTGTCCGTGATGAAGAACCCTCGGCCTTTGGTGTGGCGCAACTCGCACCCCTACGCCCTGGCAGATCGCTTCCTGGATATCACACCACCCACCCAGATTGAAGAGAATCCCAAATGTGATCGGACTGTGGCACTCTACGGCTATCTTCGCGGCACCAATTTCCAAGCCCAGGGCGCTCGAGTTCATGTCCCCGGTGTGGGCGATTTGACCGTCTCTGGAATCGAGGCCTTACCCGATCCATGCCCAACTCCATTCATGGATCAACAAATTGCCAAGGCGTCGGGTAAGGGCTCAAGACGCAAGTTGGGCGAGAAACAAAAGTTGCTTTTCGCGCCCATGTCCGACGTGGGTGGCGTCTTGGTCGACAAAGACGCGGTTTATATCGATGTCAAGACCTCAACATTTGACAAAGGCGAAGATGAAGAATCTGATAATGAGGATCGTGGTCTGGGAGAGCAGCTTGTCGTTGGTCTGCAAAGCGAACGGCGGATGCTCGGTGAGGCTGATCAGGGTGTGCGTCTGTTCCGGGGTGGCGAGACTATCGCCCACGCGGAAGACGAGGAAACTGGTCGGAAACACAGACGACATGCTCGGGTTGCCGATACCGAACGCGATGTCCAAAATGTGTCGGATGACGAAGGCTCTGAAAGTGAAGAGGGTGAGGACGAGGTGGATGAGGAGGCTGGCGACTTGAGCAGCGATGAAGAGATCGACGAGAACGACATTTCCGCCCCGGCCGACTTCGAGACCAGCTTCAAGGAACGGCAAAATGGAGCTGTCCGCCCAGAAGATGGCGACATCGCCTTCGCTGACAGCGACTCTGACCTCGGCTCTATCTCGTCCGTCGAAGACCAGGATCTGGATAGTGGCGACGAGGATGACGATGAGGAAGATGAAGAAGGCAACGTGCGTTGGAAGGAGAACATGCTGGCCAACGCCAAGTCCCTTCTTGGAAAGCGACCGGCCTTCCGTGTCAAAGACCTGTCACGAATGATGTACGATGATTCCATCAGCCCAGTTGATGTCGTGCAAATATGGCGTGGCGCCAACGACGAAGACGAGGGAGAAGAAGATATCGAGGATGAGGAAGACGACTTCTTCAAGAAGACAAATAACGAAAAGGAAGACCAGGTCGACTTCCGAGCAGTCCCAGATTACGACTATGAGGAGCTCGAGCGGAAGTGGCAGAATCGGGATCTCCTTGAGTCTATAAGACGCCGCTTTGTGACCGCCAAGCTGTCTGGCGATGGGTCAGATGAGGACGACGATGACGATCTGGATGATGCTTTTGATGAAGATGATGATGAAGGAGATGGTGCATTCGAAGACCTCGAGACCGGCGAAGTCTTCAACGGGATCGACGACAGCGGCGACGAGGACGATGGCCAGAACCAGGAAGACGGTGTTGCTGAAAAGCCTTTGGACTTGGAAGCGGAGCGCGAACGGAATGCAAAGAAAAAGGAAGAACTGCGGCTGCGATTCGAAGAGGAAGATCGTGAGGGATTTGCAAACGCCAAGGACGGTGCTCGCGAGGGCGGCGACGAGCAATTCGGCGAGGACGAGTGGTATGATATGCAAAAAGCCAAGATGCAGAAGCAGCTGGATATCAACCGCGCCGAGTTTGATGAGCTCGACCCGGCCTCCCGCGCTCGAGCTGAGGGCTTCAAGGCCGGAACGTACGCGCGCATTGTCCTCGAGAATGTCCCCTATGAATTCGCTTCCAAGTTCAACCCGCGCTTCCCTGTCATTGTCGGAGGTCTGGCACCGACTGAGGACCGCTATGGTTATGTGCAGATCCGAATCAAGCGACACCGCTGGCACAAGAAGATCCTGAAGAGCAATGATCCGTTGATCTTCTCCCTGGGTTGGCGTCGATTCCAATCCATCCCCATGTACAGCACCTCGGACAGTCGAACACGAAACCGCATGTTGAAGTACACTCCCGAACACATGCACTGCTTCGCCACTTTCTACGGCCCGTTGGTGGCGCCCAACACCGGTTTCTGCTGCGTGACTTCTTTCTCAAACCAAAACCCGGGCTTCCGGATCGCTGCTACGGGCGTCGTTCTCAGCGTCGACGAGCACACGGAGATTGTGAAGAAGCTGAAGCTCACGGGTGTTCCCTACAAGATCTTCAAGAACACGGCCTTTATCAAGGACATGTTCAATTCGTCTCTGGAAATTGCCAAGTTCGAGGGCGCATCGATTCGAACAGTTTCCGGTGTTCGCGGTCAGATCAAACGAGCCCTCAGCAAGCCAGAGGGCTACTTCCGTGCCACTTTTGAAGATAAGATTCTGATGAGCGACATTGTCTTCCTGCGCGCCTGGTATCCGATCAAACCGCACCGCTTCTACAATCCCGTGACCAATCTTCTCGACCAAGAAGGCAGCTCCGGTGACAGTGGATGGCAGGGAATGCGACTGACGGGTGAAGTCCGGCGCGAGAAGGGCATCCCCACGCCGCAGATCAAAGACTCGGCGTATCGCCAGATCGAACGACCCACCCGCCACTTCAATCCTCTCCGCGTACCGAAACAGCTGGCAGCGGACCTGCCCTTCAAATCACAGATCACTAAGATGAAGCCCCGCCAGGGCGAGACCTACATGCAAAAGCGAGCTGTGGTTCTCGGTGGTGAAGAGAAGAAGGCCCGGGATCTGATGCAGAAGCTGACCACGCTTCGCAACGACAAGCAGGCCAAGCGGGCGGCGAAGCAAGAAGAGCGGCGGCAGGTGTACCGCGCCAAGGTGGCGGATAGCCTGGAGAAGAAGAACGCGCGAGAGAAGAGGGAGAGCAATGAATACTGGCGGCGCGAGGGCAAGAAGCGGAAGAACACTGATGGAGAGTCGGGCGGTGGTGGTGGGAAGAAGCGCAGATGATTTGTATCCATCCATGCTCAGATACCAAGCATATTTCAGGCGTTTTCGTGTTAACAAAACCGTACATATGGATGAATTGAATCTACTTGTCTCTACGGAGTCTTTCTACGGAGTAGTAACTAGGGTGACGGCGGAAAGGATAATTGTGCGTGGCCTTTGGATCACGAGATCACCCTGGATTGAGTCTTGATCTCATTTCAATGTACCGTCCCCCTTCAGCCTTTGATTGTCAACTCAAGATACGTGTTCCTATCTAACAAATTAAGTGATTTGATAGGAAATCGCCAATCGACCTATATGATGAGGAGAAATTCAAGCGATACAGTCTAAGAGGATATTCTCATAAGCTTTTTAACCGCCGTCGGGCGTCCATGCTCACTCAATACGAGATCTGGTGACTCACTGCGCCCTTCACCTACAGTCGACTCGGAACGCTAAGTTGGGAAGAGGATGCAATTTTAGACGGGCCTCTTCCTATGAGAACAACGACACAACAACCAGTATGCTTTCTTTCCAACCCGAATGGAACGCATTCATTGCGCAACACACAACCCTCCGTCATGATGACCCTGACCGAAACAGTCTGTTTCTCTCTTCACCGGCCGGCAATGAGCTTGCCGTTAAAGTGTCAACGGTTGATACCACGGTTCCAGGAAAGGACAATCACCAGATTCATATTCGAATCTATACCGCAAAAGCCACTCGAATTTCCTCAGGGCTTGTGATTTTCTTTCATAGCGGCGGCTTTACTGGCGGCTCTCTTGAGACAGAAGATGGTATCTCTCATTCAATACTATCCATCTATACTGATTTGCTCTCTCTAACCATCTGACACTGGCGTGGCTCGATGTGACAGTGTCGTGCCGATATATGGCCTTAGCCGGGCCCATCACAGTTATCAGCGTGGAATATCGGCTCAGTCCGGCATACTTGTACCCGGTCCCACTCGAGGATGGATGGAATGCAGCTCAGTATATTATGAGCAACCTCTCGAGTTTGGTTCAAATCCACACTACGCCTGTCAACTTAGTCGTCAGTGGGACATCTTCCGGCGGACAGCTTGCGGCGATTGTATCGCATCGAGTAGGCAGTTGGCTCAGTGCAGCAGAAAATTCAAGACCTGCTGCAAAGGTGTCATTCAGTGGAGTCCTGCTTCGAGCTCCAGTATCTGTCCGTGGGACAGACACCGAGTTCATCCCTCCTCGTTTCCGAGACCTCCACCGTTCTTGGTTAAGTGATTATAAGGGCGCCGAACTGAACCGGATGAGTATGATTCGAAATCACGGTATATATCATCCGTTCGAATCTGTCTTTTTAGATTGATCCACGGCCTAGGCGCTGATTATGTGTTTTTAGATGCCCTTGGAGTTCCGTTCAATAAGTTAACTTCTCCTGATGCGTATCCACTATGGAGCGAGTTCAGTGGGTTGCCAAGGACCTATATTCAGATTTGTGAACTTGATATCCTGCGTGATGACGCCGTTTGTTACGGGAGAGGGTTGCGAGATGCTGGGGTGGAGGTGCGAGAAACGTTGTACAGGGTATGTGCTTTATTTCACTACGTCCTTTTTGCAAAACTGAAATCATTTCATTAGGGGCTACCCCATATTTTCTGGATTTATGGCCATCAGTTGGATGTTTCAATGAGGGCACAAGAGGACTGCGTGCACGGATTGAGATGGCTCTTGGGAATACCCAATGAATGATTGACTGCGCTTGTTAGACAAAATGGATGCAGTGTCTAACCTGGCCTATATGGACGGTGTTAGCACCACAGGAAAGGATATAGTCACGACTGTTATTGTCTTCGATATTAATCCCACAGTTGAAACCGTCCAATACCCATCCTAGAGAGACATTACCAGTAGAATTTATTCCCCGTCTTGCGTGATTTCGGTCCACGTGACCGCGTCTTGAACGCGCCAGAGCGACCAAGAGTGCCTTCCATCTCCACTTGGTTCTGCTTCCCTCCCAATGCTGACGACGTGTGGTTTGAGTCCTGAATTGTTCTCAGAAACTCACAGTCAAGAATAACACATCCCGTCCAGCCCAGCGCACTTCCGATCGCGAGGCCGGAGAACGCGGTTGGAACTGGATCTAGTCGGCCGTTTTTGCCGCTCGCAATCCTTGCGCGTGCTGGTCGATCGCCACTGTATCGGGCAGACGCTCCTGGCGCCCGCAGAAGCGTCATTACAACACCCGCGCGGTCCTCGAGGGCGTTAGAGGGATTAGCGCATCCTGGCACTCCTCCGTGTTGGTTCCTGCCCCCCCACAAGCCCTTCATGCGGTGACGACCCTCGCCATCCACAAGTGTCATGCGTGTCTCGGTCCCTGCAACTCCGTAGTTGAAAGCTTGACCACGTATTCTTCACGCGCCACCATCCCCTTTTCCTCGCTCTTTCTTATTCCTCCTGTCCATTCCCGACGCATCCTCGCGCCCGACGATGAATCACGCCCATGATGTCCCGTCGAGTCGCGGGTTCCCCAATCCGGAGGCCAGTGCGCCTACCGAGTCCTCCGTGAACGCTGCGACGTCACCCGCGCCGCGCAAGCCCGCCTCCGATGAAATTCAAGTCACGCGAATCCCTCAAACGTTGTCTCTGCGGGTGGATGGCCTGAACGCAGTCACCGTGCCACATGGTGAAAGCGAGGCGAGCGACATCGACTATATCGAATCCTCGCAACGCGGTAGCGACACGTCGGCCGAAGGCCCACGCCCAGAGCTTCAGTCTGCCAGCACACTCACGGACTCCTTGTCCAGCCTCCCGTCTTTTGCGATGAATGATGCAAGCCAGTCTATAAATCTAGACAGCCCGAACACCTTCAGCGACAAACAAGAACAGGAAATCTCAGCAGAATCGAGCGAGACACCCCGGGCGGGGCCGGGAAATGGAAACATGATAAATGGACCATGTGCAGTTTGGGACGCGTGCGCCCCAGAAAAGTTTGGCAATGGGTCTTTAACGCCACCACACCAGCATACACACTCGGTCACCGACATTCAGTTGGCTCCTGGTCAGAAAAGAACAGTGGATGGAGACATCAAGTCGATTTCGTCGGAACTTCTGGCGCCGACTTCTAGCGTTAATGGGACTACGCGGCGTCGTTCAAAGAGCACTGGCTCACCAGCATACGGAAACAGAATTGCCCAGGTAGCGACTTCTCTTATTTGCTCGTCAAGGCCTTTCTAACACATTAGATATAGCTATCTGTGCATATACGGACGCGTCTGTCATACGCGGCTGCCAAGGTGGAAAAATCGCGGCAGTTACGCGAAGCGGATTCTCAACTGGGAATTCCGAATGGCCTACTGGGCCCGGCCTCGGCCTCGAACTCAACATCCAACTCACAAGACCTTACCTCTCGAACCTCGGCCTCGAACACCCCTCATGCATACCATACTCATTCCCGCTCGCAGTCTGCACTCTCTTCCCCTAACAAACTCTTTCCCACTCCCAAATTAGCTCCGCCTGCAGACATCATATCTTCCAAGGGCGATTCGCGGCGCCGTCGCCCGAACCCCAATGCAGTCTCAAAGTCTCCCAACCATAGCCCGCGTTCCCGCCACCGGCGATATCATTCCGTTCAGGAATTTCCATCTATGCGATCGGTGGGGTCTCCTACTGTTCTAGGACCCGAGACACCTTTACTTCAGTCGTCCGCGCACTTTAATGGCCCTACATCTTCTCAAAATGGCTTCTACGGATCACAAAGTCAATCTCAGAATACCTCGATGGAGCAAGACGCGATCGAAACGCTCCTGTTCATGTCCAGCCCCGAAAATTCAGGCTATCGCTCCAGCCCTCGACCGTTGCAGACTGCGTCAACGCAAAACAGCCTAAACGCGTCGTTATACGGCAACAGTATTGGAACTATGCCCGGTAGTAACCAAAGCTCGCAGAGTAGCAACTATCGCAATGGTATTAGGTCTAAAGGCACCGCCATCGGGCTGGAAACGCACGCTGGAGACGAGATCGATCGCATCTTGGACCAGATGGAGAGTGATAGTGAGGATGAAGGCCGCTTTGCACCATACCATCATGGACGAAACGTTCCCCATGATCTTCAAGTGAGATCTTCTGGAGGATATCATCACGGGCGAATGAGATAGATGAAGCATTCACCACAACATCTTGTCTATGCTATTGCAATTTGCACCAGCCTTATATAGATATATTTGCATTTGGTTCGGAGCGAGACGTCTCCTTGTCATCATGTCTTGCTTTTCACACGCATTTTGCTTTTCATTCCTATGTACGACCACGGGTTTGGACGGACGCATTGCATCCACATTCAGAATCGGCTCTTGTTTATGGTATTATGGTCTCCGGTGTGCATAATCGATGCGTGATGGGTACTCTATTCATTAATCTATATTCTATCACATGAACTTTTGGGTATGCTATCTATGTAGGAGGGGTATTTATTAATGTGCAAGTTCCTGCGGTTTGGTTAGCATACCAGCTCCAACAGTTCGACAGCTGTACTTACACTAGCCAGTTTGCTCTTTGCCCGAATTTGGGGACCGTAGAACACAAGTACCCAAGGGACCAGAGTCAGAACAAAGCCCTAATTCCGATTAGCGTACGCTCTTTGCGGAAAACAAACACAACTTACAATACCACCGAGAAGACTAGATGCCTCGGGGTAGCCAAGATTATTGAACATGGCATTCGTCACCAGAGGGAAGATGCCACCCAGCAAATTCCGGCCTGCTCCATATTAATGAAGTGTTCAAAACCAAAAACAGGAAATACTTACAGCAAGACTGCGCCGCAATCGCCGAACTTGCGTATCGGTGATAGGTATCAGCCAAGTAATTGAAGGTAGCCAGATAGATCGAAAAGATGCCCATAGTGGCACAGCCCACCGCGATAGCGGGCACAATCCACGGCACAGACGGGAACGAAGTCCAGCCGAACCAGAATAGGCCGATGGGGAGCAGGATGGATTCCACGCAGACGAAGTACAGGCGACCCTCGGCGGATTTGGAGAGGCGGCCGAATCGCATGGCGATTTTCTCCTGCCAGATGCTGATGAGAGTGATGAAGACAACGCCGACGCACATTGCTAAAGAGAGAGCTGATTAGTTTTTCATGTTCGTGGGACAAGAAAGAGGTTTGGCAAACCTGTGAACACGGCTCCTGTCTGCTCGATATTAAACCCGTGATTTGTTTTGAACACGAGAGGAACAGAGGCGAATTGGAGGTAGAGAACTGCCCAGCTGAAAGATACCCAAAGGGAGAAGAAGAAGACCACTGGCTCGGTGACGAGCATATCTGTTTTAAAACGGGTTGTAAGCAGCAATCCAAAAGTGGTCGTGGGAAAGACTCACGAAAAGGGCGCCACAGCGAGATCTGAATCATTTTCACCAGGGACTCCCGCTGCTCGTCAGCCTTCACCTTCCACCGAATGCGTTTGGTCTTCTCCCCTTTCGGTTCCTCGTTTGCCATGATGACACCGTAGTGACCCGAAGCCTCGAGGTTCTCGTAATAACGATTCAAGGTTTTTGCCTTGCGGCTGAGGAGGACACTACCACGTGTTTCCTTGAAGAACAGGAAGATGATAACCACAAAAACAGCGGAGACGATGGCGTGGGAGTAATAAACCCAGCGCCAGCTGGTGTGCGAGACAATCACTCCAGACAACAATGGAGCAAGACCTGTTCCGAAGAGTGCAGCCCCCGCGAACAGTGCCATGGGGGTGTTTCGGTCCTGGGTATGGTAGATGTCACTAATCACACCACCGACCATTGTGGAGAAAGTAGCTGATAGATGTCAGTGTCGAAACATATTCTGGGCCTCCAAGGATACATACATCCACCCACGCCCTGGAGAAAGCGCGCAACGAGTAATCCAGCGAAAAGGTGAGTTCCTCCACAAGCCACCAGGGATGCTATTCACAGGGTTAGCAGAAGCCGACGGAAAAGAATCAAGCGTCTCCAACATACCGACGAATAGAATACCGCTCGCCACAAAAATCGGCCGGCGGCCATTAATCTCCGAGAAAGGTGCCAAAATCATAGGTGCCAGAGCAAACCCGATGCAGAAGATAGTGATGCCGAGATTATACACGACAGCTGTGATCCCCCACTCCTTGGTCAGTTCGTCCGACGCCGGACTGATCTCACCCGCCGAATAACCCGCCAGAGCCGTGACGGCGCACGAAATCCAAGTCATCATGGACTTGCGCCATTCCGGCCACAGGAACGGCGATGTATATTTCTCCAAGCTGGGCGCTTCCGGCGGGGCAGACTGACCAGGCTGGGGCGGCAAAGTAATACATGGCGTAGGCAGCGGCGTCTCGAATTCAAGATATACCCACTCGATCTCCTGCTGCGCGGCCACAGAGTCTGGGCTCGGGTCGCGTTTTTCCATGGCTGTACCTGTCCCGCGGGATAGACGAGCGAATGGCTTGTCAATGGCCATGCACACGTTCTTATATTAATCCACGCGGAAAATCTGATATCTCATGCAGGATGCAGGTCTTGGCAATTCTACGTCTTCTGGGGACTGATGATATTTTATGGGCCAGTGCAGAAAACCGTAGGGCGTGGGTCGGCTCCAAGACCGAGCCCTCGTCCGGTAAAAAAAATTGGAGAAGATAGAGAGAGGCACATCATCCCCTCTCGGAGTTCGCACTGCTCTCCGAGTGGATGAAGATGCCGATATGTACTGGCGATACAGGAGTCTTCCTCGGAAACAAGTCTAGCGCTATTTTGTGCACTGTTGACGAAATCAACTAACATGAGCGCTGATTCTGCGCTTGGGAGTGCGGATATCAACAGCCGACGGTCTTTCCCGATGTTATTAATAATGCACCGTTCACGTCAGCAATGTTCTCCACTCTCCGGATATCTCCAAATTGGAGAAGCTTCACTCAACGGTGCGCATCTCCAATATCCGACCCGGATACGTAATGTTTTATGGACATGCTGAATAGCAAACCCTATCAATGTCAGCGATGCCCCCGTGCATTTGCCCGATTGGAGCATCTCCAACGTCACGACCGGTCGCGTAAGGCTTTGTCCACCACCAAATCCGTTTCTGCTAACCCTCTGTTAGACACCAAGGAGAAGCCGTACGGCTGTGTTCAATGTCGCAAGGCGTTTACGCGCAAGTACGTCCCTGTGATTCTTCTGTCCTGTCACATACTAACACTATCTCCAGAGATCTCCTGGTGCGCCATGAACGCCTCGCACACTCGGCCGGTAGTCCGAGTCATCCATCGCAGACGCCCTCCCCGGCTCACCCCGCCGTGGATGGCTTGGATACGTTGGCGTCCGTGGTGACTGACCACGCTGACGCAAGCCATCGAGTTATCCCGGGGAGCAATACGCATTTTCCGGCAGATTTGTCGGCGACCGTGCATCGTGCATCCATGCTAAGTACGCCCTTGGCGGCTGGTCCCACCCCATCAGCAACAGGGCCGGCCACACCCATCCCGGGGCCGGATTTTGGGTATCCGTTAGGTGGAATCCCAACAGCTGCATACGAGGGAAATGACTTCACCTCTTTCTTGGACAGTGTGCCTCTGCCCAGTCATCCTTATTCCCCGGCGTACCAGCCGCTGCCGTTGTTTCCGCCCTTTCAGTTTTCGCCGATCCCAGACTATGACCAAGCGGCTTCAGATAGAGGGCCACTCAGTGAGCCTGCCTCGACTCCTTCGAGCTCGGTTCTGCCTCGACATGGGGCCCAACTTCCGTCCCTTCAGCCGGAGGGATACCAAACTAGTTACAAAACGAGACAGCCGACGGGATTCGTCCCTGTCACGGCGCAGTGTCGAGACAAGATCTTGAGTCTTCTGTCTGACTATACTAATGTGGTTCCACATCCCTCACTGCCTTCGCGGCATGCTCTATCTCGGTGTCTGACTGGGTATCTCATGGGCTTTCATGATCATTACCCTGTGGTACATATGCCTACGCTGGATGTCGAGTCAATGACTCTGCCACTTTTCCTCTCCATGGCAGCGCTAGGGGCACGGTATTGTCGCGAACCAGATACCAGCCACCATCTCTATCAAATCGCCAAGCCCGTCACTCTCGAACATGTGCGCCGGGTCTTTCAATCCGGGACGATGCCCGCGGCCAGTGCGGTTGACGATAACGACACCTTAGAGACCGTGCAAGCACTACTACTCCTCACCTCTGTCTCCTCATGGTTCATCAACAACCCACCGTACCATGAGGCTTTGTCGATCCGCAGCCTGATGGAGACGCTGGTACGCAAAGGCGGGTTAAACCGTTTACCGGATCACGATGGATCATGGAGTAGCTGGATCCGGCGAGAGCGAGTCAAACGCACCAAGCTGATCGTATTCTGCTTCTTCAACATTCATACCATCGTCTTCGATCTACCCCCTGTAATCCTCACCGAGGAGGTCGCCCTGGATCTGCCCTGCACGGAAAAAGAATGGCAAGCATCACTAGCCAGCATATGGCAGGCAGAGCGCAGCCAGAGTCCCGGTGAGCCGAAATTTCAGGATGCACTGACCGCGCTCTTCAACCCCTCCAGCAGCGAAGTGGAAGGCTTCTCCTCTCTTGGCGGCTATGTGCTCATCCACGCCATCCTACAGGATATCTGGCTGATGACCAAGGCGGGTCGACTCCCTGTCTCTGGACGCAGCCGGTTCGGACCGCCGCCGGCATCAACGCAGGAGATCGTGGCAGTCGAGCAGGCCCTGGAACGGTGGTGTCAATGCTGGGAGCGCAATCAGGAATCATCGATCGACCCTCTTAGCCCGCATGGCCCGCTCTCCTTTACATCGGCCGCTCTGCTCCGGCTCGCATATATCCGGCTGAACGCAGACTGTGGTTCTGCCAGACAATTGCAGACGTGGGACCCGGTCCAGATCGCGTCCAGCCTGAAGCAGAACCTGCACGTGCGGCGGGGCGACCGTCTAACCCGGGCAGCGCTGCACTGCGCTCACGCGCTGAGCACGCCCGTTAAACTGGGTCTTAGTTTCGTGGCTCACTCGCAAGTCGTGCTGTGGTCTAACCAACATGCCTTGTGCTCCTTGGAATGTGCCGTGCTGCTAGCCAAATGGCTCGAGGCTGTCACTGTCGACTGCCCAGATCCACCTCTAACAGAGCAAGAAACACGGCTGCGGGATTTCGTCCTGGAGATGGTCATGGAGGTCCAGCATGGGGTCTCGCGCGAGTGGTTGCTCGCCACCAACACCCGACTCAGCGCCGCGATCACTCGTCTGTGGGCGCGCTTATTTACGGCGGACTATATTTGGGAGATGGTCAATTTGATCGGGCGGTCTCTAAATAGCTATGCAGATCTGCTAGAGCGAGATTGATCAAGTCAGAATTGGAGAAACCGGGGCCGACCTCGGTCCACCTACTGGCGCAGTGTAAATCCTTACGCCACTCGTGTTGCCCATGACTCACAGCATCTATATGAAATAACGGACAATAATTAATTAGTTAATTCAATTCGATTTCTAACCAGCAAAGAACAACAATGGCTCCCTCTGCTTTGATCGCCACCGAGCCCCTCCGCTCCTTTCTGCAAGCCCTACACGGCCAATCTCTCACCCAAGAAGCAGGCGTAGAATGGTCCACCCTGCCTCCGCAAACCAGCGATGCCTTCGACGACATCATGCGCGACAAGTTCATCGCCCTAGACCAGGAGAAATCCGAGCTGGTCTACCATATCCTGCGCAGCATCAAGGCCACGGCCATCGTCGAGGCCGGGACTAGCTTCGGCGTGAGCACCATCTACCTGGCACTCGCAGCCGCGCAGAATGCGCACGCAGAAGGTAAAACCGCCAAGGTAATTGCCACCGAAAAGGAACCTTCCAAGGCCGCGCGGGCCCAGGAGATCTGGGCACAGGCCGGGAAGGAGATCGAGGGCGTGATTGACCTGCGCATCGGCGATTTGCGCGAGACTCTTACGAAAGATCTCGGCGAGGTGGATTTCCTGTTGTTGGACAGTAAGTTATTGATCATGGAGCTTAAGGCAATCAAATGCTTATACAACTATCAGTCTGGACACCTCTCGCGCTCCCCGCGCTCAAGGCCGTACAGCCGCATCTCCGGCGCGGGGCAGTCATCATCGCGGATAATACTCTCAAGGCTACTGAGGGCTACCAGGATCTGTTCAACTATGTTGATGCCGATGACAGTGGATTTAAGAGAGTGACTCTGCCCTACCCTGGTGGACTAGATATGATTGTCTATCAGTAAAGAATCCCTCGCCGTCAATCAAAGACACTTAGTAGTCTCTAGTCTACTTCCCATGAGCTCCCCGCACTTCACAAGTCCCAATGTTTTCTTCCGATAGCAAACCCCACAGGATCTGGATATAGAGAGACTCTCCACCCATCCCACAGCAAGTTCTGGCACACAACCTACGCGACCTCGGCATAACCGCTATAGTTAACTGCCTAGTGTAACTAAGGGACAGTCGAGTGGATCCCCCGTCTGTCATATCACGCCCCGCATTACTTCCACTTCCAGCTCTACACTCCCACCCACCACTCAATTGCACGTCAAAATGTCCTCCAACTCCTTCTCAACCCTTCCACAAGGTCAACCGGGCGCCTTCCTTCCAGGCGGCCCGTCAGCAACCTTCAACCCACCCGTCTCGTCCAGCACAACGGGATACCGACTGAACCACCTCGCGATCCGGGTACGGGAGCCCTCGCGCTCTCTACACTTCTACGTAGACCTCCTCGGGATGCGAGTCGTGTTCAGCATGAACGCGGGCCCATTCACAATCTACTATCTAGGCCACCCACCGCCTGACACGGGGGATCTGGCAGACTGGGCGGAGAAGACGAGTCAGATCCCTGTGATGACGCGGACGGAGGGGTTGCTTGAGTTGTATCATGTGCATGGAACGGAAGGCAATAGCGAGGAAGTATCGACGGGGAATCAGCCGCCGAATCTGGGGTTTGCGCATTTAGGGTTCACGGTTCCGGATACCAAGGCTGCGGTGGAGAGGCTGAGGGCTGCCGGAGTGCCGATTCTGAAGGAGGTGGGTGTGTCGTCGAGGGAGGCCGTGCCTTTGTCAGAGTGGGAGGCTGCGAGGGGGGTTGGGAGAGGGGAGATCCATGAGAATTATGCGTGGTTCTTTGAGAAGTTTGCTATGATTGCTGATCCGGTGAGTGTTGATTGTATGCACTCGTTTGATAGGACTGACGTGACTACTAGGATGGATATACGGTTGAGCTGATTCCGCAGAGCGTTGAGTGAGAAAGAGAGATAAATGGCGGTGCCATGAAAAAATCATCTGGCGTGCATCATATTTCATGCCCAGAAGTGAAGCAGCTGTACATAGTGCAATAAATAGTACATGAGCGGATATTCTGAGAATATAAATTCATTCCACGCCCCAGCTATCCTCCTCCGCAACGTCATAATCCATATCATGGGCTCCGTCTTTGCCAGCGGGCATTTCATTGACTGCGGGCTCGGATTGCATGACAGTGTCTTGATCATCCTCGACCAGTTCAGGGCCTGTCTTAGCCTCGTCCGCGGGGGTTGGTGTCGAAGCCGCAATAGGCGGGTTAGCCACCCATTCAAGTTGGACCTCGCCCACCGCAGGGATATTCCAGGTACTGAACATGAACTTCTCGGCCTGGTAGCGTTCCTTGAAAGAGACGATCACCGAGTCGGAATGGCCCGGGTTAGCCGTGACGGATTCATATTCACCGATGCCCTGGCGGGAAAAGTCAGCACGCAATTTCCAGTTACAGACCAAAAGGACTTACAATCAGATACTGTCTCAGCGCTTCGTCCTTGTCCGAGTTCAGCTCGACGCCCGTCACAGAAACCCGACGAGGCCGGTTATCCAGACGAAGTACGCCGCCTCTGCCGCGAGGCGCATATCCACCCCGTCCACGATATCCTCCGCGGTACGAAGGGTCATATCCGCCGCGTCCACGATAGCCACCTCGGCCGCGGCCCCTACCACGGTAGCCACCACGCCCACCAGCGGCGTCAGCATTTGAGGGATCCAACCCAAGGCTCTTTGCCTCGGCCTCGAGAGCCGCCAGCTGTGCACGCAGTTGCTTGGTCTGATCACTGGCATTCTCATCAGCTGGTGCTTCGACAGACGAACCCTCCGCGGCGCCAGAGCGATTGCTCGGCTCTGCAGCTCCGCCGAGACGTTCCAGCAGGCGGGCTTTTTCTTCCTGCTGCTTTTTGAACAGCTCATCACGCTGCCGCTCTAAAGCCTGCTTGGCTTCTTCGGTCTCCTGACGTTTCTTTACCCTTTCTTCATGTGCCTTTTGGGCTTCTTCTTGCTGCTTCTCGAACTCTTCCTGATTGAACGCCGGGACTTCTGGCTGGGCCTCTCCGTTCTTTTCGTCCTTCCGGCCGGGTTTGTGCCAGTAGACCTTGACGAAGCGATTGTCAAAAATGACCTTAGGGCTGGACCAAGCCGCCTTGGCCTCGGAATACGTGTCATATTGGACCAAAGCCAGCTTTTTGTAAGGCTGCAACGAGACCTCGGTGATGTTGCCGAATTGAGAAAAAAACTCCCGCACGGCCTCCTCAGAGAACTTATCGTCAGGGATCTGCTCAACCACAATCGTTTTGATTGTTCGGTCCTCGTTCGGTCCTGCCGACGAGAACTCAGACCGGCCGCCTCGTCCTCTCCCAGTAGGGCCTCCTCGGCCACGGCCGCGTCCACGTTCGCCACCACGTCCCCGGCCCCTGGAGTCGGCCATACGGCCCAAGTTCTTTGGATCATATTCTATGGACTTGGTCAGCAACCAGTCAGGAGGCTCGTAGAGTATTTCACACATACCTTCCTCTTTTCCAGCATCTCCATGCTGATACGGACATGCGGCACCCAAGTAACAAATACCCTGGGTATCATAGAACGGGCAGCGTTGATTGATCTGCTCGCCGGGCTGCGGCGCACCGGGCATTCCAGGCATAGGCGGCATTCCTGGCATTTGCGGAAACCCCATGCTCTGCATAGCCATCATCGCCGCCATGGGATCGTTCTGATCAAATGGTGGGAATCCAGGCATCATAGGGAACCCGCCGGGCGGTGGCTGCGCAAACTGCTGTCCCTGTGGGCCATCCCGGCCCATCCAGTCTCCGCGGCCACCACCTCTTCCTCCACCACGCCGTGGGGTTTTGAAAGCGCGGTTCTGGAGCATGCCCTCTTGAAGTTCTTGGTCTGCCTGGAATCCCTCGTTATATGTACGTTTCCGGCTAGGAAAATTCGACCCATCTTGTCCTCCACCTGATCCGTAGGGAGAACCCCTCGGGCCGGTTGGCGCATTGATCGGGTGCTGTGGCTGAGACGGGGGAAAAGATTGCGGGAGATCGCTGGGGAACTGCGCCTGGCTCTGAGGAAGGGCCGCTGGCGGCGCAGCGGATTTTTTGGGATCAAATGTGGCAAAGAGCTCATCAACGAAAGAAGTTGTGTCTGGGGAAAAATCAGTAACCCGGTACAAAAAGGTAGCCTAAGGCAGTAAACGAACTTTCGCGCAGGAAGTCCTCCAAGTTCTCGACTGAAACCTTCTTGATCTCTTCATCCGGCGCATCGGATCTGATGAGCGCCAGGACATAATCTGCAAGTACGTCGGAGTCCGCATCAGAGCTACAACGTCGGCGGTACCACATTGTCAGCGAATGAATCACCATCCAGATGATAATTGGAAACCCACATGTCCTCCAGTTTCTTCACCACCCAGTTCTTCACACCCTCGGCTTGTTCGTCGGTGAATTGCATCGTCGCCGCGTGGATTGCAATTTGCTGACTCGGCTTTCAAAGAAGGACGTGAGGAAAGTCTACGGCTGACTGCAGGGATTCGGCGCTTAACACCAGTTGCAGAGAAGTTGCGAGGCCCGCTGCAAGGGGCAAATAAACCCAGTAAAATACCTATCAGGAGATGGAATCAATCATTGATCGGTGTAGGCAAACGCAGCCATGGTGGATGAAGGGAGGAGGAACAGGAGACCAAAAAGTGCAGGATCCGTCCATGCGGACGCGAGGCACGCGATGGGTCACGTGATCAACCTCACGGTTCGGCTGAGCTGTATAGAGTACAACAGCCAATCTACTCTACTATACTTAGATCCACGCGCGACTACGAGAAGAAACACCGCGATTGCCTAGCTATACCATGTTTATTTTCATGCTCAAACTGGTATAACTAGACAGGAGCGAAGAGACAAAAGAAAAACAAAAAAAGGCAACCCTCACGAAACAAATTATGAAGACAAAAACCAAGTGAAAAGTCATGGAGTCGAGTCGGAGCAGATGGATAGCCATCTGCTGCCGAAGCCGTTGCTATCCCAATAGAAAAGCAATGGTTGGCCCGACGTATTTTGTTGAGGGAGGTGGAATTTTGGTTGAACGTGAAAGTTGTATTGCATTCATCAATCTCATAAAAAAAGATTCCACGTATGACTGGCAGAAGCGCGATTCCGGGCAGCCGTGAGCATTTTTACAGCTTGTCGTAGTACTGAACCCAAAGTTAGCGGGATGAATGTCAAAAACAAGAGGGGGATCAAAACTTACGTTCTCGTAGCCGGGGATCTGCTCCTTGAGACCCTTGCGCTTCCGCATCTCGGTGACGACCTGACCGGGCTTGGTGGTCGGGTCGAGAGGGGAGCCACCAGGGAGGATGGCCCAGTGGTCGAAGACGGACTGGGGGAAGGCCTGACCACCGGTGGCGGAGCGCAGATCGGCGGGGAAACCGAACGACTCGTTGACGGGCAGGTAGGCCTTGACGTTGAACAGAGGAGTACCGGGGCGCTGCTCCTCGGAGTAGACGTGACCACGACGGCGGGTAAGGACACCGTAGATACCACCCATGGCCTGCTCGGGCACCTGGATCTCGACGTTGAAGATGGGCTCGAGAACACCGGGGTCAGCCAGCATGGCGGCGGCGTACAGGACACGACGGGCAGTGGGGATGAGCTGACCACCACCACGGTGAATGGCATCGGCGTGCAGGGTAACATCCAGGATGTTGAAGCGGACGGAGCGCATGGGCTCCTCAGCAACGGGACCCTCGCGGGTGGCCCACTGGAAACCAGAGACAACGGAGTCCTTGATTTCGTTCAGGTACTGCACGGCCTTGGTCTGGTCGACCAGCAGGTTGGCACCGGTGGTGTCGGGACCGAAGCACCAAATCTTACGGGCATCGGTGACATCCCAACCGTAGTCGTCAGCCAGGACACGGGCACGAGCCTTGAAGTCGTCACGGGGGCTGATCTTGCCAGCCTCGATGGCGAGGGAGACCTCCTCATCCATGGGCTGAGCAGTCATGTACAGACGGTTGTGCTTGTTGGGCGACTTGGACAGGGCAGTCATGCTCGACACGTCGGAAACAGTCTCACGGTATGACACGACGGGGTCCGAGATGCGCAGGGGCACACCGGCGTGGTCCTCCTCAAGATCCTTCAGGCAGATCTCCAGGTGCAGCTCACCGGCACCGGCAACGACGTGCTCACCAGACTCGTTGATGAGGGTCAGGACGCAGGGGTCGGACTTGGACAGACGCTTGAGACCCTCGACCAGCTTGGGCAGGTCGGCGGCGTTCTTGACCTCGACGGAACGCTGCACGACGGGCGAGACGGAGAACTTCATGACCTTGAGGTTGTGGGCGGTCTCGTCGGTGGTCAGGGTACCCGACTTGAGCAGGAACTGATCGATACCGACCAGACCGACGATGTTACCGGCGGGAACATCCTCAATGGGCTCGATGAAGCGACCCATCATCAGAATGGTACGCTGGATGGCCTTGATGAACAGGTCCTCCTTCTTGCCAGGGGTGTAGTTGGGACCCTGGATGCGGACCTTGAGACCGGACTTGACGGTACCGGCGTAGACACGACCGAAGGCGTAGAAACGGCCCTTATCGGAGGTCGGCACCATCTTGGACACGTACAGCATCAGAGGAGCCTTGGGGTCACAGTCGCGGATACCAATGCAGGCGGCGTCGTCGGTGGGACCCTCGTACAGAGTCTCGGCACGGTACTTCTGGGCAGTGACGGGCGAGGGCAGGTGGATACAGATCATCTCCAGCAGGGCGTCGGCGGCAGGCAGGAACTTGCGCATGACAACCTTGAGGAGCTGCTTGCCCTCGAGGTCCTTCTCCTCGGAGGCCAGCTTGACCTCGAGCTTCTCCAGGAGAGCCATGATCTCGTCACGCTTGTTGTGGTTGACAGCGGCGAAGATCTTGAAGATGGGGTCCAGGATGAACTGGTTGAAGGCACGCTCCAGCTGCTTGCCCTCGTGCTCGCCGTTCTTGGTCCACTTCTTGGTCTTGGGGTTGAAGTAGTTGTCGCCCCACAGACGCTCCAGCATCTTCTTGCGGTCAACACCGAACTTCTTGGCGTACTTGACGGCGAACTGGCGGACGGTGAACGCCCAGCCGTGCAGACCGGAACCGAAGGCGATGGTGCCGCGGTCGGGGTAGACCTGGACATCACCGAGAGACTTGTCGAAGTAGGTGGCGATGATGACATTGACGGACTCAATGGTACGGGAGAAAGACTGGTACAGATCCTCCTTGGACACCTGCAGCTCGAGCAGAGCACGGTCGACCTTGTTGATAATCAGGACCGGCTTGATACGCTCGGTCAGGGCCTGACGCAGCACGGTCTCGGTCTGGACACAGACACCGGACACGCAGTCCACGACGACCAGGGCACCGTCAGTGACACGGAGAGCGGCCGTGACCTCAGACGAGAAGTCAACGTGACCGGGCGAGTCGATCAGGTTGATCAGGAACTCGTGGCCGTCGACCTTCTGGGGGATCTCCTTCAGGTCCTCGGGGTCGGGGAACTTGGCGTACAAGGAGATGGCAGTGGACTTGATGGTAATGCAGCGGTCCTGCTCATCGGGACGGGTGTCCATGAACCGAGACTCACCGGCCTTGGCGGCCGAAATGATACCGGCACGCTGGACCAGGGAGTCGGAGAGGGTGGACTTTCCGTGATCGACTGCATCAATATTGTCAGCATCATCTCATCCGGACTCAAGAGGTGATGAAGCATACCGTGAGCAATGACGGACATGTTCCGGATGTTGGCCGGCTTGTCCATCAGGGCACGGATCTAGTGAGGGTTAGCTGACTGTCTGATTTAAAAGCACGCCCGGCTGCCCCGAGAGGGGCAGCGGATCAATAGAGAATACGGACCTCCTCGATGGTGAAGCTACAGAGAGACTCTTGTTAGCCAGGGTGTCCATGGAAATTTTTTTTCATCGATGATCCGACTTACTTGACCATGTTGGCGGTTGGTTCCTCAGTAAAGCCCTAGAGGCGGGGGAAGTAGTTATTGAGATAAAGGTAGAAGCAAGAAAGCACACAGACGACCAGGACCGAGCAGAGACTCGATCACCAAATCCAGAGACTATGTGCAACTGCTCCAGAAGACGGAGTGAAGAGGATGAAGAGGGAAGGAGAGAAGGGAAGAAGGAGGGGGAGGAAAAGTGGGAGAAAAAAAAAAGGAAAAGCGAAAGTGGGGGCTTTCTGCCCCTCCGTTTTGTGCGTTTCACTCCGGCTGTACGGACTAGTGAACTACACAGGATAATGCCATGGCAACACTACACTACCGACAGTCCTAGGCTCTTCGAGTCGGTGCTTTCCATGTCTCTTGACTCTGAGTCTTTGATTTCAAAGCAGGTCATATTCCCTCCCTTGACTCCCGACATGCCGTCATCCGTGGTTGTCCCAACTCAGCCCCCCGTCGGCTCCCTCGTGCAGCCGAGTCGATCAATCTGACTCCCGGCGACTTCCCAAGTCACTCTCGGGGCTCTGATTCACTGCATTCCGAGTCATCCTCCATCGCTGGATGAGCCTGTCCACGACCACTTTCCACGCCGGTGCTGAGGGTGGGCTGGAGCTGTCCGCCAATCAGCGGGCTCGCGTGAACACACGCTGACCGCCTCAAGCTGGGGCTGACTAATGCATTGTTCTTCAGGCTGAGACGGGATAAGTGTTGAGGAGTGAGAAGCAGTAGAAGTAGACAATTAATACAGCTAGTGATAGTAACTAGGATATGCAGAATGTACAAGAAGAACCGATCAACGCCGTCCCATGCAGTAATTCAGGCCCCCAGGATCCGCCCATAGGCATCCTCCACCTCCTTTGCAATCTCCAACAGCGGAACAATAAGGATCTGATGCGTGACATTGGGCAGCTTATCCCGATGCAGCCCAATCCACTCCAGCGGCGGTGTAGCCTCGCCCATATCCCGGAGCTGCGGCGTGTCAATAACTGGCGGCTCGAGCGCCGTGTAGCTGTATTTGGACTGCGGCACATGGACCACCGCCGTGATCTTCTCCTGTTGCTCGGGGCCGGCACCGCCGCCCTCGGTACTGCTCCCGGGACCACCAGTAATCTGCACGGCCGACGGAGGCAGCGGCTTGCCGAGGCGCGTGGCCAGCGCCCGCGAGTGCGTCTCCCACATGTCCCGGATGAAGCTGATGCGCGAGTAGTTCCAGCCCACATCCACCTTGCCCTCGAACGTACTGCGGAAGATGTACTCGATCTGATGCGTGCCGGGCACCTGCCACGTCTCCATGCTGGCCACCAGCCGGGGCACCTTGAGGATCGTGCCGCCTCGGGACCCGGCGGCGCGCTGGGCGATCTCGTCCACGGACACGTCTTCGAGTTGCGCGGAGCTGGGGCGGCTGATGCCGGAAAGAGCGACGCGGAGTTGACCCAGCGTCAGGCCCAGGGCACTGTGGAGCTTGCCGGATTGGACGGAGACGGC